GAAACCCTACACCACTTCAGACAAATGGTTATCCAACCTCTTCTTAAAACCTTCCAGTGTTGGAGCATTCACAACTTCTAGTGGCAAGTTGTTCCACTGGTTAATTGTTCCCACTGTCAGGAAATTTCTCCTTAGTTTTAGGTTGCTTCTCTCCTTGATTAGTTTCCACCCGTTGCTTCTTATCCTGCCCTCAGGTGCTTTGGAGAATCGCTTTGCTCCCTCTTGTTTGTGGCAGCCCCTGAAATATTGGGGTTTGTTGAAAAGTTTATTGGGGTTTGCATTGGGGTTTTATTTTTTTATAAGCCACCCGGAGTCAATGTGAGTTTGGGCAGCCACGTTTTTATTTTATTTATTAAATGTACTAAATTTTATTAAATGTATTAATACATTTTAAATTTAAATTTATTAAATGTATTAAATGTAATATGTGCCTCCCATCTGATCTAGAGGCAGAAAACTGTACATTTTCTAAACAAACACATAATAAGTAAAAACAAAGACTGGTGAGTGATACATTTGGTCCCTACTTCTCAATACAGCCAACACTTAATTTGAACCAATTATGTTTTTTAAAAAAATGCTTTCTGTAAAAGAGGGAAGAAGATAAAAAGCCTTTAAATAAAGCTACAGTTAAATTATTACAGTGCAAAGCTCCCAATTCAGAATTCCGAGGAGCAAAAGCTGTACTAACACCCAACCAAAATAAAGTATTTTAATTTTTTTTTCTTTCCTCAAACAAGAAGGCAAAACTTGGGACAGGAAGGAACTTAAAAACAGTTACTGCTCAAGGTTACAATCCGTAGTTGGAGTGGTCGTAGTTGGAGTCTTAATTGCAGTTTTAAGTACAGTTTTTTAATAATATTTTAATCTGTATGATCTAAATTTTGTAATGTTTTAATTTTTTTTTACTGGTTTTATAATCTTTAGGGTAGATGGATGCCATAAAAATTTAATAAATATCTTTAATTTTTAATTATTAAATTTTTATGGCATCCATCTACCCTAAAGATTATAAAAGCAGTAAAAAAAATTAAAGATAAAGAAGACTCGAAATATTACAGGACATGGAATAAATTTTATGAATGGATAAGAGACAAGAGGTAGAAACGAGAGGGAAGTTTATGAATGTCAGTTCAACAAAGATGTACAAGACCATGGATATAATATGTAAAAATTTGTAAATAAACTAATGTATGTAGAAACTTAGTTGAAGTTTTCTTTTCTTTTGTTTTGGTTGTATTGCTGCAATTACTGTTAAAATAGTACAGCTATAGTTATTAGCATGTATGTTAAGATTCACCATTGATCTCTCTCTGGCTATGCTTTATCTGCATTGTTATCTTGACATGGCACTGTCTTTTCAATAAAATAAAATATTTTTTTTTTAAAAAAATTAATAAATAACATAATAGTGACCTTAAAGTTAAATCCCAATTCAAAACACAGCAATGCCAACATTCAGAGATACACCGGCTCTTTTGAAGTTACAAAACACACAACAGAATTTGTTGTTTGCCTGTCTTTGTTTGATAAACTGTGAACCAGAATCTCTCACAATTCTCCCAAACGACACTTTTTAAAATTTACTCATACTGTTTACACTTGCCAACATGCCCTGGCAATCAAACTAACAGCCTTTAAAATTTTAGAAAATGACAGCCTCCTTTCCCAGGAATGTGAAATTCACCTTCTAGTTACAATTCTAAGTTTCTAGTTCAATTCTAAATTCAGCTCCTAGTTACAATTCTACGTTCTTAATTAAACAAACAAACAAACAGACGAAAGGCATCCATACAAAGCTAAGTGCAACAATATACAAAATCCTGCAAAGTCCTCTTATTTTCGCACGCAAGGGAGAAAGAAATTAAGAGGGGAAATTGGACCTGCGTTATGATGATAAAAGTGGGTTTTTAAAAACTTGGGTTTTTAACTAGAAACAGGGAGAGACAAGGTCCATACAGTCCTTAACCCACCCACCCCCACACACACACCAATCTTGGTTTAGGCTTCTTTGTTAGAAGGGAAGCTTCCTTCCAAACACAAACCACCATTCCCATCTCGGTTTAAGAGAGGCAACCAGGATAAGAAGTCTTGCAAAAAAAAAAGAAAGAAAGAAAAAAGGATCAGAGATGTTGCATGCAAGGATGGGGAGGAAAATAGTGGGGAGGGGGGAATGCAGAAGGAAAAAAAGGGGAGAGGGCTTTTTTTTTTTTTTTTAAAGTCCCATCTGCTTAGCTTGCAAACCCTGATTGGGAGTCAGAGAGGAAGCTTGTTAGTTTCCATTAAAGGGGGGGGAAAAATAAAATAAAATTTCAAAGCACCTGAATTAATTCCAGTGATGTTGCTGCTGCTGCGGCTCCGCCTCTGGATTCTCCCTTTAAAGTCTTCCCCCCCTCCACCCCCCCTCCTTTCCCTAAATGTGGATCTGGTGCTACCTCTTCCGGGTTTGGCCCCGCCCCCGAGGAGGGAGGGGGGAAAGGAGGAGGAGGAGGGGAGTGGCCTGTTGTTTTTTTTTGGCAAGGCTGCTGCGAGCATCTTCCAGTCACGTGGTCGGTGGGATGCGGCGGCGACGGCTGCCTTGCCTCCCGTTTCCATGGAGACGGGCCGAAGCGGAGGACCGCTTCGGTGCCTTTTTCTCCAAATTAAGATGCTGGAGGGGAAGGAGGGATGCTCGCTCAGGAAAATAAAAGAGATTTACGTTTAACCAAAGGCTTCCCTGCTTTCTGATTCTTCTTCTTCTTCTTCTAATAGTGAAACAGGGGTCTTTTTATTTCACCATTAAATAAAACGATGAAATATCTTCCGCCGGGCCCTGAAGACTTTTTTATTTCAGCAAGCCGGGCTGGGTTAAAAAATCTTTTAATTGGGGAATTTTATGGGCAAGGGGTTTTAAATTGGAGAAGCCAAAGATAATTTAAAATTCGTTTTAATGTATTTTAATATTTGCATTGTGTGTTTTTAATTTTAGTTTAGTTTAGTTTATTTGTTTTGTATACCGCCCTACTCCTGAAGGACTCAGGGCGGTGAACAGCCAACAATAAAATACATAAATACACAAAATTTAAAAACCCGATAAAATCAAATTAAATTATTTGGCCCAGACAAATTAAAATACCCCAATAATTTAAAAACAGATTAAAATTTACATATTTAAAAAGGGAATTTTGGCTGTTCACCGCCCCGAGTCCTTCAGGAGAGGGGGGCGGTATAAAAATTTAACAAATAAATAAATAAATAAATTATAAAAATTAAATATTTAAGCTTCCTTATGAGTTGGGGCCTGCATTCGCACAACCCTAGATTCTGTGGGCTTAGGCGTTAAGATTTCTCGGGAAAGGAATCTTTTATCTCCTGTGTTGCAGACACCTAAAAGAAATTCCTTTTAAAGCTCTGTTAAAATCAATTCCCGGGCTTTTATTTACAAGAGGGTGAGCTTGCAATTCAGGGTATGGTTGAAATTTCAATTATTATTATTTTTTAGCAGATTAAGTGATAAAGTGTAGGATAAAAACAGGAGCGTAGAACATTATACGTGCCCAGCAACTAATCTGAGAAAAATGGAAAAGGTGTCTCTACCATAAACAGTGGAGCTTTTGATCTTTACGATTCAGGCCCTGAATCAGAATTATTTTATGGAATTTCAATTTCAAACCTTTATTGTCAATGCAGAACAGGTGTACAATGAGATTGGCTGAGCCTAAGATTGGCTAAGCCTAATTCTTATAAGAATTGACTTATATAAGTCAAATTATTTCTTTCTACAACTTTCCCAAGTTTCTGGCAATCTTGAAAATTAATTTACTCTTTGGTAAATCCAATTTATTTCCAAGGGGGGGGGCACACTGTGTAAAGATATTTAAGATGACGGCCTTAACAGTGGAATAAATATATTCACTGAATACATGTAGTAGCAAATCACCAATCTTGGTAGGAATACTGAATATGTATCTAATGGTATTATGAAATAGCCATTTGGAGTGCAATCTTCTGGGTACCCGTTTAAGTAATTTTGAGTTGGTACACGTTTTACATTAAATTTTCCATCTGTTTACCTACAATTAAATTAATAAGCCAGAATTGGCTAAGCATGTTGTGAACAAACTATGGTTAAATAAACCACATCTTAGAACAAGGTGCGAATCAAGACATTTGAGTTTAACACCTATCTTCTGGGATGTTTGGGGTGTTTTTTAAAAAAAAAACATTTCACGGGCTAGTAGAACATATATAAACCTGTTTCAATATAATTCATAATTATATTATTGAATTATATATATATATATAAAAACTCTGCCCAGAAACTCAGCCCAGTGCCGTAACAAAATACATAAATAGGCTGTGAAACTCTATTTAACTTAGCATAAATTGTTAATACCCTTTTCTTTCTCCTTTTCTCTTTTCTTTCCTTCCTTTTCTCTCCCTTGTCTTTCCTTCCTATTTTTTTCTCCTTCTCTCCCCTTTTCCTCCTTCCCCTTCCCTTTCTTTTCCTTCCTTCCTTTTCCTTCTCCGTTTCTTCCTTTTTTTCTCCTTCCCTCCCCCTTCCTTCTTCGTTCGTTCACTGCCTTTCTTCATTTTTTCTCCTCCTCTCCTTCCTTCCTTTTTCTCCTTTCCTCCCTTCTTCCCTCCTTCTTTCCCTTCCCTCTCTACCCTTTCCTTCCTTCCTTATTATGCCGTTTTGTTTGTGTTTAACTCTGGATTATGCAAACCAGGATGTCCACCCAGTCTTCCTTCCCAAGGTGATGCAGGAAAAGGAGCTAGGTTTTGGAAGTCTGGTGCCCAATGAACTGGGAGAACAATTTTTTTTTTTTGGAAAGGCTGTTGATGTCAGATTTGTAAATGAAAGCAATTGCTGACAAATACTGCAGCTCCCCGACGTTCATATTTACACAAGGGTGTTTGACCAAATGACACAGCCACTCTCTTTTGACTCCGCTTCTTCCTTTCGTGCCCCCCTCCTCAAATCAACCTCTTCCGTAATAGAGCCCGGCTATGCCAACCCCCTCCCACACTTTCCAGTCCTGCCTTTCAAGCAATGGCTGTCTGGGCAGGAGGTGGGGGGGGGTGTACCATCAGCCCTCCCTCTACCCCCCCCACCCTTTAAGGAGATGGTTTGGTCCCAGCGTTAATTGCTTTGTGGAATCCTTCAAGGTAGATCGATCCATGGGATTCAATTTCATCTTAGCCAAGGTGTGCCAAACGTCTTAGGAAGTCAGGGGTGGGTGGGAAAAGAGCCCCTTTCTGGTCATCCACCTTGGAAGAGGGTTCTGCAGGGGTTGCTGCAGTGCCCCCCCCCCACTCCTTCCCTCCCTCCCAGCCCAGGTGACTCTTCCCCAGATCATCTCAGCACTCCAGCCCGAACGGTCTGACTTGGCTCCCATCTTCACTTTTCGGCAGGAAAATCTCTCCAAAGGTATGTGTGTGTGTATGTGTATGTGTGTGCGTGTGTGTGTGTCTTAGTTTGGGCTGGGTTTTCCCTCTTGGATCCTTTCGGAATCGTGGGGGTGGGGTGGGGGGGTGTCAGGGGTGGGGTGGGGTGAGAAATGATTTCCATGTAAATACAGGAAATCTCCCGCAGGGGAAAAAGAAAAAAAGGCCCCAGTTGTATGAGGGACTTGTTCATAGGGACTATTGGGATGGGATAGAGATAGATAGATAGATAGATAGATAGATAGATAGATAGATAGATAGATAGATAGATCAGACAGACAGATGGATGAATAGATAAGATGGATGGATGGAGCAGAAAGTAAATAAGGCAGGCAGGCAGAGAGAGGGGAAAGGAGGGAGGGAGGGAGGGAAGGAAGGAAGGAAGAATAAGGGAGGGAGGAAAAGATGGATGGATGGATGGATGGATGGATAAAATGGATGGATGGAGCATAAAGTAAATAAGGCAGGCAGGAAGAGGGAGGGGAAAGAAGGAAGGAAGAATAAAGGAGGGAGGAAAAGATGGATGGATGGATGGAGCATAAAATAAACAAGGCAGGGAGGCAGAGAGAGGGGAAGGAAGGAATGATGAGGGAGAGAGGAAGGAGGAAAAGATGGATGGATAGATGGATGAAGGAGGGAGAGAGGAAGGGAGAAAATGATGGATGGAAGGAAGGAAGGAAAGAGAAAAAGATGGAAGGAAGGAAAGAAAGGGGAAGGAAACGATAAACAAGGTAGCTAAGGGAGGGAAGAAGGGATAGATAAGAGAGAGAGAGAGAGAGAGAGAGAGAGAGAGAGAGAGAGAGAGAGATCTTGTCCTCTATTCGGGTGGGAAATCACAGATGGAAACAGAAATTCCCCCACCCCTCCTTGCTAGAGGGGCTGTGAATGACTTTGGATGTCCTACTACATTGGGACTGTCTTTTATTTCTGTTTTGTAATGTCTCTCTTTTTTTTCAAACATATTTTTTCCTTTCTTCTTTTCTATTTATCTTGGTTGCCTCAGAGATCGGAGAAGGGAGGCCTTGGGGCAAAAAAATAAATGGGGGAAAGAGATGAAGCGGAGAAATTTCAGAATGAGGCAGGGGCTATTTGCGGGGGTTTTTGAGGGGGAAGAAATTTTACATCAAATCAGAACCGAAGGGAAAATGTTTTTTTTTTCTCTAGAGAACCAGAAGTTAATTCATCTTTATTGTACGCAAGATTGGGTCGTTGTAGGGAAAAAAAACAACGAAGCATCCTGGTTTTTGAAAGAAGCCCTAAAGGTTATTTAGAGGATTGTGGTTTGTAAGAAAAGAAAATGGTCTTTTGTTCCGCTGGAGTTATTTTTAATTTTTTTGTTCTCCTTCCTTCTCTCTCTCTCATCTCCCTCCCTCCCTCCCTGCATTCTGCCTGGGTCTACATTCACACAACCACATTTGAGGTTGTGGATTTGTGTTATAAGAACCCAACGACAGCCCCAAATGTCCCTCTTTCGCATGGTTTATTTCTGGCATGTTGTGTAAATCAAAGCCAGGTTGAAGTCGATAGGGATAAGCGGTGGCTGAGGAAACTGAAGTTGTTCAAATTGCGGCAAGACGGCCACAAGGTGAGGTCGGGACGTGAACTCTCGAGTTTAACCCTGGTGCAGAATAATAGTTGTGCCGTGGTAGATGCAGTTCCCACACTCTCGACCCCCTTGCTGGGCGAATGCGGGCCTAGTCATGCTGCTAGTCCTCAAGTTACAATCCAAAAGTAGGGTTCATTTTTTGTTTTAATATCATGTTCTCCGTATAAAAACTGGAGGATTTTAAGAAGAGGATTTTAAGAAGCCATTTGTCTGGAACGGTATAGGGCCGTGATGGCGAACCTGTGGCACGTAGAGTCCTGTCTGTGGGCACGGATGCCATCGCCTCTTCTGATTTCCGGCTGGTCTTCGTGGGTGCCAGAGTAACAGAAAAAGGCCTGAAAATGGCCCAAAAAACAGGCTGTTTTTTGGTCGCTTTGGGCCTGAAAACGGCCCAAAAACAGGCATGCACGCACCGGACAGCTGTTCTTTTGGGTTTCCGGCGTGTGCACCTACATGCAAGTGCACGCGTGTTCTGGTTTGGGCATTCGGTGCCAAAAAGGTTCACCATCATTGGTATAGGGCCTCCTTAAGCAGAGGGAGTGGACTAGAAGACCTCCAAGATCCCTTCCGACTCTGTTAATGTTCTTCTGTTCTTCTTTTATTTTCTTTTTCTTTCTTTCCTTCCTTCCTTTCAAGAAGAGATTGGACAACCATTTGTCTGGAACGGTATATATAGGGTCTTCCTGCTTAAGCAGGGGGTTGGACTAGAAGACCTCTAAGATCCCTTCCAACTCTGGTATCCCGTTCCAATTGAGAGATCTCTTGCAAGACCACCAAAAAGAAGAAGAAAAAAAACCCCCATAAAACAAAAATATAAATTTCCCAGGCAAAAGAGTTTTTACTAAACCATCCAGTCTTGATGACACGATGGGATATTGCCCTCCGGAAGTTCAGGCAGGTATAACACAGGGTCGGTACCCTTTGGTTCGCATTCGTAAGACCCCCCCACCCCCCCAGTTATATTTTCTACTTGGGTTTAACTCCTCTTTTAAGAGAACTGACCATGAGGTGTGTAGGCAAACCTACCGACGCCCACTAGGTGGTGCAATGCATTACTGTACTGGTTTTGCAACTGAGTGGGCGCCCTCCAGTGGTTGCCGGGAATACTGCGACGTAGCCCTAAGCTACGATTCAGCAAATTCTACTTCTAGCGAAGTCGCTTGCAAGGATAGAGTTAGCGTTCTGACGTAGGCTCCCTTAAAAAGCAGGAAGCGGAGGCTTGGGTTTCCCGCAAAACCTCTTTTATTTACACGACTCTGAATTCCTTTCATTCAGTCAGCAAGGCTTATCCAAACAGTCTTTCAAAGGAATATTTATCAACACAGACCTTATCTTGCTTGGCAAGCTGCCATGTAACTAGTTTCCAACCACAGTACAAGGCCAAACTTGGCACAGAGTCTCTCAGAGTCACGGAACGAACGAATTGTTTCCTGCAAAAGCCCACTTCCTGTTCGTTCCTCTTTTGTTTCCTAGAGGAGGGGCCGATCACCTCCGAGGTGTGGCTTTACTCCCAAGTTGACCCTGTTTTCTGAGTTGTTCTTGTTTTCTGGCATGCGCACACTGGGAACGGGCTCCAGCTGTTCCTCTGCCTAACTACTATCTCTCTCTCTCTGCCTCCGACGCAGAGCGCTCGTCCGAACTTTCCCCAGCCCCCCCAGGGCTGGCCCATATTCCTCGCCAACCTCCTCACTGTCCGACTCTGCTGCCAGCTCTGCTGGTTGCCAGCGGGCCACAACAGTTAGGGCCGCTTTTGAAGAACACGTCTTCAAGGTCTCCATTTACGGTGAAACGGTCTTTGGATGGACTTTCTCCTCTCTGATGTCCTCAGCAGGTTTCCTCATGAAGGGCGAAACTCCCGTCAACAGCACAATGAGCATCGGCCAAGCTCGCAAAATGGTGGAACAGCTGAAGATTGAGGCCAGCATGTGCCGAATAAAGGTGAGGAAAGGGCCTACCGGGGAGGGGGGGGGGGGGAGGCAAGGTAGACGCCGGGCTAGTTTACTCAACAGTGACGCCTCGAAGGTGGGTGGAGTTCCCCTGCCAGCATTGCATCTTCGAGTCGTTAGGTAGCGAAACACGACCGTGGATAAAATGGTGGCAACCAACAAGGCTGCAAAACCGCGAGCAGCCACTAGCTGGCAGCAACTACTATTCTAAGTAGCTGTTTTCTTCTCTAGTCTGCCACCTAGGGTCTATACAGAGTACTGCAGCCCAGACTTGTAACCTTGATTTTCTAAATACAGTTGATTGCAGGGTGGATAAAAATCAATGATTTTTTTTTAAAAAAAATAAAAAAAAATCATATTTTTTTGATTTAAATTGGATTTTTTTAATTTAAATCATATTTTTTTGATTTTTATTGAATTTATTTTAATAAAAAACTTTTGGGGTAAAAATCTATCGTAGGATAGTTTTCTATTTAAGATAAATAATTTAGTTTATTCAGCATGAAATGGAGCTTAGTTATGTAGCACGAGGCTGTCTATTCTGCAACACCGGGACTATCGGTGAGTCAACAGCGGGTCAAAGGAGTAGCAGAGATGACAGTTGCTCTTTAAAAATTATGATTTAAATCGAGTTGATTTAAATCAAGCCTTTTTACTAGTGATTTAAATCGTGATTTAAATCGTGATTTAAATCAATGTGATTTAAATCAAATCCACCCTGGTTGATTGACAAGTGCTACCTCTCCAGCAGATGAATGCCAGTCTCTAATTTTGTTCCTTCCCCCCCCCCCAATCCTCCCTAGGTGTCCAAAGCGGCTGCCGATTTGATGACCTACTGCGATGCCCACGCCTGCGAGGACCCCCTCATTAGCCCTGTGCCCACCTCGGAAAACCCCTTCCGGGAAAAGAAATTCTTCTGCGCCCTGCTTTGAACTATTTTTGCTCCCATCCACTTGCCCCTCATCCCCGACGCCAAGTCGTGTCCCTTTCCTTCACCCCCTCACCCCTCTTATACTCATCCATCTGTATGGAGTTGGGTTATTGCAGGACGCTTGGCCTCCAAGCTCCTATTCACTGGGGGTAGAGAAGGGGGGGGGGAGGTTGTCTTCATGGCAGATCTATTTTCTCCTGCAGAGAGCCCTCCGCAACTCTTGTTTTCGCAAAAGCTTCCAAACCCAGGAAGCAGATCCTTTGAATAATACAGAGCATTATTATGGAAGGAACAGCCTCATTTCCCCCCCCCCAAAGATGGGGGGAGCTGTGGTTTGCTTAGGGGGTGGGGGAAAAAAATCAGGGTACTCAAATACCCTCCCCCAATTGGATCAAAAAGTCAGCAAGCATTGCAATTCCATAAACCCCCAGGATCCGACCTAAGGAGTTTCGTTCCGGCATTCACGTCCAACATCGTTCCCACCAACTTCACACCATGGTTAAAAAAGTTTAGCTCCGAAACGAGGTTATTGAAGCCAGCCCTCTCCTCCTCCTCCTCTTCCTCCCCTGCCCCGAAGGTCTTCCCGCCCACCCCCCCTTTCCCCCACCTCCCCCAGGAAGGGCAGAAGGTTTCCACGACAAGCCGATGGTTCTTCTCACAACTTTTCACCCGTTCTGTATGTCAGAAAAGCACGGAAAGTGAATAAAATTTACTGGAGTTCAGGTCTTGCGGATCGCGAGTGATTGAGCTACAAAATTCGGGCGGAACGGGGTGGGGAAAATGGAGGATTCGCTCAAAAAAAGAGCCTTGGTAGTACGGTGGTCTAAAGCACCCTGTTATTAAGACCAGCTGCCTGCAATTACTGCAGGTTCGAATCTCGCCAGGCTCAAGGTTGACTCAGCCTTCCATCCTTTCTAAGGTAGGTAAATTGAGGACCCGGTTTGTGGGGGCAATAAGCTGACTTTGTATAAATATACAAAAAGGATGAAGGCTATTGCTTAACGCATTGTAAGCCGCCCTGAGTCTCCGGAGAAGGGCGGGGTATAAATCAAATTAAAAAAAAAAAAAATTCGGGCAAAAGGGGGGGGGGAAAAGGGGGGATCCGCCCCAAAAAAAAAAAAAAAAAAAAAGATCCCCAAAGAGATCTCTCGATTCACAACCTTCCGGATCGACCTTCCAGGATCGGATCAAAACGGCCGCGTGCGCGTGGAACAGTCTTGGTCTTCGACTTACAACCAAACCGTTCGTTTAACGACCGAAGTTAAAACGGCACTTCCCTTTGGGAAACCGGATTCGCTTAACCCATCGGTCTGATTTGTTAAAACGGCCCGCCATTAAAAAAAAAAACCTGTCGTAAAATTGCACCCGACTTACGACCGCAACGACTTTATAAGACGGAAATTTTGCTCCCAATTTACGATCGTTAAGTTGAGCCGACGATGACAACCTGGGGAAGTTTAAAAAAAAAGAGAGAGGAAAGAACAGCCAAAAAAATATTTTTTTTTCTTTCACTATTCCAACCGATTTATAAAAAATAAATCGTGATTCTTTTATTGCTTTTGGTGGCAGATTTGGCAATTGCCGGAAACAAACAAACGAACGACCGAAGTGAGAGCAAGTCAGGCTAAAAGCACTAAAGTTTTGTGTGTTCGGATGTAGTGAGAGAGGTTTGTGCAAGTAGAAATCTAAAAAGCTTTAACATCCCAAATGGCTGCTTCCCCTGTTAGCCATCGGCAATTAAAGAGGCTAGTCCTGATTAAGGTCCCCAAGGGGAAAAAAAACCACACAATCTACAGGGAGTGCTTCCATAATTTAGCGATCCCTGAAGGAGATCTCCACAATTAGGCTTAAACATAGAAAGCGTGCTGTTTTTTTTTTTTTAAATGTAGAAAGCTAAATATTAAAAAATCGGGCGGCGCGTCAAGAGTTTTCGACAGCACAAAACCCTCTGCAATTCACAATGCACTTGTTTCCAGTGGCAGGAACAGGGCCCAGGCAGTCCTCGACTTACGACGGATCCCCTTTGTGACAGTTCGAAATTATGACGGACCTTCCCCACCCACCCCCGCCCCCAGAAAGCTACTTACCGCCCAGTTCTATACAGTAGATAAGATACGGAAATTACAGCTCCTAGCGCTCCTCACCGCCAGCTGACACTTGGTGGAATTACTACTTGTAGTACGGTAGGCAATCGACGGAAGGCAGCTGTTTTTGCACCAGAGGACTACAATTTCCATGAACCACTCCCTCCCCCACACACACACCTGGCTGGAGGGGATGGGGGGAGAGAGACACCTCCAACATGGGATCAAGGCTGACTGCCAGGGAATGACCAAAGGGATTAGTAATGCAAAAAGAGACGGTGAACCATGAATGCTGGTCAGATCAAGGTTAGGGGTGATCGATGGCAACTTATTGGGGAGGGAGGGAGGGAGAGGGGGGAAAAGAAAGGAATGGGGTGCAAAAATGGAGTGTGTGCCCTTAAATTTGTCCTGGAAAGATGTGTAAAGCTCAGCTGCCAGCCAGGTTAAGGTAAAGGTAAAGATTCCCCTCGCACATACGTGCTAGTCGTTCCCGACTCTAGGGGGCGGTGCTCATCTCCGTTTCAAAGCCGAAGAGCCAGCGCTGTCCGAAGACGTCTCCGTGGTCATGTGGCCGGCATGACTCAACGCCAAAGGCGCACGGAAAACGCTGTTCCCTTCCCACCAAAGGGGGTCCCTATTTTTTCTACTTGCATTTTTTTTTTAACCTGCTTTCGAACTGCTAGGTTGGCAGAAGCTGGGACAAGTCACGGGAGCTCACCCCGTTACGCGGCACTCGAACCGCTGAACTGCCGACTTTTCGATCGACAAGCTCAACGTTTTCAGCCACTGAGCCACCACGGCCCTATGTGTAAAGCTCAGCTGGCAGCCAGAACTTGTCCTAATTCTCTTCCCAAACAATCAAGGGCCAAGAGGAAATTTTACATGGGAGGGAGGGAGGGAAACTGAGGAAGGGGCGCTGTGTTCTCTCTAGTAAAGGGGTGTGTGTGGGGGGTCTGGCTTGAGTGCATTTAGGAAGGATGAGCGGGCATCCTCAGCTGCTTGGCTCAACGAACTTGAGGGTAGAAACAGCTTCTACCTTCGGTCCGGGGAGGGGAGGCAGGAGGACTTCAAAAGAGCTTGATGATAGATTTGCGAGATTTCCCCACGCCGATCCACTTGACTGAAAAAGAGAGAAGAGGGAGGGGGAATTGGGTGGAGTGAGACCTAAAGGGGAGACCACCAGGAAATCAATTCCCCCAGGAAGGGGTAATTCTGGCATCGGTCAGAATTACAGAATAGCAATAGCCCTTAAGACTTATATCCCGCTTCACAGTGCTTCACAGTCCTAAGCGGTTTTAAATAAAAAAAAAAATTCAAATTAAAAAAAAAAAAACAAGCCAATTTTGGACTGTCCAAAAGGCTCACCTGGCACTTCCAGATAGTCCTCGATAAACCGGATGTAAGCCTGGGCCTCGGCGGGCAAGTCGGCAAAGGTACGAGCTCCCTCGGTGCTACACCTCCATCCAGGTAGGTCTTTGAATTTGACCGTGACTTTGTTCAGGAGCTCCTGATTGGCTGCAGACAGCGAGAGGAAGGAACAGAGGATCTAGTTAGGGTCCTTGGGGATCTCGGAGCTTGGGGGTTTTCTGGCAGACGTTGCGTGACCCAACCGGGGAACATCATCAGGGTAGGAGGGAGTAGGGTTTGGGAGTGGGGTTTGGCAGGAGGACGACGACTGTGGGGTCCTTGGTGCGCTCTCAGCTTGCTTGTTTTCTGGCAGACGTTTCGTGACCCAACTAGGTAACATTATCAGTGCCAGAAGCAGGGTGGATAAAAATCAATGATTTTTTTAAAAAAAAAATCAAAAAAATCAGATTTTTTAAATTTAAATTGGATTTTTTTGATATTTATAGAATTTATTTTAATAAAAAACTTTTCGGGTCAAAATCTATCGTAGGATAGTTTTCTATTTAAGATACATAAATAATTTAGCTTATTCAGCATGAAATGGAGCTTAGTTATGTAGCAGGAGGCTGTATATTCTGCAACACTGGGACTATCGGTGAGTCAACAGCGGGTCAAAGGAGCAGCAGAGAGGACAGTTGCTCTTTAAAAATTATGATTTAAATCGAGTTGATTTAAATCAAGCCTTTTTACTAGTGATTTAAATCGTGATTTAAATCAACTCGATTTAAATCAAATCCACCCTGGCTAGAAGGGAATGGGGATAGCGGAGAGGAGGAGGAGGAGGAGTGCTTGGTGCTCCCCGAGCTTAGTGGTTTTCTTGAAGACGTTTTGTGACCCAGTTATGTCACCTCATCAGTGCTAGAAGGGAGTGGGGATTGCGAGGAGGAGGAGGAGGAGGAGGAGGAAAAGGAAGGAGGGAGAAAGAAAGAAAGGAAGGAAGGAAGGAAGGAAGGAAGGAAGGAAGAAAGAAAGAAAGAAAGAAAGAAAGAAAGAAAGAAAGAAAGAAAGAAGAAAGAAAGAAAGAAAGAAAGAAAAGAAAGAAAGAAAGAAGAAAGAAAGAAAGAAAGAAAGAAAGAAAGAAAGAAAGAAAGAAAGAGGAGGACTGTGGGGTCCTTGGTGCACTCTTGAGCTTAGTGATTTGCTTGCAGACCTCTCAATACCCAGCCAGGCAACGTCATCAGTGCTAGAAGGTTTTGTGAGGAAGAGGAGGAAGGGAGGGGGGAAAGGGAGAGGAAGAGGAGGCCTGTGGGGATCCTTGTTGCTCTCTTTGGAGTTTGGTGGTTTTCTTGCCAACGTTTCGTGACCCAACTAGGTAACCTCATCCATTTGCAGCCAATCCCTCTCCCTCCTAAACCTGATGATGTTACCAAGTTGGGTCACGAAACGTCTCCAAGAAAACCATCAAACTCAGAGAGCATCAAGGAACCCCCCAATTCAACTCTGACTCCAAATTAGCCTCTTCCATTGATACAGAGGCCAACAACAGTTCCTTAGCCTGCTGGGACTTATGGGTCTACACCCCAAAGTCCTCAGTTCTCACCTGGGAAATACGGAATCTGCTTCCCATCCAGATGGTATTCCACACCCACTTTGATCTCTTCAAAAGTGTCGAGGATGTCCAGCTTGGTCACAGCCAGCCTAGGAAACGTCCCAAAAAAAAGAAAAGTGTTATGATCAAAGCAAAAACATCCTCCTAGGATTATTGTTCACACTTACGACCGTTGCAGCCTCCTGGCGGTAATGTAAGCAAAATCCAGCCGCTTGGCAACTGACTCGTATTTATGACGGTTGCAGCATCCCGGGGGGCTCACACAATCTCCTTTTGCGACCTTTGGATCAGCCAAGTCAACGAGGGGGAAGCCGAATTCACTTAACGACGGCGTCGCTGATTTAAACAACCGCAGCGCTTCGCTGAACAAAAGGTGGCAAGGGAGGCCAAACTCCCTTCGCCGATTTCTCACTTAGCAACATAAAATGTGGGGGCTCAATCGGGGTCGCTAAGTCGAGGACTACCTAAGCTGCATAGAAAAGCAGAAAGCAGAAGTCTCCTCTGTCCATTAGGGGGCGTCATCTGTCCATTAGGGGGGCGTCATTCTGCAAATGGCGCCCTCTAGTGGAGCGCCATCTTCACAGGACGTTCAAATCCCGCAAGGAACAAGAAAAATAAAAGGAAGAGGAAAAAAAAGAAAAGAAAAAGAAATTTGGAAGAGACTCACGCGCTGAAACCGTTGATCATGTGGGCGTATTTCACCAAGACGAGGTCCAGCCAGCCGCAGCGACGCTTACGGCCCGTGGTGACGCCGAATTCTCGTCCTCGGGTCTGGAGCGTCTCGCCGATCTCCTGCAAAGGAGATTTTTTTTAAAAAAAATGTACGGAGCGTAGACACTCCCTTAAGGCAAATCCCAGTTTTTTTCTGCCGAAATATTCAGACACCAACCAAAAAAAAAATTAAATACCGGGTTTCCCCGAAAATAAGACATCCCCTGATAATAAGCCCAATTGGGCTTTTGAGCAAATGCGCTAAAATAAGCCCTCCCCGAAAAATAAGCCCTCCCAAAAAACATTTAAATGCATGAGCAGTTCGGAGAACCGGTAGTAAAAATTCTGCCCCCATCTATTCTCTGCCTCCTGAGTCCCAGCTGATCAGGAGGGAATGGGGATTTTGCAGTATCCTTCCCCTGGAGTGGGGTGGGAATGGAGATTTTATAGTATCCTTCCCAGTAGTGAAATGTCAAATTTGTTACTACCGGTTCTGTGGGCGTGGCTTGAATATGACCGAGTGGGCGTGGCCAACTTTTTTTTTTTTTTACACTTTTAAAACCATTTTTTCTACAACCTCTTCGGTTGAAGAGGTTGTAAAAAAAAAAACGCTTTTAAACTAAGTGTCAGGTTTCGATGCTATCTCAAAATAAATGAATTTCCAGACTGCCGATCTTTAAGGAAATTTTCTCTTTATTTGAGCACAGCGATCTGATCCTGGCTCTTTCGCGGTCAGGACTGACCTTTGCCCCCCCCCCCATCCCTCCCTTTCCGATCCCCAATTCTCTGCTTCTCATTGGCTATCTTCCAAGTCATTTTCCTGATCTCTTCTTCGTCAGATCACAGGAATGTCTCCCCCCATCTCCCATCTCCGAGGAGACAGAATCTTCAAAGGAATTTAGTAGGCAAAAGTTCAAGCTTCTCCTCTCTTTATATATGTCAGTGCTGGGACGCTGACACTAAGCCTCCGACGATCCCAGCTGACTTGCCTGATCGGGAGAAGCTTTCTTTTTTTTTTTAAAAAAGCCTCTGACGATCCCAGCTGACTTGCCTGATCGGCAGAGGCTTTTTTTTTCCTTTGAAAAACATTTTTTTTCTGTAACATCTGGGGAAGACCCAGCTCCAATATTCAGGGACTTACGTTGTTCTGCTCGGTGGGGAAGGTCCCCACGCCGACGCGGGTGGTGTACGCCTTCACTACGCCATATACCTTGCCGATGTAATGGGGGGGAATGCCAAGGCCGGTGCAAACCCCTCCAACGGTGCAATTCGAGGAGGTCACGAAGGGGTAGGTACCTTTGGGGGAGACGAGAACATTTTGGGGGGGCTACAAAAGAAGGTTTTTTTTTTGAGTCAGCGACACTTGCAAATTTAGGGTTAGAGTATCTAGTTAGAAGTTCACACCGCTATGCAACCAATTCTTGGTTACCGTACTAGGAAAAAGAGGTCGAGACTTTGGAAAAAGGTGCAGAGAAGAGCGACTAAGACTAATCCTAACCAATTGCCTCCCACCGGCCACTTCGCTCCCACAGAGAGGGCCTCCTCAGGGTGCCATCGGCCAGACAATGTCGGCCGGAGACCCCCAGGGGGAGAGCCTTCTCTGTGGTGGCACCTACCCTCTGGAACAATCTACCCCCAGAGATACGAGTGATCCCAGACCTCCGGACTTTTCGTCGGGCCCTTAAAACCTATTTTTTTCAGTTAACCGGGCTGTCCTGATTTTATGGTGGGTTTTTAAAAATTTGAAATTGGTTTTGAATTGAAATGTTTTAAATTATGGGCCAAACTTTATTTAATTATTTTAAATCTATTTTAACTTTTGCGTACAAATGTTTTACTTTGGCTGTTCACCGCCCTGAGTCCGAAAGGAGAAGGGCGGCATAGAAATCTGAAAAAAATAAAATAAAATAAATAAATAAATAAATAAATAAATAAATAAATAAATACACTCAAAAGAGCCATTTGGACCCCGTTTCCCACAGAAAAGAAAACACCGGGAGTCACAAAACTCTTCCCGTGGCTGACTTATTTCCTGAGCGGCCACAAAACTAGCATATGTAGTTGAATTAAACGTTCTGTTTTCTTCTGAAACTTTTCTTTTGTTGGATTTATCCATGGTTGGCCTACCGGGGGTAGAAAAGTTCAATAAATCGCGTGCCGGCGGGTGTCGCACATTGGCGGTTGCGACGCAGATTTTGAGCGACAGGGAGCCGCAGCAGAGGAGGTGAAAGAGCCACATGCGGCTCCAGAGCTGCGGGTTGCCGACTCCTGAACTACGATGATCAAACGCCCGGAGACTAAAACATATGAAGAACGGTTGCAGGATTTGGGTTTGGTTAGTCTCAGAGAAAAGGAGGATAGCAGTATTCCAGTATCGGAGAGGCTGCCACAATATAGGAAGGAGTCAATTTATTTTGCAAAGCAGCTGAAGGCAAGGAACAACGGATGGAAACTAATCAAGGAGAGAAGCAACCTGGAATTAAGGAGACATTTCCTAACAGTGAGGACAATTAACCAGTGGAACAACTTGCCTCCAGAAGTTGTGAATGCTCCAACACTGGAAGTATTTAAGAAGAGACTAGACAGTCACTACTCTGAAATGATATAGCATCTCCTGCTTCAGGAGGGGGCTGGATCTCTTCCAGCTCTATTCTGTTCTATCTGTCACCTCCAACAATACTAAGATGACTCATCCAGTTGCTTCTCAGGTTCCTACTGCAATCGGTCTTATCTTAGGATCAATGAGGACTAGAACCTTGCGTTTACAAAACATGTACGTGGCAGCTAGGTTCTTCCACAGCTGAAAGTCCAGCATCCTCATCTCTTGCTCTAGCTGGGAGTCAACGCATAAGACCTGGCTTTTTAAGCCCCCACCCTTTGGCCTCTGCCTCCCAGCAATTTGCCTCCTTGCAGCAAACAGCCTGTTTCAGTTTCATTTGCAGCACAGCCTGATTAGCAGAAGCAGCTGACTGTCGGTTGGATCTGCCTCCCGACCATCAGCTGTTTCAGGCTGCAGGGATTGCCATTGCCCACTGCTGCCTCCGCACTCCTCCGCTGTTTGCTGCAAGGAGGCAAACTGCTGGGAGGCAGGCAGATTTTTTTTTTCTTGTGCTAATCAGGCTGTGCTTAAAATGAAACTGAAACAGGCTGTTTGCTGCAAGGAGACAAATTGCTGGGAGGCAGATTTTTTTTTCTTATGTTAATCAGGCTGTGCTGAAACTGAAACCTGCTGTTTGCTGCAAGGAGGCAAATTGCTGGGAGGCAGAGGCAGATTTTTTTTTTCTTGTTTTCTTCCCCAAAAAAGGTAGCTGTGTTTTATAGTCCGGAGCGTCTTATACTCCGAAAAATACAGTAATAAACTGTGGTTTGAAGGACGACAAGCGCTGCACACCGTACAAACCTAGATACCAACTTTAAACTGGCTTGTGGGCCGTTTTTGATTCAGAAAAGAACAGCTGTAAACCAAAACAGTGAATTTTAATTTGCAAAAAGGGACGTTACCAAAATCTATGTCCAGGAGAGCTGCGTTGGCTCCCTCCACGAGAATCTTTTTGGAAGGCCCATGCAGAGCTTGGTACATGAAATAAACCCCGTCCTTCACCAGGGGCCGGATCTTCTCGGCGTAGATCTGCCGATCGAGAAAAATTGGCAAGATTGAATTAAATTGGGGGGGAAATATACTAAGAGAGTTGGAAGATACTTTTTTTAAAAAAAAAAATTTTTTTTTTCTTTTAATACAAACATTCCATCTTTCATTAAACAGTGTGTCGTCTGGGTATAAAATCCTTTGTATCTTAACAATTAAACTTACCACCGTAATTCATTTCGGACATTCATTCTTATATTAATACTAAATAATAATAATACTGATAAAGTAACATAAACCTAACATTTCTCTTCTTTACTCATCTATTTTTACAATACATTGCTTTCATATTTATTCTCTGAGGACTGGCAGATTAAACCAGCTATAAACACACATTTTCAGGAAACCTCCCCGCCCGGATGCCACAAAATACCTTTAGTTGTTCCAGTTCGGCTTCCGTGTCTATATTAAGCGTTGGGTAGCTGGCTTTGTACTGCTGGGCCAAAACCCTGAATCTGAAACGAGTCAATTCGTTAACTTTCCAAATTATTATGATCATTTATCCAATTTCTTTGTCTCACAGTACAAAGCCGACTCCGAGCGGCTTCCGGTAAGATTCAATATACAAATCTCCGACGATTATAAACATAGAGTAAAATGACAAGAAGTTTAAAACAAACTTTAAACAGCTTTCAAACCTTCTAGTTATGCTATCACATGTGCAGTAGCAAAATTCTGTGCAGCTGCAATGGCTTTACTTTACTTTTTTTTACTTTTATTTGATTTATATACCGCCCTACTCCCGAAGGACTCAGGGCGGTGAACAGCCAACAATAAAATACATATATACAAAATTTAAAAAGCAGAAATAAAATCGAATTAAATAGTTTGGCCCAGACAAATTAAAAACCCCAATCAATTTAAAACAAATTTAAACTTTGAGTATTAAAAATATTAAAATTATTTAAATTGTTTAAAAAGAGGGAGAAAGTTAGAGAAAGACTTTTCCACAAGGAAAAAGTCGATTTACAGAATTAAAGATGTTTACCGCACCAATTTCTGGTAGATATCTCTAACAATTTTTAGAGAATCTATATTTACACTCATACTTACCCGCTCTCCCATCATGTAACCAAGGGTAAGAGCCATACTGTTTCATATTATGTATTTTATTATTATGGATGTTATTACTAATTATTATTATTAGTATCTTTTAACACTATTTTTTAAAAAAAATTTAAAAAGTTTATTCATCATTCAAAATTAAAAACATCGGACAGAGATATGACATCACTTGTTCTAAATATCTTTCAACACTTTAAACTAATACAAAGTGTGTTAAAGTTAATATTATAATTCTTTAAACTTATACGTTATTTATACATAACATCATACTAACAATTCTGTATCATATTTCTACACACTTATACATACTTGTCTATTAATCTATAGCTGTACCTATGAGAATGGATGAAAAATATATACTTTACGACGGATAAATATGTATGTAAATTGCATAAATAGATATCTTTTAACACTATTGCAAACAGTGATAATTTTTCTATTGCTGGTCTGTGACTGTAATAGTTTGTTGTTGTTATTATTATTCCACTTTGTTAGGATATGGTTTGAGCCTAACAAGTTGTCCAGGCAATATAAGTGTACTGTAACTTTAGTCTGTAAATGTATTATGTGACTTTAAAGTTTTACTGCTGAATCTTTATAATGCTGAGTCATGCTGTAATTAGGTAATCACTGGTTGTGAGAGTATTTAAGCAAGGTATTGTAACGTGTTCAGTTGCTGCTATGATATGCTGCCATTGTGTATGAAGCTGATGTGATATGCTACCAGAGTATGATATGCTGCCATTGTGAGGAGTTGCTATCTGCTATCATCATTGGATGGATCTGCTACCATCGTGGTTTGTGAACCAGAGTGAGTTTGTTATTCTAACCAACTAATGTTTGTTTGGTAAGAAGATATCTGTAACTACTGGACTGATTTAACTGGCAAAGACTTGGAATTTGATTTCTATTTCTATTTTTTTGAATTTCTATACCGCCCTACTCCCGAAGGACTCAGGGCGGTGAACAGCCATAAAATAAAACACATACATATACAAAATTTAAAATCGAATAAAATGAATTAAATAAATTTGGCTGAATTGATACCCATAATTTAAAATACCCATATTTTAAAATACAGTAAAAATTTAAAATTTACACTTAAAAGGGAGGAGATTTAGGCGAGGCCAGCTTGATTTAAAGACTATGAGACTGTTTTTTCTACTATAAAGTAAGCTTTTGATAAAACCAGTTTGCATATCTCTTATCCATCACTCTCAGCAACGTTTCCTTGTGCGTTTACTCTGCTGGTTGGTAACACAACACCAATATCCTTAACACACTTATGCAGAGACTACACTGCAATTGTGCCTGTCCCCGATCCTCAATGAGGACTAGTGGCATCCCTGGATTCAACGCCCAATCCTACTCCCCCCATCCCGTGGTTAAGAGCTGCCAGCTCCCAAATTACTCACTTTTTGGAGAACTCATTGAAATCTGCCAACAGGTCACAAATGCGCAGCCCGGTTCGTGAAGCTTTCGAAGCGTAGGCAGGACCGATGCCTTTCTTGGTGGTGCCCAGGCTGTTGGGAGAAACCAACAGGGCATCGAACAGGATCTAAAAGGGCACTTCCCACCCTCATTCCAACTACAGATAGTCCTCGATTTACAACAGTTCGTGGCGCGACAATTCAAAGTTACGACAGCACTGAGAAAAGGGACTTGGCTCATTATTCACACTTACGGCAGTTGCCGTATCCCCGGGATCAAAATTCCGAGGTTCGGCAACTAATTGTGCTCATAAGTCAAGGACTACCTGTAATATTATCCAATGGTATGTTTTGTTTTTTGTTTTTATTAAATTTATATACCGCCCTGCTCCCGAAGGGCTCAGGGCGGTGAACAGGCACAAAATAAAATACATAGATACAAAAGTTAGAAACATAATTAAAACCAGATTAAATAATTCAGCCCGAGGCAATTAAAAAATCCCAATAATTTAAAACCGATTAAAATTTCGATTTAAAAGAATTTTAAAACAGGGGAGAAAATTAGGCCAGGCCGGCTTGCTGGAATAGGAGGGTCTTAAGAGCACGGTGGAAAGTGCGCAGATCCGGGATCCTCCGTATCTCTGGGGGGAGCTCGTTCCAGATAGAGGGTGCCCCCACAGAGAAGACCCTCCCCCTGGGGGCCGCCAGTCGACATTGTTTGGCTGACGGCACCCGGAGGAGCCCCTCTCTATGAGAGCGTACTGGCCGGTGGGAGGCTGCTTGTGGTAGTAGGCGGTCCTGGAAATCACCAGGTCCTAAGCCATGGAGTATGTGAGAATGGAGACTGGGAAAAGAGCCACAGTAGAGGGGGAATGTTCAGATAAGGGACAGCTGAACCCTCAGCTGCATAATGGACAGGGCAAAAGACTCAGAAGGGAACCTCCCTAGTTTCTCAGGATGTAAAGGAGACGGTTGGAATGGTATGTGGGGAAGACCTTGGGAGACGGGGCTATGATGCTGCCCAGGGAACAGAGATAAGAGACAGCCGAGCCCTCAGCTGCATAATGGACAAGGCAAAAGACTCAGAAGGTACCCTCCCTAGTTTCCCAGGATGTAAAGGAGAAAGACCTTGGGAGACAGGCTAAGAGATGCTACCCAGGGAACAGTCAGATAAGAGACAGCCGAGCCCTTAGCTGCATAATGGACAGGCTCAGAAGGGACCCTTCCTAGTTTTTCAGGATGTAAAGGAGATTACTGGAATGGTATATGGGGAAGACTTTAGGAGATGGAGCTAAGAGATGCTGCCCAGGGAACAGTCAGATAGGAGAGAGCCGAGTCCTCGGCTGCATAATGGACAGGCAGTTTCTCGGGCTATAAAGGAGATGGCTATAATAGTATGTGAGAAAGACCTTGAGGGATGGATGAAAAGATGCCAAGGAAAGGCTAAGATAAGAGACGGTTGAGCCCTCAGCTACATAATGGATGGATGAAGAAGTTCAGAAGGAACCCTCCCTAGACTGTCTTGGGATGTAAAGGAAGGGAAGGAGAATCTAGATCTATGAAGAGTTCAGAGAAGTGCGGGTATGTGGGAAAGACCTTGGGAGACGGAGGAAAGAAATTCTACCCAGGAACAGTCAGATAAGAGACAGCTTAGCCCTCAGATGTATAACAGGCAGGGTAAGAGGCTCAGAAGGGACCCTCCTTAGTTTCTCCGGCTGTAAAGGAGATGGCTGTAATAGTATGTGAGAAAGACCTTGAGCGATGGATGAAAAGGGGAAGGGTTAGATAAGAGACTGCTGAACCCTCAGCTGCATAATGGATGGAGAAAGCGGTTCAGAAGGGACCCTCCCTAGTGTCTTCAGATGTCAAGGTGAGGGTGGGGGGAAGAGGTGTACTTTCACACCAGCACAATACTGTTCAATAAAGTCAGAGGAAGTTCTTCTGGGTGTGTCTCCTGCCTGGACTACCTCGCAAGGCCGCCACTTCTCCATTTCAGCCTGCTGAATCATTTCCGCCCTTGGTCTTGAGAGTGTTTTGGGAGAGCAAAGCTTCAACCCTTCTTTCCCAATGTCCCACTTACTTTTTCCCTCCTTGCTGTTGCCTCTGTTGCTCCTGGATGCCGTCCACGGCTTGGTGGAAATTAAACACTAAAGAAATATAAGAGAGCCGGTTTTGTCCAGTGGTTTAAGGCACCAGGCTTAAGAGAGTTCTAGTCCTGCTTTAGGCATGAAAGCCGGCTGGCTGACTTTGGGCCAATCACCAGGAGACAGTGAGTTCTAGTCTCATTTTAAGCATGAAAGCCGGCTGGGTGACTTTGGGCCAATCACCAGGAGACAGTGAGTTCTAATCCCACTTTAGGCATGAAAGGCGCTGGGTAACTTTGGCCTAATCGCCAGGAGATTGTAAATTCTAGTTCTGCCTTTGGTATGAAAGCTGGCTGGGTGATTTTGGGCCAATCACCCGGAGACAGTAGTTCTAGTTCTGACTTGGATATAGAAGCCAGCTGGGTGAGTTTGGGCCATTCCTCTTTCTCAGCCCAGCCCATTGTAAATTCTAGTTCTGCCTGTATGAAAGCTGGCTGGGTGATTTTGGGCCAATCACCCGGAGACAGTGAGTTCTAGTTCTGACTTGGATATAGAAGCCAGCTGGGTGAGTTTGGGCCATTCCTCTTTCTCAGCCCAGCCCATTGTAAATTCTAGTTCTGCCTGTATGAAAGCTGGCTGGGTGATTTTGGGCCAATCACCCGGAGACAGTGAGTTCTAGTTCTGACTTAGATATAGAAGCCAGCTGGGTGAGTTTGGGCCATTCCTCTTTCTCAGCCCAGCCCACCTCACAAGGTTGTTGTGGTGGGAAAAAGAGGAGGAGGAAGGTATGTTGGATACATTCACCGCCTGGAGTTATTTGTAAACTAATATATAAATAAGCAAATAAGTAAGTAGAGGTGAGATGGAAAGTATTGATTCTTTCCTCACTGTCTCTCCAGTTTTTGCAAGATCAGGGCCCTCCAAAATCTCCCCATTTTCTAAGACTTACCCAAGTGAGCGCGATCAGAAATCACAGTTCGGGTTTCCCAGCCTTCCAACCCTGTGGAAGCAAAATGTTTAATATTACAGTCCTGGAAAATGCAATTTATTCCTTCTCCCGCCATCAGCCATTTCCAATTTTCACCCCGATTCGTTGTCCCCCGAGCCAAAATAATGGAGCGACTTCTCCCAACCGTAGAGACCCTACCAAGATTCAGATTAAACCTCCATTACGGTTCCTTTTAGGAACAAAAATAACTGGGACAGTTATGAAATAAACTGAGGTCGGGGGCTTCACAAGGGCAGCTCGGGGGTCTCGGAGGGGGAAGCTCAAGAAAATCTTGCTGTGGCCCGCCGGGGGCCAGCAGAGCTGGCAGCAGTCGGACAGTGAGGAGGTGGGGGAAGAACTTGGGCCAGTCCTGCTCGGACGAGGGTTCTGCATCGGAGGCAGAGAGGGGACCAAGGCCATCTGATAGTTATGTGCTGCCTCCGGAGTCTGACATCAGCGAGGCAGAAGAACAGCGGGAGCCTGTTCCCAGTGTGCGCATGCACTGAGCTGCCAGACGACAAGAACAATTAAGGAAACAGGGTCGACTTGGGAGTAAGGCTTGGAGATGATTGGCCCCTCCCGTAAGATATAAAAGAGAAGCAAACGGGACGTGAGCTTTTGCAGGAAGCAATTATTTCATCCGTCCGATTCAAGATTTGAAACTTCTGTTTGTGACTCTGTGCCAAGTTTGGCCTTGCTCTGCGTCTGGAAATTAGCTCTCTGGCAGCGTTCCAGGTGAGATAAGGTGGGTGTTGATAACCTTCCTCTGAAAGACTTTTTTTATCAAGCCTTGCGGACTGTAAACGAAAGTAATTTAAAGTCGTATAAATAAAAGAGGTTTTGTGGGACTAAGATTGTGCTTTATACTTTCTAAGGAAGCCCAGGTCAGAACAAATGTGAGGTAGACATCAAATCTTGGAGAACATCAGCTCTCTTTCACCTCAACGCTTATGAGAATTAGCAACTTCAGGATCATCCCATCCATTTTTATTTCTTTAAAGGAGAAATTAATTGTTCGGGATTTGGGGAACACGGGGGGTTCCCAGAACCGCAATTTGGAGGAACGGAAAGCTTAACGGAGTCTACAGATGTCAAGACCCTTATGGACTTTCATGGCGGACTTCCATGAAAGCGACGTTAATGATGGGAATCCCAAGAAGAAAATGTTGGCAATGGCCAAGTTTATTTCGGGAGGGAAATTAAAGGCAATTGGTTCAATGGCATTTTTATTTCTTTTACTTCCTGCGCTCTTTTCCTCCACGCCAAATTGCTCGGGAGAAGGACTCACCTGGTCCCTTTTTTAAATTCTTCTCAGCTTCTTCAAAGAGTCCCGGAAGGTGGATTACAACCCCGTTCCCTGGAATAAGAAGACAGCATCATCATACTGAAGTATTTTCTCGGGGTTTTATTCTTAAGGTAGTCCTTGATTTGCAACCGTTTGGTTTAGTAACCGCTCAGAGTTACAACGGCATTGGAAAAAGTGACTTGGGATTATTTTTCACACTTACGACCGTTGCAGCATTCTCCCCCCCCAAGGTCACATGACCCTAATTCACACACTCTTGGCGACCAATTCGTATTTACGACAGTCGCACTGTCCCTCGTGATTTTCTTTTGCGACCTCCTGACCAGCAATGTCAATGGGGAAGCCAGATTCACTTAACAACCGCGCTACTCACTTAACGAATGCAATGATTCAACCTAACAATTGTGGCGCAAAAGGTGGTAAAATGAAGCAAAATTCACTTAAATGTTTGATTTAGCAACGTAAATTTTGGGCTCAATTCAGTAGTGGGATTCAGCCGGTTCGGGCGAATCGATAGTTAAACTGCTGGCTAGCCCCGCCCCTCCCCACCCCTTCTAGGAGTCCCACACTCCCCATTTTGGCTCCCAGGAAAGTGTAGGGAAGCCTCCTAGGCCCAAAACAGGTTGTGGGGGGCGCATTCACATACCCCCCCACGGCCCGTTTTTTCTCCCAGGGGGTGCCAGAGGCTGAGCGCTGCCTGTCAAACCGCCTGGCCACGCCCACCCAGCCGGTCATTAGGGCAGAGAACCGGTTGTTAAATTATTTGAATCCCACCACTGGCTCAATTGTGGTCGTAACTCGAGGACTACCTGCACGGACACATGGATGAAACCTCACCAATGAACGAAGTGGCGTTGTGATTGATGACTCCGCTGGGCAACAGGTGGAAATCATATTCCACCGTGTCCACCACGACGGTGTGTCCTGCGTTGTTGCCACCCTGCGGGGGAGAGAAAAATCAAAGAGGTAGGTGTTGATAAAGGGAGACAACAAAAAAACACACAAGGCTGTGTTTACACAACCTGGACCCACACGTGCCGGGCTGCACCCATTACACCGACAACAGGAGATTCAAGGACAAAACTTTGAGAAAGGACTTCGAAAGATTTGTGGACTTCCAACTCCCAGAATTCCTCAGCCAACTCCCCCACAACTGCAAAGGATGGGGTTTGCAGTCCGCCCCCCCCCCCCCAGCCCCAGAGGATGGGCTTTGTATTCCGCCCATAAAGGAGGGAGACTCCATTCCCACCCCTACACGTTTGTGAGAAAGCAGCCTGTGACTGTGGAGGATGGAATTTGAAGTCCCCAGCTGCAGCAGACGATAGGATAGGATTTGAGTCCCCCAAACTGCACAGGTTGGGATTTGCAGTCAAATGGGATTTGTAGTTGCCCAGCTGTGGAGGATGGGAGTCGAAGTCACAACTGCAGAGGACAGGATTTAAGTCGCCCAATCTGCAGAGGGTGGGATTTGTAGTTCCCCCAATTGTGGGGGATGGGATTTGGAGTCCCCAGCTACAAAGGATAGGATTGTAAATCCCCCAATCTGCAGAGGATGGGATTTGTAATCCCCCCCCAATCTGGAGAGGGTGTAATTTGTAGTTCCCCCCCCCAATCTGGAGGGTGGGATTTGTAGTTCCCCCCAATCTGGAGAGGATGGGATTTGTAGTCCCCCCCAATCTGAAGAGGGTGGGATTTGTAGTTCCCCCCAATCTGAAGAGGGTGGGATTTGTAGTCCCCCCATCTGGAGAGGGTGGGATTTGTAGTCCCCCCCCATCTGAAGAGGGTGGGATTTGTAGTTCCCCCCCCAATCTGGAAAGGGTGGGATTTGTAGTCCCCCCCCATCTGGAGAGGGTGGGATTTGTAGTCCCCCCAATCTGAAGAGGGTGGGACTTGTAGTCCCCCCAATATGGAGAGGGTGGGATTTGTTGTTTCCCCCCAATCTGGAGGATGGGATTTGTAGTCCCCCCCAATATGGAGAGGGTGGGATTTGTAGTCCCCCCCCAATCTGGAGAGGGTGGGATTTGTAGTCCCCCCAATATGGAGAGGATGGGATCTGTAGTCCCCCCAATCTGAAGAGGGTGGGATTTGTAGTCCCCCCAATCTGGAGAGGGTGGGATTTGTAGTCCCCCCAAATTCATGAACCTGGGAGTTTTGAAGTCCCCAGCCGCAGAGGATAGGACTTAAAACTGGGGCGGATGGGCTTTGTCGTTCCCCCCAATGGCGGGGGAGGATGGGGCTTGTAGTCCACCCACCCCCCAGAGCAGAGCCGAGCCGAGGGGCTCACCTGGCACCTGCAGACCAGGTCGGCGTCGAGGCTGAGCAGGTCGACCACCTTCCCTTTGCCCTCGTCCCCCCACTGCGCCCCCAGCACCACCGTCGCCCGGTTCCCGGCAGGGGGAGCGTGAGGAGCCGACCCTAACCGGGCTCGCTTCCCGCCCGGCTCTTCGCCGTTCGCCCCGCCATTCAGCAAAGCCGCCGCCGCCTCCGAGCCGCCCTCTCCCGCCATGTGCTGCAGGGAAAAAGCGCCGAGCCCTAACATGGCGCCGCCCGGGCCGGCTTCGGCGCGCCAGCAGTCAACATGGCGGCGACCGCGAGCGAGGCTGAGCGCCTTCCCTCTTTTAACGTCTTTCTCCAGGCGTACGGCGCGCGAGAGGAGACAGTTCCAATGCGGGCGGAGCAGGGCTTCCGCGTTCGCCCTTTCTCCAATTCACCCCGGTAAGAAAGGAGAGAGGGACGCACAGATGTTTCTGGCGTGGAGCGGATAATAATAATAATAAAATAAAATAAAATAAAATAAAATAAAATAAAATAAAATAAAATAATAATCATATTCATCATCATTTTTAAAAAATGTTATCTAATTTTAGGTTCCATTTAATTGGGTCAAACTTATGTTATAATAATAATTTTAATTAGCAATTTTATGATGTTTGTGTACCTATATTTTTCTTGACAGTACACCGCCTTGAGTCCTACGGGAGAAAGGCGGTATAGACATATAATAAATAAATAAATAAATCATCATCATCCCTCTGGAATGAGTTGCGACCTGAAGACTTGGCTGTTCAAGCAAATAGGCTGACTGGTGATTCTGGGTTTTATTATTTATTATTTATTAGTTAATTTGGTTTAAAATGGGATTTTGTTGTACATGCTTTTAACTTGTGTCCGCCGCCCTGAATCCTTCTGGAGAAGGATGGCATATAAATACATGAAATAAATAAATACAAATAAAATAAATACAAATAAAATAAAATAAATAAAAATAAAATAAAATAATAAAATAAAATAATAAAAATAATAATAGTTGGTGTGGCACAACCAGCCAGAGGTTTTAGACCAGATTTGGCATCCTTATCCACAGATCTTGGTTAGGTAGGCAGGTGGTTTTTATTAAATAATATTAATTAAAGGTGTCAGTTGCAAGATGTCAGCTGCGCCAAGTCAAGCTGCCTTTTGCCATTGACCGATGGGGATTTTGCCAATGCCAGCGTTGTATAAAGATCCTTATCATTATATTATATATATCCTTATACCATTATAATGTATAATCCTCGATTTACAACAGTTCATTTTAGTGACCACGGCACTAAGTGATTTAGGATTGGGGTTTTTTTTCCCCACCCTTATGACCGTCGTAGCATCCCCATTGGTCCCGTGATCAAAAAAATTTGGGCCCTTGGCAGCTGGTTCGTACTTAGGACCGTTGCTGTGTCCCGAGGTGATGGAATCCCCTTTTTTGAGACCTCCTGTCAAGCGAAGTTAAGCCAGATTCACTTAACAACCTTTGTGACTCACGGAATAATTGCAGCGATTCAGTTTTAACAACTCCGGCAAAAATCTGCGGTACCTTTGGTTCCCAAAACTAAGAAATTGGGCTTCTAAAAGTTGTGTTCGGCTCAAAAAATTGCTTCTAATGAGAGCAGATTGCTTTAGGGGGGGAAAAGCACAAGTATATTACCAAAAAAAAAAGAATTCTACCCTAGAACCACTGAATTTTAACCCCAGCAGGAATTATTAAAGTGGCCAAATTTAGATAAGCTGTGAACAAGACCCTGGAGGCTGGAAAAACAGATGATGATTTGAAAAAAACAAGGTACAGGGTGGTTAGTTATGGTGATCCATCAAAAGTTGTCAAAAGGACTTGCTGAACCAAAATCCCACGTCCACTGAGTTATGACAAGTCGCAGTGATGCTTAGCTCCGTCTTTTCGCTTGCAGGAAGTAACCAAGTTTTTTATTTCCCGAATCAGGTTAAGAAAACTGTAGTTTAGTGTTGCGAATGTTCCCTTAGAGCAGTTCAACTTTTAAGTTTGGGGGGGAGAGGGACTTCAATTCCCAGAATTCCCCAGGCAGCATGATGGGGGAATGATGGGCATTGAACTCCACCCATCTTAAAAGTTGCTGGGATGAATGAACCTTTGGATTTTAAGGTGTTTTTGCTGCCCCAGCTCCCAAGTGTTATTATATTCTAAGCTTTGCTTTACGTAAGATAAAAAGGAAAAATTATCATCTCACAGAGGGACTCTAAATAAGTATTTTTTAAAAAAGCATATTGGATTAGAAGAGCGATACGGAAAAGGACATTAAATGCGTATACTTTCCTCAATCCCTTCCAAAATTTATGAGGCTTCTGCATCAGGCAGAGACCTTTCAATAAATGTTCCGCCATCAAGAACAGAAACGAAATGTCGAGTCTTCATTGTCGTCCGAGCTTGTTGGTTTACTTGCAGATGTTTCATTACCAAGCTAGGTAACATCATCAGGGCATCAGGGAGATAGGAGTTAGCTGGCTGTTTATACCCTCTCCTATATGCACCGATGTTACCTACTCCGGTGGGACAACATCAGCAAAGAAACAGCCAAACTCAAGAGCAAGAACTCAATAAATAAGGCTATATAGTCCTCGTTTAGCGACCGTTCGGTTACAACGCGGATAAAAAAATGAACTTTGCTAAGCTGTCCATGCACTGACAAACGATGCTGGTCTATACAGCAAAGGGAAGCGGAAGTCCAATCGTAAGAGCTGCCGGCAAACTGCTTAAAGACCAAGTTGCGGGTTCCAATGGTCACTAAATGAGGACTGCTTGTATTTCCCTCCCCCCCCCCGGTGAGAAGATGGGTTACGAAGAAGCACCGGATGTGAATCCCGCCCTCAAAGGCGGTCCCCCCTCTGGTTATCAACGAAACAGGAGACTTCTGAAGAGTACCCACATTCAAATTTATTGAAGAGGAAGGTTTTTTCTGCTAAAATCAAAATTAATTTCCAGAACAGTTTGGTCTTTGGAGATTGTGTTTCACTGGGGAGAAGAGGAGGAGGAGGAGGAAGAGGAGGAGGAAGGCCCAATGCTTCAAATGACGACACTGAAAAAGTTAGCGGTGCAACAGAAAAAGCTAGAGTCAAGCGAATGGCTAATTTATTCTAAAAATGGAAAGGTTTTCTTTTTCCAACCTACAGATGCCAGAATTGTTAAGAAAGGAAAAGTTACAGGTGTAAACAACCACACAAAAGTTACATGTTCAATGGCAACCCCTCCCTCCCCATGTTTTTATTTTTATTTATTTCTTTATTTTTACTGGCCGCTTCAACGTTTCACCATTCGTAAAAACTTATTTTTTTTTTCCTTTTTTTTTTACTGCCTTCGGTTTCGCTTGAGCTTTGTTGTCTACAGCAAACTAAGACATACAATCATGAAAAAACACTAACAGATTTTTTTTTTTAAACAGGCTGAATTTTTTTAAAGGGTTTTTTTTTTTTTGAACCGTTTGACTTTTTTTTTTTCTTCCTTTTTTCAGTTTGTTTTTTTACAAAAATGTGCAGAAAAAAAAAGACATCTACTAAAGTTGCTAAGAACTCTTCCTTTTCTCTCTCTCTCTCTCTCTCTCTCTCGGTCCGTTGGTCTAAGGGTGCAGCAGTTTCATTCATTCCCCAGTCCAGAAAGCCAGAAATCCCATTTTTTAAAAAGGTCCCATCTGAAAAAGACCCTTATTCCCCCCAAAAAACCCCCCAAAACTAACCCCTTTCTATTTCCTAGAAAGTACAGAAGCTAACTGGGGCCCAGCGCCTGTCCCCCCACTTATCCTGTGATTCAACAGGTGCAACCAAGGAACGCCTTACTGTGATCTCAGCAGCTGGCACTCTGCACATGAGCAAGGAATGCCCCACAGCCAACTTTTCAAAGCCCCTCCACCATTTCAAACTCACGCAAGCGGTCAGCTACTGAAGTTACTCACGAGCACGGATATTCTTCCCAGTCTCACCCTCAGCATATGTGCGCTGTTCTTTTCTCCAGAAGAATAAAAAAATTTTTTTCCCCCTCGGTGGCCTTAAGTATTGAAAATACCAGTTAACTTTTAGATATAAAAAACAGTTGTTCACACAACCCACATGCATGCATGGAGACAGAATTCTGCCTTTTCTTCCCCTCATCCATATCACCTTCCTTTTTAAAAAAAAATTAAAAAAAAAATCTACTTTCCCAGGCCCCTCCCGAAGTCGGCAGGATTCTGAATCTGGCTGAAATGCAGAAATAAGCATTTTTATTTTTTTAAACGGGGATGGAAATAAAAAGCTGCTTGCGAAGAGTGGGAAGGAGATTTCGGGAGAATCTATTCTTTTAAAGAAAAAAAAAAATTAAAAAAATAAAAAGCAAAAATTTAGAAACAATATAAGAACAAATAGGAAAAAGAAACCCCGTCCCCCCCCCCAAAAGCCACCCACCCGGAATTTAAAAAGTTTGAATTTCAAACAGTGAATCACAAGGAACTAATCTTTTAATCCCTGTGGATGGGAATCAGACATAATTAGCCAAGCTGGAGACAAGCAGCGCCAAGAAGCGAAGGGGTATTTACACAATGGGGAGGGGGGGCACCCAGAGGGCATCCAGTGACAAAAAGACTCCCAAACCCGCGAGAGAAGCCAAGAAAGACGAAGTTAATTCATTAATGGGAGGAAAAGGAGAATAGGGAAGGAGGAGGAGGAGGTGATGGAGGAGGAGGAGGAAGAAGAGAGAAGAAGACGACTAGCGGAAAGAGAACTATGCTTTCAAATAAAACACCAACATTCATTTTCCAAGCCAGAAACAGAGACGTCTGCCCAAGCCCCTCAACGCAGACCGTCTCCCCTTCCCCACATTATGTACAGAGGCCGATCCGTTTATCAAAACCACAACAACTACAGGATGATGGGCTTCCCTTCTCCCACCCCTGCACTTTTGACAGTATTTAAAAAAAAAATAAAAAAAAAAACCAGCAACAAAATAAAACGACCTTTCGATGCTCCACATTAAAGCTACTCGGAAGCTGAATTCGACCTGCTAGCACAGATTTTTTTCCCTATATACATGTCAGGTGCTAACAACCAGGAGATCCGGCAGAAACCCTGAGAGATTTAAGTTCTGTTCGTTCCGTTATCAAGGCAAAAAATAAAAAACTAAAATAGAAAATAGAAGGAGAGAGGAGGAGGAGGAGGAGGAGGAGGAGGAGGAGGAGGAGGAGGAGGAGGAGGAGAGGACGTAGATTCTGTACAGAGATGATCCAAAAAGGGGCTCTGCTAAATTTCGGGAGAGGAGAGGGGAAAAAAGAGCTACGGGCTTCAAACGGGGAGGGGGTGGGTGGGAATAACTGGCTGGTTTGGTGGTACGTCGGAGGGGATTTGTGAGCCTTTCTTGAAATCTCGGAGGAGGAACGGCGAGGAAAAGTTTAGCCTCCAGCCTGTGGCACCCAACATCTAACAGGCCATCCAGCAATTCACTGTCTGAAAATGCGGGCTGATATTTTGACAGAGCGGCGGAGGAGAAGGGCCCGAAAACTGAATTATATGTCGACATACGACTTCCTCCCCCCTGGGTTTTAAGTCGAAAACGGGGGGATGCCCAACCATCATCCATCTCCCCAGCTCTGCACCCCGTCTTCCCTGCATCGTCCCTGCCCCCCCAGGAGACCTGCCTCTCCCGTTTCGGTGCCCCCGCCCCGCCCCAGCCCCCAGGACAAGCTGCCAGCCTAGCCGCTCTACCATGTCTTGTTTTCCTATCCGATTAATAGACGGCTTTTTTTAAGTGCTGTTCTGTAGTTGTGTTTTTTTTTTCCCCCCCCAGGCGAACAAATGGGGATTACAAATGTCTAAACTAGGGTTTGAAATGTGGTTTGTTTTTTTTGTTTTTGTTTTTTTTTTCTCGGTTTTTTTTCCCCCCCTCTTTTTTTTTATAGAATAAGACAATATTTTTTTTTCCAACAAACTTTAAAAAAAAAAATTTACAATTTTTGTTTCGGTTTTCAAACCTCCCCCCCCCGCCCTTGCCCACCCTCTCTCTCTCTCTCTCAAACCCAGCCACCGCTTTCCTCCTCTTCCTCCTCCCCCCCCTTTCCCCTCCCCCCCCACTCCCATTTCCGTTGCTTGCTTCTGGAGAAGTGGCGGACATTCTCCCTTCTCCTTCTCTCCCTCTGTTGAGCCTGGGTGCTTGGCTGAAGGGTGGAGGCGGCCAAGGGGTTTCACCGGTACCCCTGGTATCCGTAGTAATTCCTGTAGTATCGGTCTCTGTCTTGATAGTAGTTCTGCCACTGAAAAAAGACAAGGGGGTGAGTTAAGAAGGAAGCTGGAGGAGGACTGATGGGAATTAAGAAACCAACTCAAAAAAAATAGCTGGAAGAACCAAATATATATACTGCTCAAAAAAATAAAGGGAACACAAGCAGAAGACATCCGAGATCTGAATGAATGAAATAGCCTTATTAAATACTTTGTTCTTTACATACAGTAGTTTATACACTGCTCAAACAACTAAAGGGAACACAAAAACTACTGTATGTAACGAAAAAAGTATTTAATCAGGCTATTTCATTCATTCAGATCTCGGATGTCTTCTGCTTGTGTTCCCTTTATTTTTTTTGAGCAGTGTATAATCTCCAACATAGATTATTTAACCAAACAATAAGATTTACCTTACTACAGGTAGCCCTAGACTTATGGAGGCCAAAATTTCTGTTGCTAAGCGAAACTTTTGTTAAATGACTTTGTCCCATTTTACAACGCTGCCATTGTTCCGTTAGTTGAACTGCTGTTCGGTGAATCTGGCTTCCCCAGGTGGTCGCAAAATGGGTTACTTGACCCCAGGACACTGTCGCCATCACAGATGTGAGTCAATTGTCAAACGTCTGGAGTTGTGATCATGGGGTCATAAACTGAGACAAAGCTCACTTAACTGTCTCATTTAGCAATGGAAATTTTGGGCTCAACTGTGGTCAGGTCATAAATTGAGGACTACCTGTAGTCAGATCCCTGTTGGAAGGGCAGTGGCACTTCCAGTTTTGGGCAAAACCACGCCCGTCGTTCGCTTCGCCACCGCAGTGTCTGCTTAAGGACTGCCACACACACACACACACAAGTCATAAAAACAGGCGACCGTCGTAATGTACAGCTATGATAGGCAGGTTTCATTAGGGTCGTACGTCGAGGACTACCTGTAACTCTGCCCTGGACGTATACAACCTCTTACCTCTCGGTTGTAGTCCCTGTAGTAGTCCCGGTATCTGTTGTAATCATAATCGCGTCCGTAGAAGCGATTGTAATCCCTGCCTCTGTAGCTGTCATAGAAGTTGCGATAACCCTGAGGGTTAAAAGATGTCAGTTAGAAGCATCGATGCCCGATTGGTCAGAAGCCTCAATCGTAGACCATGGCTTGCTCAAACCAGGGCCAGGCGTTACCGCCCTGAGTTTCTAAGGACCGTCCTTAGACCATCAAAGGTACCAAGGTTTCCAAACCACAAGCGAAGCCCCATCTATGGGATGCAGGCAGCAGCGGAAAACACGGCCTCTCTGGTCCACGGAAAACCCTTTCTCTATGGAACCGGTCCCTGCGGCCCGAAAGGTTGAAGGCCGCTGCTCTAGAACTAATGGGGAGGGGAGGGGAAGACAATTAGTGGTCCCATAATGGTGGCGCAGTGGTTAGAATGCGGTATTGCAGACAAACTCTACCGACTGCCAGGAGTTCGATCCTGACTGGCTCACGGTTGACTCAGCCTTCCAAGGTTTCAAAATGAGGACACGGATTATTGGGGGCAATAGGCTGACTCTGTAAACCGCTTAAGAGAGGCTCTGAAGCGGTATATAAGTTTAAGCGCTATTGCTACCTTCCTTCCTTCCTTCCCAATGGTTAGAATGCAGTATTGCAAGCTCTTTAAAAAATTGTATTTTTAAAGAAACAGTGCTGTCGGTTTTGAAAAAACGCCCTTATCAATGGGTGGGAAGGAAAGCCGGCCAGATTTGCTGTTATCAGTGACATGGGCAGCATAAAAATAAATGAATGATAATAAGCAACGCCTTGGGTTGCTTACAGAGTGGATAAAAATCAATGATTTTTTTAAAAAAATCAAAAAAAATCGGATTTTTCTGATTTAAATCGGATTTTTTTGATTAGAATCGGATTTTTTTTATTTTTATCGAATTTATTTTAATAAAAAACTTTTGGGGTAAAAATCTATCGTAAGATAGTTTTCTATTTAAGATACATAAATAATTTAGTTTATTCAGCATGAAATGGAGCTTAGTTATGTAGCAGGAGGCTGTATATTCTGCAACACTGGGACTATCGGTGAGTCAACAGCGGGTCAAAGGAGTAGCAGAGATGACAGTTGCTCTTTAAAAATTATGATTTAAATCGAGCTGATTTAAATCAAGCCTTTTTACTAGTGATTTAAATTGTGATTTAAATCAACTCGATTTAAATCAAATCCACCCTGGTTGCTTATTATCAAAATAATTATTTTTGATTATTATTCAATAATAACTGGAGCACCATTTGAAAACACCCACCGGCATTGACAAATTCAACGCCGGTCAATTGCAAAAGGCAGCTTGTCTCGGAACAACTTATATCCTGCGACGAGACCTTTAAAACCATCAAATGTCCACATCTGCCTAACCCAGGTCCTTGGCTAAAAAAGGCCAGATGCAGTCTGAACATCTTGTGCGCCGACCCACAAAAATAAAGAGATATACTCACCCCTCTGTTTCCAGGCTGCCCCCAGTACTGCTGTTGTCCATAGGCTCGGTTGTTGTAACCCCGGCGCTGACCTCCTCCGACTGGGAAAAACAGGAGAGAAAGTGAGTTAGAGCAGAGTTTTGGCTTGGTGAAATCCATCTGGATTTCCTAGCTGAATGGGGTTTGCTGCAAATGCCCCCTTTTAGCACTGATGACGTTATATACTGTATTTTTCAGACTATAAGATGCACTTAAATTTAGAAGAGGAAAACAACAAAAAAAAGTCCCCCCCCCTTTTTTTTGAACTTTTTTAGTCTGTTTTCAAGGCTTTTTTTAAGCCCATTTTTGAAGCTATTTTAGCCCGTTTTTTTTCAAAAAGAAAAAAGAAAAAATGGGTTGAAAAAAGTCCTGAAAACGGGCCCAAAAAAAGCCCCAAAAAGGGGCCCAAAAAAGCCTCAAAAATGGGCCCAAAAGCCTCAAAAACAGGCCGAAAAAAGCCCCCAAAACAGGCCGAAAAAAGCCCCCAAAACAGGCCAAAAAAGCCTCGAAAACAGGCCGAAAAAAGCCCCCAAAACAGGCCAAAAAAAGCCTCAAAAACAGGCCGAAAAAAGCCCCCAAAACAGGCCAAAAAAAAAGCCTCGAAAACAGGCCGAAAAAAGCCCCCAAAACAGGCCAAAAAAAGCCTCAAAAACAGGCAGAAAAAAGCCCCCAAAACAGGCTGAAAAAAGCCTCGAAAACAGGCCGAAAAAAGCCCCCAAAACAGGGCACGCGGAGGCCAAAAAATGGCTGGTGGGTGGGCGGGGCTTCGGCAATATCCAGTCTATAAGACGCAGAGATATTTTCACCCCTTTTTGGGAGACAAAAAAGTGAGTCTTATAGTCCGAAAAATACGGTAGTTAGTTAATGAAACATCTGTGAAAGAGAGCCAAGCTCAGAGAGCACCAAAGACCCCGTATAGTCCTCCTCCTCTCCGCAAACCCCACTCCCTTCTAGCACTGATAAGGATACTTGGTTGGGTAATGAAACGTCTGCAAGGAAGCAACCAAGATCTGAGAGCACTAAGCACCCCCAGCCCCAACTAGATCCCATCATGTGAGCCCCTCCAAATTCCCCTTTGTTCTTCCCACAAGCCGGCGGAAATGGCAGAGAAAGAAAAAAAAAAACCCGTCAATTTACAAGGGCCAAGGAACAAGCACAGCCAGAACCAGGAATCAACTCGCCATGGGACAATTCAACGAACACAAAAACTAAATTAATTTCGATGGATAGTAATAAATAAATAACTGAACTAAACAATTAAGGCGGTGTTGAGTTGTCCCGTAGAGGCTTGGCTTTCCTAGACCCTCTGAAAGGTGCCCAGAATTCTTTTGAAGATCTAAAGAAGCTCCCGGCAGTTCAGCAACACCAAGACAACTCTACCCCGCAGCCTGTCTCGCCCGCCTCCAGCCTCACCGTATCCCTGGCCGCGGTTGCGATTCTGGCGGTTGCGTTTGTTCCGGTTGTTGCGACGGTTCGTCCGTTTCTCGGAAGGTGGGAGGAGCTTCCGGGCATCTTCCTTGTATTTAGTGACCAGAGGCTGGGCCTCTTCTTTCGCCAAATCTTGAAAGAGGACTTCGTCGATGTAGTCGCATTTGTCCGGAAGGGAGAAGTTGGCTGGGATGGAGGGATGCAAAAGATCAAAGAGATGAGAAGGCCCCCCCCAAGCCTTAATTCCACCAAATGAGTGCCTCCCCCACCCCCCACATACACACACCAAGTCTGGATCTTTGAACGGACCGTACCTTTCATTTCCAGCATCACTGATTCCGGCACGTTCTCCCCTTCAGCTTTCTCCCTCTGCTGCAGCCTGTCCACCCAATCTTCCTCGCTGGGCACTAGCACCACCACTTTGCGAAGGAAGCCTTTGAAAGGCAGAAGTTTCCTTCGCTGGCCGGAGTTGTAGACGTTGCACTAGGGAAGGAGGGGAAAGGGGGATTCAGAAAGGCCGAGGTGGCATTCCGGGGGGGAAAGCAGCCGTGTCATCTGGATCGCACCCCTGAAGCCCTCCAGAGCTGCTGAAGTACAGCTCCCATTCGGAGCCGTGGTGGCACAGCAGTTAGAAATCAGCATTGTAGGCACAGCCAGGAGTTCGATCCTGACCGGCACAAGGTTAACGCAGTCTTCCGTCCTTCCGAGGTCGGTAAAACGTGGACCCAGGTTGTTGGGGGGCAATAGGCTGACTTTATAAACCACTTAGAAAGGCTCTAAAGCACTTCAAAGTGGTATGTAAGTTTAAGTGCTATCTTTCTTTTCCTTCCTTCCTTCCTTCCTTCCTTCCTTCCTTCCTTCCTTCCTTCCTTCCTTCCTTCCTTCCTTCCTTTCTTCCTTCCCAATGGTTAGAATGCAGTATTGCTGGCTCTGCCCACAGTCAGGAGTTTGATCTTGACGGGCTCAAGGTTGACTCAGCCTTCCGTCCTTCCAAGGTGGGTAAAATGAGGACCCAGATTGTTGGGGGCAAGAAGCCGACTCTGTAAACCGCTTAAGAGACACAGCGTTTGCTTAAAACTGGCTCAAAAAGACGTAAAATCAGGTCAGGCACATCATTGACCCATTTTACGACCATAATAGACAGGCTCTCCAATAAGGTCGTAACTCGAGGACTACCTGGACAACAATCCTTTGGCTTTTAAAGCTGCCTGCATCTATCTGGCAAAGAACACCAACAAACACTAATAAAAAAACCAAAAAAAAACCCCCCCAAGTGTGAAGGGTTCCAAAAATTGCATCCTCACTCTGCTGGTTCAGAATCTCTTGTGGAGATGAGAAACTCTTTTTTTTTTGACATCCATCAGAGGTCTCTGGATTTTTAAATATAAATTACCTGATCGAGAATAAAATTTCTCCTTGTCCGGGGTGCGATCTGGACCAGTTTGCTCACGCAACGGGCAGCTTGCTGAAGCAGCGAATCGCGAGCTTCGATAGGCAGCGGCTCTTCAACCGCGAGGCCTTTTGTCTGGCGAGGAAGGAAATTGGGGGAGAGCAGAAAGATTAAAGGAGGGAGAAACCCCCCACATTTGGGGAAAGGCGAGGGAGGGATTGATCGGGGGCAGGTTACTACTCAAAATTTTTGGAAGTTACGTATCACCAGATAGGATTGGTTTTTTTTTTTAATTTGATGAAATCAGAAGGACGAGAGAGGCCCCTGGGATATCTCCTGGGAGTCCCAAAGAATGACGTGCAGAGTTAACCATGATTTCCTTAATTGCTCTTCATCCTCGACTTACAACAGTTCATTTATTGACAGTTCAAAGTTACAGCACTGAAAAAAGTGACTTTTTTTAAGCGTTGAAGCACCCCCATGGTCACGAGATCAAAATTCATTCAGATGCTTGGCAACTGGTTCATATTTATGACAGTCACAGTGTACCGGGGCAGGGTGGGTGGGTGGTTGGGTTGTCACGTGATTCCCCCTTTTGCGACAAGCAAAGTCAGCGGGGAAAGCCAGATTCATTTAACAACAGTGTTGCTAGCTTGACTGCAGGGATACCCTTCACAACGGTGGCAAGAAAAGTCATAAAAATGGGGCAAAGTTCAATTAACAACTTCCTCACTTAACAACGGAGCTCAACTGTGGCCGTTAAGTCTTTGCAGCAGCTAGTCGGGGACACCCCTCTTTTTTTTTTTTTTTTACCTTCATTTGGTACAGGATGTTGTCGGTCCCCAAGATGTTGAAACGCTTGTCCTGATTCTCCTCGGTGTGCTTCTGGGCCCAAAACGTTTTCCCACATCCTGGTAGCCCAACCATCAGCAAAACCTGGTTCAGGGAAGACGGGAGAAAGAGAGAGAGAGTAAGCGACGCCCATTCGATCGAGGCCTCTGCAGGGAAGGAGGTGCCAAAATGCTATTAAGGTTACGTGGATGCCTTGAAATGAGACAGTCTTGAGGAGGAAAAAGATAAAAAGGGAAACTAAGCTATAATAGCCAGAAATATTTGTAGCCTTTTAACCAATCCATTAGGACAGAGAGATGGACTCAAGGAGAGCTTGCTTTGCGCTGCCGAAAAAGCTGTTGGCCCTGAATGCCAAATAAGAATAATAGCATTTGCCTATTGTGAGGTATCCCAAGGACTAGTAGCATGACTGGCTTTTAAAAGAGGTCTGCAGGGATTCCGGTGATAAAGCTATCAAGGGCTGCTAGTTACGATGACTTTCTCCTCAAGGTGGAAGCCTCAATTATTTTGGGGTGCTTCTCTGGTCTTCCCAGGGGCACTGATGACTGGCCACTGTGGGAATCAAAGCTCTAACACGCCAGGGTAGCATTTCCATTCTTAGTTTACAGAATTAGCAATCTTAGAACTGTGGAATCCTTGGTGTTCTCTGAGCTGAGCTGTGAGAAGTTTCATGACCCAACTAGGTAACCTCCTCACCCCGACAAGGCAAGCCACCACTCCCTTCTAACACTGATGTTACCTAATTGGGTCATGAAATGTCTCCAATAAAACCAACCAAGCACAGAGAACACCGAAGACTCCACAGTTCAAAATCTGAGCTACAAATATTCTCTTCTATTGGCAGAGTCTGAAAATTCCAAATGTGTTTCTAACTGTCTCCTTTGAATGGGATAGAGAACAAAACCCCACTGCCTTCTAGCACTAATGATGCCACCTAGTTGGGTCATGAGACGTCTGCCAGAAAACCGCCAAGCTCGTAGAGCGCTAAAGACCTCACAATTCAACCCTGAGCTACAAATATAGGCGGTACTCTTAAGAAGAAAAGAAAACAAGAGTTTCTGGAGCTTAAGGTTCAAGCCACAGCCCTTTCCCTTTTGGGAAACCTCTCATTCCTTGCCACTGATCAAACAGAGGGCACAGGGCAGTGCTCACACTTACAGAAAGGAGGGAGGACGCCCAAGGACAGGGATCTTCACACTTGGCAACTTTAAAGACTGGCAGACTTCAAATCGTGGAATTCCTCAGCCAGGCTAAGAAATTTTTAATTCTGGGAGTTGACGTCCACCAGTCTTAAAAGATGCCAAGTTTGGAGACCCCCCTGCCCAAGGAGAAAAAAATAATTTCAATCGGATCGATGTGGGCAGTCCACGGCCTGCACTGCCTTCCTGAGCTACTACTTCAATCAGACACTTTTCCTAAAGGGCTGCAAGATACGCAAGCCGATGCTAGGGATCGAATTTAAACGACACCTTTTCCACAGCTGCAACCGCAGCGCAAGCACAACTGCCAGCAGATCTCCCAAGACTGAAACTATCTAACAAGCTGTTTGTATTGGGGATAGGGGAGGTGGGGGGTGTGTGTGGGAAGGGAGCAAAACAAAGAGACTTAGGCTACCTCACATTTTGCAGGCGCTTTAGGGGGTGCCGGGGTGCGCACACGCTCCTCGGCGGGGACGGCGTGAATGAACAGGTAACCCTCAGGAATCGGGAAATAGGGCTCTTCCTTCTGGCCGAAGTTGAGCTCCACGGCGCAATTCTTGCACAGGACGTGGGGCAGGAGGGCCCTGTCCCCCAGCAATTCTTTGCTGATTTGGAAAGCCACGCCCAGGTCCTCCCCGTTCTTGGAGAAGGACAGCTCCACCTCTTCGCTTTCGAAATTCTGTAAGGCAGAAGACAGAAGGTGTGAGGGGAGTGGGGGGTGTTTATCGGCCCTGCAGGGATTTGGGGGCCACCCGAGCCATGTTTCGGGAGGGACCTCGCCGTTCGAGCAGGAAACGGCGGGTGCTTTGCTGAGCAGTCAGCAAACCAGACAGACAGATGGGGCCGTTCTAAGGAGATTAGAGCAAAGGCTGAAGATGGCACTTAAAGCAGGCGGCGGTCTCCTGAATGAGACCGGATCAAGGAACAGAGCAGTTTGCTTGTGCGGCACCTGGGTCCTGCCCCAAACTGGGGTTTCTCCAGACACATAACCCCCCCCCACCCCACCCCAAATAAAGTCTTCTTGCACGGCACTTACGGCAAAGCAACCGATCACGTCGTTCTCCCCAAAGGCCTGACCGAATTCTTCAAACTGCCCATTTTCAGCCTTCAGCCCTCGTCCATCATAGCCGTAAGAAAACTCATCCTCACCTATGAGACAGCAAATGCTTACTCGGGCGGCGCTGTGGACAACCCAGCCCCACTCCCTGGGCCCCTCACCATCGACCCGGGAAGGATCAGCTGAGCTATCCTGGAAGGTGGACTTACCTAGCTGGGAACGAGAGAGATCGATAGACCATCCGACCCGGAGCAGCTGAGTCTCTGTGCAGCCTTCCTTGAGTTGCAGGTTTTGTGTCACCTAAAGACAGGGAAGGGAAGACCAAAAACACCAGATGGGAAAGGGATGGGCCTAGAGATGGGAATCTCCCTTCCTGGTTAGTTTCACCTTCAAGTTCCCTGCTTCTGCAAGACTTGATTCTGATAAAAGTGCCCTGTGAATAGCAGTCTAAACCATTTGGCTTCCTCGTCAATTTATTTATAATACAGATAATCCTCCTTACATTTAAGTTACAGTGGAGCTGGTGTCTTGATAAGCAAAGTCAATGGGGCAAGCTGGACTGCATATATCATGTTAACAATGCAATGCCAAAAAGTTCATAAACTCACTTAATGGCCTTGCTTAGCAATGGAAATTCTGGTTCCAGTAGTGGTCGTTAAGTTGAGGACTATCTGTGCTAAAGGCTGCTGCTTTGTCCCCATTATCTAAATCTTTCAGGCAATCTATGGCTTTTTTCCCTACCGATTTTCAACCCTTTCCCTAGTGAAGCCACATCCTGCCCTGTAAAATTAAATGGATTGGCCCTGATCCCACTTGCCAGCAAAAGCTCTCACATCGACTGCCAGCCTCCTCACCTTCGCCTCGAAGCAGACTTTGCCTCCTTTCACCCCGTGTGTGCTTCTCGCCCCAGACCAGAGATTGGGGAACTTCTCCGAAAACAGAGGCTGCCCTCCATAACGGTCCTTGGTGGCTTTGAAGTGGAGATCGCATGTATCTGGGGGAGAAACGGAAGCGGGAGGAGAGTGGGGGCAATGAAAACCAGAGTTCGGCTAACTCCGCGACAAGCGGAGCCTTGGTAGTACAAGAGCCTACCAAGAGCTCTATCAAGAGCCTTGGTAGTACAGTGGTCTAAGGCACCCTGTTATTAAGCTGGTTATTAAGACCAGCTGCCTGCAATTACTGCAGGTTCGAATCTCACCAAGGCTCAAGGTTGACTCAGCCTTCCATCCTTTCAAAGGTGGGTAAATTGAGGACCCAGTTTGTGGGGGCAATAAGCTGACTTTGTATAAATATACAAAAGGATGAAGGCTATTGCTTAACGCGTTGTAAGCCTCCCTGAGTCTCCGGAGAAGGGCGGCATATAAATCAAATTAAAAAAAAAAAAAAGCAAAAATAAAAAAGTTGAGGCCTGCAATTGTTTTACTACATTGTTGTTTTTTTTCCTGTTGTAAACAGAAGCGGGAGATTAAATATGGAAAAAAAAAATAACGCTTTGTTCACTAAGAACAAATTCCCCTGATTTCACAGAATTATACTTTGAGGAGGAATAAGGCCGCAGGCTCGCCTTATGCGCCGGATTGAAGCGAGGACTGGTTATGACTCAAGATTGGTGTCCTGCTTCAAGAGGGAGGGACATTAAAATAAAACCGCAGAACCATTCAGGTTTCAATTATCTTCTTCAGGCAACTGGTGCTGCCTTGAGCAGGGTTGAAATTCACCTGGAGTTATACATATTTCATCTTGCGGGTATCTTTGCTTTCTCCCCTAGAGACAAGCGCACAGAATCGATACGTACATGTGTCCAGGATCACGAGAGTCTCGTCATCCTCTGTCCTAGGTTCCTCTTCTGGGGGTGGTGGAGACTTAGATCTGTATTGAAAAGGACAATCAAGAAAACCATCTTTAAAATTCAGTGTCATTAAAAAAAAAGAAGAAAGGTGTGTAAAAAAGAAAGCAACCCTCTGCTCTCTTCCCCAGTTCTGGCTTCAGGTAGTCCTCGACTTATGAGCCACAATTATGAGTTCAAAATTTCTGTTGCTAAGGGAGGCATTTCTTAAGCGAATGTTGCCCCGCTTTACGGCCTTTCTTTGCCGCGGTTGTTAAGCGAATCGCTGCAGATGTTAAGCGAGTAACACAGTGGTTAAGTGAATCTGGCTTCCCCGCTGACTTTGCTTGTTCAGAAGGTTGCAAAGCGTGTTTTTACGTGACCCTGAGATCCGGCAACTGTCATGAATGTGAGTCAGTTGCCAAGCGGTCTGAATTTTGATCACGTGACCATGGGGAAGCTGCAGTGGTTGTTAAGGGTGAAAAATGGTCGCAAGTCACGTTTTTCCAGTGCTGTCGTAACTTCGATCACTAAATGAATCGTTAAGTCAAGGACTACCTGTACCCCACAGACCAAAATAAGAAAATTGCCCACCAAGGAGCTTCCAAAACTAAAGTCAACTGTTCTGTGTTCCACAGAAAGGTGAGAGCCAGCCACTCACTCACTGGTACATCAATCGTTATCAGTGGCTGCAAACCTTTGATAACGTTTCTTCATTTGCTTCTAAGCCACTAAAACCCGTCCTCCAAATTCTCTACTGCAATTCTGTTTCGCTCCTCTGGCCTAGCGGATTAAATTCCCAGCCCAAACCATCCGTAGCTCACCGGCTGTTATAAGCCTCCTCTCGAAACTCAAAATAAGCACGACCGTGCTCTTCCTTCTCATCGCGCTGTCTTTTGAGGCCGTGGCGTTCACCGTCCGGCCCAGCCTGTTTTGCCTTCTCATCCTCATTTCCTGGGAAGAAAAACAAGCAGGCAGATTTTGTTAGGGGAAAAAAAAAACACCCATACAGAAAACAGGTAAGTCCTTTTCACCATTTCAAACATAGAATATAACTCTCACCTGGTGCTTAGACTCTTGAGTAGCCCAAATCCCTTGTGCCCAATAAATAAATAATTACGAACAAGCCTCACATCACATCTGTCTACTTTGGGTACCTATCATTCAAGGCAACTGCAGGAAATCAAAATGGCATGTTTCATTTTCCACTTCGGAGTTCTGCCTGTCTCTAATGCTCTCAGAGGGAAGGCCTTTTAACATATGCATGATTGATATGTACATTATCCCTTATTCATACTTTCTGGAAAAGCCTCCACATTTTAAAGACTAATGTGGATGCTTATATATTACAAAAGCTTTCTGAATGCAGAAAATCAATCTTGTGTAGATTAAAATCTCCCAAAGACTTTATCCCATATGTACAATCTACACTTCAACAGTGTAGATTGTAAAGTTAGAATGCATAGTTAGCTATGCAATTCATTATGTCATTAGTATGCTTCCTGCAGATAACTGTGAAATTTTATTTCAACTTATCTGCAATTAACCAAGTCCTCACTGGGTCTGGGGACCAACGATTTTACAAACCAAAGGAGAGCAATTTTAAGAAAAATATATAGCTAGAAAAAACTGATTAATTATATCTGGGACTTGCTATTTATTAAATATCAGCAGAGCACAATAAGCACTTCAATTTCTTGCAAAGATCTAGCAAGTACATCAGATTTGTAGTGAAAACTGTATAAATCTCCTCACACTGTTAGAACGTGATAATTAAAATATGCATTGCATTCCAAGACCAAATCTTACTACCATATTTAAACGTTTATACTGCTCATATGACCATCACCTCAAAGCAAAAAGGAATAATAATACGGAGAGGGCTGTTGGGAATATAAAGAAAATGTTCTGGGCTATAAAAGGTTAAAACCCCAAAACATATTTTTTAAGTATTTTCTTGCAGCTAGCAAAGAAGAATAGAGCAACTGTTCAGGCAACCATGACTTCCTATCTACTAAGCACATAAATTGAAATAGTAACAATTATTCTTTAATTATAATTATTCATACAGTATCATCGGTATTATTCAAGTTATGCTGTGGATGATACTCAACTTTATTTCAAACACATTCTAGAGCACATTCTATCCTTAAACTACTTTAGTTTTATTAATACTATGATGTTTATGAATGATTTCTGTGGATATTTCATTGTTTACATTGAGTTTTTGTTTTAATTTTATTGTACTCCATCCAGAGTCTGCAAGCAAGGAGGAATATTATAGATTTTACTCACACCTCAAATTCAGAAAAATAGATAGTTTTAACCCACCCCATTACCTTCTTTAAGGTGTGATATTTTAACCTAGATGAGAAAGAAAGCTAAAATGTGTTTCAAATCAAGACCATCCAAGACAACTGATGCTACCCAGGAATTCTGGAATTTATTTAGATTCTGGTAATCCCTAATAATGGGAGAGGGGCACCAGGTTGAATGGGGATCACACTTTGCGACAAAACAAAATCAAAACTGTATTTCACAACATATTTTACACAAATCACTGCCATGCATATTCTATCAAAGCAATTTCCTCCAAAAAAGTGGGAGCAGAACTGTCCTAAGAAGCCCATTCTAAGATTTAGCACAAAGAAAAAAAAAAAATCAAGTTATGCTGTAGATTATTCTGCTACAACAGCTTTTAAAGATACCAAAAAAAAAAAAAAAAAAGAAAAAAACACTGCCACAGCATTAGTACATTTGTAGAGGAAGACTTCCACAGTCCCTAATTTCAAACATTGTTTCTCTTTACAAAACAGTGGTTGGCAAAAGTCAGCTACTTTTTTTCTAGTCCCCAACTAGAATCTTCAGTGTTACTTGGCTCACCAATAACCCTGATGATCTTTCGGCAAACTAGAGGACGAGGTCATTTTGGGTCACGATTTTGCTGGTTTGAAAGCAACTGTGTGGATGCTGCAACAGTGTTCCCAAGTGCCAGGATTTTTCGGTGCCGTCATAACTTCAAACGGTCACTAAACGAACGGTTGTACCTTGAGGACAATGTCTCGTCTTTAAGAATGCCCAATACCCTTTGGCTGCTTCTAACCAATTTGTCCCTCTCTCTCAGCCCAATGTTGTGGGAAAAAACCAGGAGAAGGAATTTGTTTTACCTATGTTTGCTGCCTTGAGTTATTTATAAAGTGATAAAGGCAGGATAAAAAAAAACCAAGAAAGCAAGCAAGCAAATTGATGCCCAATTCTCTGCCTGCTCACTGCGGGAAGCCAAATAGAAAATAAATAAATAAATATACAAGTAGACAGGTAAATAAATAAAACTCCTCTGCTTGCTCACTGCCAGAAGCCAAAAATCAAATGAAGAAACCAACCAACCGACGGATAAATAAATAAAAATGGGAGCCAATTCTCAACCTGCTTACTACCAAAAAGCACCTCTAGGGATTATTACCAAGGACCCCCAAATGCCTCCAAGCCAAGCCATTACCATATTTCCAACAAAACAAGCCTGACTCGTTTTTCAGTTCTCCAAATGCCACACAACAGGACCATTTGGATGTTTGCAAAGTGGCGGGGACACACAGATGCTGCCCACCCCCCTCTGCTCTCTTGAGGAGCCCACCCACAACTGGGGACTCCCCCAAGACTCTGCAGCAGCCACAAGGGAGAAGAGAGAGCGCATGGCACCAACAGGTTGTACTTATTATTATTATTATTATTATTATTATTATTATTATTATTATTATTATTATTATTATTAAATCCATAAAGATGAAAAAAAAGGAGGGCAACCAACACCCATCTTGCTGAGGATGGGTTCTGGGGAAAAAAAGGTAAGTGAGCGGGCTGGGGACGATGGGAGCTGCAGTGCTAGCAGAGAATGGATAAAGGGGGCACTTGGTGAGGGGGATTGCAGGTCTCTCTATATCTCATTAGAATCCTTAATACTGGCAATTCTGTGGCTGTGATATTACTATTTATGCCTTTTATTTTTTTATTCCCACATTTTATTGAAGGTATGGTTATTATCGTTAGCATTATCCCTGTTATTATGGTTCATCGTACAGTCAAGCCAGATGTTCAGACTGGATTTGGCTCCCCCCCCCTCTTTCCCAAGGACCAAATAGGCAGGTGTGGATCTCTAATGGGGTTATGAATATCCTCACAGGATGTCAGCTTTATTTATCTATTCTAATTTAATTACAATCCAACACACACTCAGCCCACTATTCAACATGGATTCATCATCATATTTTTATTTTTATATTTTCATCATTATATTATTATTATTTAATTTTCAATTCGATTCAAAGTCTGGGCCTGGTAAAAACTTAACAGTTCAAGTCCTAACCAAAGACCTAAGACTTTTAAGGTAACTTAGTATTATTATTATTATCATCATCATCATCACCATCATTATTATTATTGATTTAATCTTCGATTCAAAGTCCAGTCCTGGTAAAAACTTAACAGTTCAAGTCCTAACTAAAGGCCTAAAAGCTTTAAGATAGCTGCTGCTGATTTATTGTTATTATTGTTATTCATTAAACATGAAACTCAAGTCAACTGAACACTCAAAAATGCATCACAAATACCATTGACTGGTGCTAATGGTTGATACGGGTTGCTGCCAGCGTCCTAGGCATCATCATCATCATCATCATTATTATTATTATTATATACTTTAGTCATTAAACATGAAACCCAGTCCACTGAACATTCAAAAATGCATGACGAAATACCATTGACTGGTGCTAATGATGATGATGATGATTTATTGGTTGAATCTTCATTCTGATTCAAAGTCCAGGGGCCTGGTAAAAAAAAAACTTAAAACCATTCAACTCCCAACCAAGGACCCCAAGAGCTGTTAAAAAAGTAAAACACCTAAACCTATATAGAGGCAAGTTCCAAAAGTAAAAATTATTATTATTCTCTTTTATTCATTAAACATGAAACTCAAGTCAACTGAACACTCAAAAATGCATCACAAATACCATTGACTGGTGCTAATGGTTGATACGGGTTGCTGCCAGCGTCCTAGGTATTATTATTATTATTATTATTATTATTATTATTATTATTATTATTATTATTATTATTATTATTTTACTTTATTCATTAAATATGAAACAGTCCACTGAACATTCAAAAATGCATGACAAAATACCATTGACTGGCGCTAATGGTTGATATGGTATTATTATTATTATTATTATTATTATTATTATTATTATTATTATTATTACCAGGTGGCTGGTTGTTGTTTTTTTTTCTTTCTTTCTCTCTCTCTCTCTCCTTTTTTTTTTTTGGCAAACTCAAAAACATTCAGGCCTGATCCCTTCCAAATTTCCATATATCACCATCACCACCACCACCACTCTCTGATGATGCCTTGCAATTAAATTAAAACACTGGGAGCTTCTTCTGCCGCCGCACCCCCCCCCCCCGGACCCCCCAAATTCCTGTATGCATGTATGTATGTATGTATGTATGTGTATGTACGTACGTATGTGTGTGTGTATATGTATGTATGTGTGTATATGTATGTATGTGTGTATGTATGTATGTATGTGGATGTATGTATGTGTGTGTATGTATGTGTATGTATGTGTGTATATGTGTGTATGTATGTGTGTCTGTATGTGTGTATGTGTGTCTGTATGTATGTGTGTATATATGTGTGTATGTATGTGTATGTATGTGTGTCTGTATGTATGTGTGTATGTGTGTGTGTATGTGTGTGTGTCTCTTGACCCAATCAAAGCATTCAATTCCATTCCATTCCATTCCTTCCCCCCTCCCCCTCCCCCCCCCAATAAGGAAAGCGAGGGGGAAGCGTGTGTGTTGTTGAGGGGGGAGGGGAGGGGGAGGATGGAAGAAAGGAATATAAAAAAAGACTTGAGAGGGGAAGAAAAGCCAACGCCATCCCTTACCTTCTTGGTCTCCGCCCTGCTCGGCTTCACCGCTGGCCGCTGAACCCCCGGCCGAGGCCGCCACCGAGGCCTCCTCGCCGGTTTCGGCGGCTCTTTGGGCGCCGTTGACCCCTCCGGGCTGAGCGGGGCCTTCCGCGGGCTCGGTTTGGGCCTGCTCGCCGCCACCGGACGCCGCCGCCGTCGTCGTTGTCGACGCCGCCGCCGCCTCAGGCTGCTGTTGCGGGGGCTGCTCCTCCTCGTCGGCCAGCAGCGCCTCCTCGTCCTCCTCCTCTTCGTCCTCCTCCTCATCTTCCTCCTCCTCTTCTTCTTCCTCCTCTTCCTCCTCCTCCTCCTCCTCCTCGTCGTCGTCGTCGTCGTCCCCCTCAACGCCCAAGCGGGCCCTGGTGAGGCTTTGCCCGCCGCCGCCGGCCGCTCCGGGTTCGGCGCCGGCTTCTTCAGGCCCGGCGGCCAACATCTCGGCGTCGAGGGCCTCTTGGAGCCGCTGGACCAGGTCGAGTTTGAGGCCTCGAGAATCCAGGCCTCGCCGCCCGAGCTCGGCCCGCAGCTCCGTCACCTTCAGCCGCTTCACGTCCATGGCGCGCGCGCTCCGCGGATGAGGGAGGGGGGGAGGGGAGGGGGGGGCGCGCTCCGACGCCAGCGCGCCTGCGCCGGCCACCACCGCCGCGCGCCAGGCGAAAGGGACGCGCCGCCCGGCGGCTACACCCTTTGCGCAGCGGAGAGAGAGAGAGAGGGAAATAAGGGACTGCGCCTGCGCGAGCGTGCGGCGCTCTCTCTCTCTCTCTCTCTCTTTTTTTTTTCTTTTCTCTCTCACTCTCTGGCGCGCGCGCGAAGGCCGATGCGCAAGCGCGGACGGGCGGGGTGAGGGAAAAAAAAAAAAAAAAAAGCCGAGGGAAAGAATGGAGAGGAAAGGAAGGCCGGAGGGGGAAGGAAGGAAGAAAAAAAAAAAAAAAAAAAGGGAGGGGAGGTTTTCCCGCGCAGGCGCGCGCGCGCCTCTGTGGCCTAATGGCGCGCCTGCGCGGGAAACCCCGCTTTTTCTTTAAAAAAAAAAAAAAAAAAACCCCCCCCCTTTTCTCTCACGTTTCGATTTTAAACGGAGGAGGCCCGCTTTTTTTTTTTTTTTGAACTTCCCTCTCTCCTCCCTGTCGCTACTATATAATATTATTATACTTAATAATATTCTTAATAAAAAGGAATATCGTCTCCTTGAAAGGCAACCGCCGCGGGAATGTCTTTCGTTGTGTTTGTGGGGGTTTTTTTTTTTTTTTTTTTTTTTGAAAGGAGAGGGCTTGGCTCGTTTTTTTTTTTTTAAATAAAGATCTTGCGCATGCGTGCTTGGGCGCGGGGGCGCGCGCGCGCGTGGGGCCTCTGCGTCGTGTCGATTTGAGCGGGCGTCAGGCGACTGGAGGAAAAGAACGAGGCCGAGCTTTCTGATTGGGTGCGGCTCCGCCAATCCGGGAAACGAAAAGGTGTTGGGTCTCCTGGTTTGATTTTTTTTTTAAAAAAAAATGTCCAACCAGACTCTGCGTTGATTGGATGAAACGGTTTCTCTCTTTTTTTTTTTATTTAAATTGGAGGTGCCGCCATCTTCCAACATCCCCCCCTCAAAAAATAATATCTCAGCAAAAGACAAATATTAAAATGAGTTATTTTTATTTTTTTTTCTTGGACAGATGCAGCTTTCAAACTATGCCATGGGGGAAACAAACAAAGCAGCTTCATTGTTACATGCTTGGCCATCTTTTCCAAAAATAAAGCCCTCAGCTTGGATAATCCTTTATTTAAACCCTTAAATAAAAAGAATTGCACCTCGTTTCATGCACATCATTCATTTTTTTTTATACATTAAAAATTAATATACACCATGCACATCTTTGCATATGTATTCTCCAAGTCGGCTAAAACAATAAAATACAATTTAAGGAAACTTAAAAGTCACTAAAATCTCCTTTTATCCTCTTTTAGCTCAGGAAACTTCACTATAATTAAATCTTGGAAGCTTGACTTTCCAAAGGATGGAGAGACAAAAAAATTAGATTTGATTTCCAATTTCACTGGCTATTTTTGAAGCTTTCTCCAAAAAAAAAAAAAATCTCTACAGTTCAATTTTATGCAGGCTAATATAGCTATAAGAGCTATTCTTGTTATGGTTATTTGTTTATTTATTTACTCAATTTATATTGCTGCCTATTGGCCCATGGCGACTCGACTCATGAACCCATTTCTTTGACAAATGTATATAACCGCCTGTCCTGTATACATTTTGATGTCACTATAGTTTGTATCAGACACCTATAGATCTGTTTTTATGTAATTGTTTTTCTATCCTGCTTTTACTATATTGAAAGCCACTGAATAGAAGCATAGAAACCTAGAAAACTGATAGCAGAAAAAAATCTAGCCATAAATTCTGTGCTTTTTAATTTTTTTGTCATGGTGGACGTGTTTATCCCAAGCGTAATATAATAATGTAAATTTAATAAATAGATGATACCATTTTAACAGCTACTTTGATTGCTATAGTCTTGTTTTTTAGCATCTAAATTTTTGTCAGACACTAAGAAAAACTAGGATATATCTTTTGGACAATTTTTCAGGGTCCTGATTTATTTAGGGTCTTCCTAAAATGTTATATTTTGGAATTTTCAATCATAAATAACTATGAACTGAGTTCTTTCATTGTTAACCACATCGACATTCATCCCAAGGATAATTTTCTCCTTTTAAATTTTCTTCTAGAATCTCTTCCTTGTATAATTCAGTATTGCAACATTGGAATCATAGTACAGCAAAGAGCATTTGTCCACTCTATGTTTTATGGACAAACCCCAAAATCTATTTTCCAAATTCAGACATGGCTCCAGTACCCCAACTTGTTGTTCTATAAAATGTGATCTCTCAGAAAAGTACATAAAATTATCCTGCTCTCCCAGGGACTGGAAAATCAGGATTATCTGCATTGTATGATCCAGATCTGATTTTAATTCTAGATGCATCTATACTCCTTTTCCACAAATGTTACTGAGTACCATGGACTTGAAAAAGGAACAAAAAAATCCCTACTCCATCTATGCCCCATGATCGGTACCCCAAAGTTGTCCAGTAGATTTAAAAATTGGGGGGCGAGAAATAAATACAGAAGAGAAGAGAAATATAGAATAGAATACAAAATAGAGTACAATGTAGTGTAGAATGTAGAAGATAGAATACTATATATATAGAATGGAATGGAATGGAACGGAACGGAATGGAATGGAATATATAGCCGTGATGATGGTGAACCTATGGCACGTGTGCCACAGGTGGCACACGGAGCCATATCTGTGGGCACGTGAGCGTTGCCCTAGCTCAGCTCCAGCGCACATGTGCGTGCCGGCCAGCTGATTTTTGGGCCTTCCAGGCCCACTGGAAGTCAGGAAATGGGCTGTTTCCGGCCTCTGGAGGGCCTCCGGGGGGGGGAGGCCGTTTTCATCCTCCCCAGGCTCCTAGAAAGCCTCTGGAGCCTGGGGAGAGCGAAAAACAGGCCTTCTGATCCCACTGGAAGTTGAGAAACGGGCCATTTCTGGCCTCTGGAGAGCCTCCAAGGGGGTGTGGAAGGCCATTTTTGCCCTCCCCAGGCTCTACAGGCTTTCTAGGAGCCTGGAGAGCACGAAAACGGCCTTCCCCACCCCCCACCCCCGGAGGCCAGAAACATCTCTAGGCCCATCCGCTTTTGGCACGCAACGACAAAAAGGTTAGCCATCACTGCTATATAGAATATAGAATACAATATAGCATAGAATGTAGAAAATAGAATAGTGAATAGAATAGAAGGTGGGATGGGATGGGGATGGGATGGATGGGATGGAATAGAATATAGAATAGTATGTAGAATAGAATAATATATACTGTAGAATAGCAGATAGAATAGAATAGAATAGAATAGAATAGAATAGAATAGAATAGAATAGAATAGAATAGAATAGAATAGAATAGAATAGAATAGGAATATAGAATAGAATAGGAATATAGAATAGAATTAGAATGGAATGGAATAAAATAGGAATATAGAATATAGAATAGTATGTAGAATAGAATAAATATACTGTAGAATAGCAGATATAGAATAGAATAGAATTAGAAGAATGGAATAGAATAGGAATATAGAATAGAATAGAATAGAATAGAATAGAATAGAATAGAATGGAATGGAATGGAATGGAATAGAATAGAATAGAATAGAATAGAATAGAATAGAATAGAATAGAATAGAATATGAAAGAATGGAATGGAATGGAATGGAATGGAATAGAATAGAATAGAATAGAATAGAATAGAATAGAATAGAATAGAATAGAATAGAATAGAAAATAGAATAGAATAGAATAGAATAGAATAGAATAGAATAGAATAGAATAGAAAATAGAAAATAGAAAATAGAAAATAGAAAATAGAAAATAGAAAATATAGAAAATAGAAAATTAGATATAGAATAGAATAGCTTTATTTGGCCAAGTTTGATTAGATAGACAAGGAATTTGTCACCACTGCAGCTTTCAATCTACAGGCAAATAAGAGAAAACAACAACAAAAACAACAACAACAATACCACAAGTATGCAACCCATAGAAGGGGGAAACAAGAGGTCATAAAAGAATAAGTCATCCTACTATCCTATCATGGGTTAATTAACGTCCTAGTTCACAAACCAAGGCTTCCCCACAGCCCGCAAGCCAAGCCTGCAGAAAGCAATGAGAAGTTTTTGGCCCCCTAATAAAGAAATACACCCCCCCCCAAAAAAACCCTCTAAATTCCAACCCATCAGCTGGAATTCAGCGGGTCACGTGGCAACCTGCGCGGCGTCCATTTTGGTAGTTTTTTGTTTTGTTTTGTTTTGTTTTCCGCCGGCCACTCGGCTTCCGGTCCCGAAGGGGGCGTGGCAGCTGCCCTGGAGAGCAGCTGCAAGCTCGCTTTTTTTTGCATGGCCGGTTGGCGGGAGCCGGTGCTCCTCCCGGGCCCCGCATGGCGTCGGCGAAGGTACCCCGTTGCAAGCGACCCAAGGAAGGGGGGCAAAGGGAGGGGGGTTTCCTTCTTCCCTTTGCTTGCATTCCTGCCAGGGAAGAGCCCTGATTAAAAAATGGGGGGGGAGTGGTATAGAAATAAAATATTATTATTATTATTATTATTATTATTATTATTTATTATTATTATTATTCCTTGCAAGTTTGCAATTTGCACCCCCAAAAAAAAAAGCATCCTGAAATTGCATTGGGAGGTTTGCATTTGCATTCCTGCCAGGGAAGAGTCCTGATTAAAAAATGGGAGGGGGGAGTGGTATAGAAATAAAATTATTATTATTATTATTATTATTATTATATTATTATTATTATTATTATTATTATTATTATTATTACTATTCCTTGCAAGTTTGCAATTTGCACCCCCCCCCCCCAAAAAAATGCATCCTGAAATTGCATTGGGAGGTTTGCATTTGCACGCTCTTGGTCCAAAGGGAAGATCGATCCGTGTCATCCAAAATATTGTGTTATTATTATTATTGTTATGTCGGGTCGCACAGTCAGCCAGATGTTGGGCTGGAGTTTGCATGTTTTGGCCACCTGTGGAGCCCTTCCCAAAGACTTGGGAGAGACAGATGTTGTTTTAATATGTATGAAAGGTCTGGTGACAGGAGGGCAGCTGTTGCAAGCCGAGCTGCCTTTTGCAATTGACGGGATGGGGATTTTGTCAATGCCCACAGTATTAAACGGGTGTTCACGATGATTATTATTACGGTTGGTTGTACAGTCAGCCAGATGTTTAGGACCTAGGAGAGGCAGATGCGGATGTGTTAAATGTCTCTCTGCGGGATGTCGGCTGTTCCAAGCCGAGCTGCCTTTTGCAATTGACAGGATGGGAATTCTGTCAATGCCCATGGTATCCTATTACGCCTAGCCAGCCAGTTGGTTAGAACTGGATTTGGTATTTATATCTATTGATCCAATCCTTCCCAGAGAACTGAGTCTGGCAGATGTTTAAATAACAGGCAGATATTAAATAAATCTCCTCCCAGGGCTGGCAGCTGTTCCAACTCAAGCTGCCTTTTGCAATTGACGTGACTGATGAAAAGGGTCACCAAAAGGGATTGCACGATCCCTGGGATCGTCGTAAATAGGAGCCAATCCTCTGAATGCTGATCCCGTGAGCGCGGGGGATGCCGCTTGTGGGGAAACGGTCCTAAATCACTTTTTTTGCAGTGACGTCCCTTTGAACGGTCACTAAATGGACCGTTGTAAATCGAGGACTGTCGTTTTCTTCTCTCCTGCGACGGCCAGGTTCCTTCCCAAGCAATCCCAGAGCAACGGCTGCAACAGGCTCGCATTTTCAAGGAGGAAGGGAACCGCTGCTACAAAGAAGGCCGTTTAGGGATGCCGTAAGCCGTTACCACTGGGCCTTACTGCAGATTAAGGGCCTGGATCCCAACATGCCTTCCCCACTTCAGGAATTCATGGGTGAAAAGCCGGCCGTAACAGCAGACCAAGAGAAACAACTGTACACAATCCAGTGTGACTGCTACAATAATCTTGCCGGTAAGTTTGCTTGCTGATATTATTTTCCCCCTCTCTCTTTTTTTTTTAATTTAAAAAATAAATAAATAAACAAAACATAAATCCCTCATCAATTACGAATACAAACAGCATGTCGGTTGCTTATTCCCTCATTCCGTACAAAATATTCTCAAATTTAAGTTGATTTATATTGTGACATTCGTTTCATCATCCTAGATCGATCCAATAACAACACATCTTTGTGTCATATTTTATATAATTCTACAGTTCTTGTATTACAAAGGTCTCAACCGTATTTCCTTTCCATATTATTTTATCTAGCCATTGATAAAATAGACTCCCATCCCTTATAATGTTGTTTATCTTCTTGTTCTCTTCATTTCAGGTGTCAGTTTACTCATTTCAGCACATTCCATTATTTTCTTAATAACTTCCTCTTGCGTTGGTATTTTCTCATTTTTCCAGCTTTTAGCAAACACAATTCTAGCCGCTGTTAATACATTCACAGTCAGATATCTCAATTCTCTATTATATATTTCAGGTACCATCCCCGATAAAAAAAATCTCTGGTTTAAAATCTATGTGTTTTTTTGTCATTTTTTTCCAACCATGTGTGGATTTTAGTCCAGTATCTTTTAGCTTCTGCACACGTCCACCACATTTTTTCCCCCCTCTCTTGTCGCTAAACGTTACCGGCCAGCGATAGAGGAAGTCCTCGACTTACAACCACAACGGACCGCCCCCCTCTCCCCAAAAAATTTCTGTGGCTAAAGTGAGACGTTGGCAAAGTAAGTTTCGCCCCGTTTGAACGACCTTCCTTGCCACCGTCGCAAAGTTGAATCCCTGTAGGTGTTTAAGTTAGTCCCGCAGTCGTTAAATGAATCGGGTTTCTCCGTCGTCGGAAGGAGGAATCGTGGGACGCTGCGACCATCGTAATTACGAGTGAGTTGCCAAGCGCCCGGATTTTGATCACGGGATGCTGCAAAAGTTGTGTGAAAAACGCCTTTTTTTTTTTTTCAGTGCTGTCGTAACTTCGGTCACTAAATGAACTGTCGTTAAGTGGAGGACTACCTGTAACAGAAATCAAACGGATGGGTTGATTTCCCACAATGCCCCAGTGTTGAACCAAGGGCATCCCTAGTAAATTACTTCATCACTCTTGAGTTTTCGTGAGATATCTTTTTGTAGGTAGGCCTCGATATGCGACCGGAATCGAGCCTGCCCGTCAGAGGTGCAGGTTGGGATGGTCGTAAGGCAGAAACAGGTCCAATTTTAACACTTTTTTGTGGCCGTTCGTTGTTAAGCGAACTGTCGTTCTCTGTGAGGCCTTGTTGTCCAAAACCTGGAAATTAACAGTGGACTTTGGCACAAAAATGTCATAAATCATGGGGCCTTCGAAGGCTGACGACAGCCATAAACACAGGCCTGTTTATGTCATAAACACAGGCCTGTTCACAGCACCTGAGATGAGGTCACGTGACTGCTGGGATGGCCAGCTATGGAACCAAGTTGTCGAAACGTCCGACGGTTGCTTAGCAACCGTCGCAAGTCAAGGACATCCTGTATTTAACTGGAAAATGGACATGGTCTGGATCTCCCAGCTTCCAAGCGGATTTTCACAGGATGTTACTCGTTTGCAATTTTTGTGGGTTCTTTTTTTTTGTGGTGGTGGTTGTTGTGTCCTGGAAACCACACGTTGTGTCTTTACCCGTCTTGTCTCTCCAGCTTGCCTCCTTCAGATGCCGCCTGTGAATTACGAGCGGGTGAAAGACTACAGTCTCAAAGTCCTAGAGAGGCAAGCGGACAACGTCAAGGCGCTGTACCGAGCCGGTGTGGCGTTCTACCACCTGGGGAATTACGACAAAGCACAACACTACTTGTTGTCGGCAACCAGCCGGCAGCCCAAAGGTGAGTAATACAGGCAGTCCTCGACTTAACGGCTGCAATTGAGCCTGAAATTTAGGTTGCTAAGTGAGACATTTGTTCGGTGGGTTTGGCCCCCACGTCCTGGTAAGTGAGTCACTGCAGCTATTAAGTTAGGAACACGGGTCGTTGAGTGAATCGGGCTTCCCTTTTGACTCGGCTTGTCAGAAGGTTGCAGGAAGGGGATCACGTCACCCTGGGACACTGCGACCATCATAAATACGAGTCAGTTGCCAAGCGTCTGAATTTTGATCACCACGGGTCGTCACTGTGAAAAAGGGATGGAATAAGTCGCTTTTTTCCAACGTCGTCGTAACTTGGAACGGTCACGAAATGAAACGATGTAAGTCGAGGACTACCTGAACTGACATTCATCCCAGGCCTTGCCTTAAACCAGGGGTCCCCAACTTTTCGGACTTCCGGGACCACTCAATTCATAATTATAAATCCCGCGGACCGCTAATACGATCTGCCTAATGACTGGGTGGGTGGGCGGGGCGATGCAGTCATGTGACTGGGTGGGCGGGGCCAACTCAATGTCACTCATATTGAGGGGCGCCTTGCCAACCTCTACTCGCTACTCCTCACCTGCCCCCCCCCCAGGCTCCTTAGGGCCTCAACAGGAAGCAGGAGTTGGAGCTAAGCAGCCCCCCGCGAGAAAGAGTCGGCAAAACAGCTCAGTTCAAATTGGACCTGGCCGAGAAGGAGGCTCAGCAGAAGCACCTCACTGAGGACTAGGAGCATAGGCTTTCCAAGCAGAGGGAAGACCTGCGGGAGTGCAAGGCCAGGTACCGGCGCCTGGAGGCTCAGCGGGCTGAGATGGTCAGCCAGTTCCACTGGAACGAGGCTCTCCGGCTCTTCGCCACCAGCGGCTCTTCCCTCCAGCCTTCGCCCAAAGCCCCCCACCAGGAGGCCGAAGCAGACCCCAAGTCTGAATTTCTGCCCCCCTCCGACCCACACAAAAAGACCCCGAAGGGGGAGACTCTCTGCAGCAACACAAACGTCCATTGCACGTAACCGTCCCAGGGGCCGTAGTTTGAGGACCCCCTGATTTAGTGCGATACAAAAAAATGCAAATAATTTTTCTGCGGACCACCAAAATTTTCTCGCGGACCACCAATTGCCTTAAACCATGGTTTTAGTGAATAAATGGCTAGGTTCCCATCCCATACGGACTAGTAACACCATTGTGGTCCGTCACAAAAAAGTATGGAGATGAGATCGTATATATGAAACGTTTTTAAATATTTATCTTCCGTTTAAGTAAAGAATAATTGCTACATGAGGAGATCTGGAGAATTGTAAGCACGAAATGATTTCAACCGATTGAGATGCTGTCTATAATTGTAAGGATGATATTTTTACGTTGTTTTTTTTTTACTTTATTTTTTTTTATTTTTAATCTAAAATAAAACTTTTTCAAAAAAAAAATAAAATTGGGTCCGTCACGCCACCAACCTGTTTTACGACTGTCACAAGTTACAACTGTAATGGGGAACCTCCGTGATGGTCGTAACTTGAGGATGGTCTATATCTGCCAAGATGCTAAACCCAAAGCTGATAAAAATAGAATATTTATTGCTCGGGGGTGAACTACAGGTCTTTCGTGCTCTCTGAGCTTGGTGGTTTTCTTGCAGACGTTTCATGACCCAACTAAATAATCTCATCAGTGCTAGAAGAGAGCGGTGTTTGCAATCAGGCTACTTGTATATAAACAGAGCAATCCCACTCCTTTCTAGCACTGGTGATGTTCCCTAGTTGGGTCATGAAACATCTGGCTTGAGTTAATTTTAAATTGATTTTAAATTGGGTTGTTTTAATTTACAGCCAAAATATTTAATTATTTTAAACTGCTTTTAAATTTTGTATGTATTGTTTTTTACTTTGGCTGTTCACCGCCCTGAGTCCTATTTTGGAGAAGGGCGGTATAGAAATTTAAATAAATAAATAAATAAAAAACCACGAAGTTCAGAGAGCATCCAAGCCGATACCTGTTTGGTTTAGCACTGCCTTTATACAATCAAATCCTGAAAATTTTTAAAAATTTTTAAAATATTTCTTTCCCTTCTCTCTTCTCCCTCCCAGATGCAAACGTCAAGCGTTATCTGCAGCTGACCGAATCACAGCTCAGTATTTATCTCCAGAAAGAAAAACAGTTATATATGGGAATGTTTGGGTAGCAAAAAAAACCTGAGCTGGAAGTTACACGCCGTGTATTTCTGGTTTTATTCCTGTGGACGACACGCAATGGATCGATCGATTCTGGAGTTAGGTAGTGCCTTGAAAAAAAACAAAAAACGCTAATAGCCAGCCCAGCTAGGAAAAGCATCGTCAGCCAAATGTCCTCTTTATTCGTTTTTTCCGACACGTTTCCTTCCTCCTTTCCCTCCCTCGTTTTTGTTCATAAAATCTTGCGAGAAGTTCACCCGGGCTGGATGTGATTTCTTTGAATTCCTTGCTAATCGCCTGCTTTGCGTTCCCGTCTCCAGATGGAAAGAACGGAGACGGCGTTTTAAATCACCGCCTGGGATCGCTCGTCGCTTAAAATGTAATTTATGGAAATGATTTATTATTTTCGCACGAAAACGGGCCAAGCCGACGAATCAGGCTTTGCGTCAAATCTGATATTTGCTCCTCTTAATGGCTGGGGCCAGTTTGGATCTTATCTAACGTTGCGATCAAAGTGATAAAATATTCAGATGCCGGCTTAAAGTCTTCTGAAAACTTCGTGGTTTGCTTAAAAGGTTGATCTGGGACAGGGAGTCAGCAACCCGGGGGCTCTGGAGCCGCGTGTGGCTCTTTCATCTCTCTGCTGCTGCAGCTCCCCGTCGCCAGTCGGCACCACAATTTTGAGAGGAGCTTCTGGTTGGGAGGGGCGGGGCGGGGGCGGGAAATCATGGCGCACCAGGAAGAGACTCTATGGCAAGGGGCGGGTTTTCCGGTCAGCTCCACAATTGATAGGGCTTTCCGTTAGGACAGGTAGGGGAAAAAGGATGCCGCGCTAAGAGGAGTCTCTATGGTGGGGGAACTGGACTTCCGGTCAGCACCAGAATTGAACGGGGGGAGCTTCCGGTTAGAACCTTTGTGCGTCTTTCGAGCGTTTAAGGTTGCCGACCCCTGATTTAGGAGGTTCATGCCAAAGCCAGACCTGACATTAATAAAGAGGAATATTTTGTAATTCAGGGTTGAAACCCGGGGTCTTTGATGCTCTCTGAGCTTGGTTTTCTCGCAGACATTTTATGACCCAACTAGGGAACATTATCAGTGCTAGAAGGGAATGGGGATTGTGGAGTGGAGGAGGAGGATGGGAGGAAGAGGAGGAGGTTGACTGGGGGATCCTTAGTGCTCCCTGAGCTAGCTTGTTTTCCTCAGACGTTTCATGACCCAACTAGGGAACATCATCAGTGATAGAAGGAAGTAGAGTTTGCAGAGAAGAGGAGGAGGAGAACTGATACAGATTACTGAAAAGAGTGACTTATATGACCGTTTTCCACACGACCACTGTAGCATCCCCAGGGTCGCACGATCAACATTCAGACAACTTGACAACCGGCTCACATTTACGACGGTCGCACCGTCCAGGGGTCCTGTTCCTGATTCCCTTTTTTGCGACCTTCTAAGCGGCCAAATCCACGGGGGAAGCCAGATGAAGTTACTTAATTTACCCACTGCAGTTAATTTAACCACCGTGGCAAGGAAAGCGGTAGGCAAAAACTCACTTCACAAAGTGTTTCACTTAGCGACTTAGGAAACTCTGGGCTCCATTGTGGTCGTAAGTCGGGGACTGCCTGGACTGAGCTTATTTGAGAAGGGTTCCAACTTCCGCCGGTGTCGTCTTCTGCAAAGAAAGGATGGCCTTACAACTGTATTGACAATTCTGCAAAATATATATAAAGAAAGAAGCAGATATCCTGCGAGCTCCGGAACTTAAAATTTTAAAATAATTAAAATTTTATTTAACTAAGCTTTCGTCAGCCATCTGCTTTTAAGTTCTGGAGCTCGCAGGATGTCTGCTTCTTTCTTTACTAATATACCTGGAACTCGTATTTTAAGAATAGTTTGTAATATATATACATATACATACCGCAGTCTGACACATACATACATACATATATGTATTTTAATGGCTATCTCTGTTGCCAGCTCACATCCGTGCAAACTTGGCCTCCTCCCTTATTTCTAAGCAAATATTTTCTCCCTGTCAGCAGCTGGGAAACGGGCTGTTTGAGTTTCCCAGCTGCCTTGTCTGTCTTTATCCTTTGCAAATAAATAAAAAAAAAAAGGATTTTTTTGTTTTGTTTAGTTTGCTTCTTCCTTTCCACCCAGAGTCAAAATCCCCTTTGCTGCTGCTTTTATAACCCTTCTCTAGGAACGTACATCGGGAGCAGAAAGTCCAAAAAATACACATCTGGGGAATCTCTGCTTCTGCTTCTCTTTAAGAATGTTAAGTTTCTAGTCCTTATGGCGAGAGAATTTGCCAACACAGACGCTGTGTGTTAAAACCACAAGAGGGATTTCTCTCTCCCGGCTCTAGCAGATGAATAAATGCCAAATTGCTTTTAGGAAAAACAAAATTGGACACAAATACACCCTTCTACGGATCTCACGCCGGACGATTCACGATACAGGCAAGTCCTTGATTTATAACGGTTCGTTTAGTGACCGTTCAAAGTTACAACATCGCTGGGGGGGGAGGGGAAATGGCATGACCGTTTTTCACGCTTATAACCGTGACCGCCTCCTCGTGGTCATGGGATGAAAATTCAAGACACTTAGCCACAGACTCATACTTACGACGGTTCCAGCGTTCCAGGGGTCACGTGATCTCCCTTTTGCAACCTGACAAGCCAAGTCACTGGAGGTCTTAAGTTGAGGACTAACCTGGATGTGGTTTAAACATGGCTTGTTCAATAAACCGCAATTTTATTATTATTATTAATTGGGCATGACTCGGTTAGCGATGGAAATGCCAATCCCAATCTTGGGTCAGAAGTCAAGGATCACTTAAAAGCTCCTTTCTGATTGCATATCCAGCTTTTTTGGCCAAGGACGTAATGCGTGACTCAGTTTACCCATTGCAATAAGCCATAAGGTGGTTTGTTTGGTTCTGGATTAGTGCTGTCTGGACATTCAGGCTGTGTTATCAGCAGTCTACCCTACAAAGATAGGACATCCCTAGACAGTTTAACCATATTGTGCCTCAAATGCTGTCCCTCACACACACACAGCCACACAATCTCCCTTAACACAGCGCACAAAATTCAGCATTAAGGGAGCATCCAAATTTTTTAATTCTTATTTAGGGCTGGATAAAATCACCGTCACTTTTTTGGCACCTGCCTCGGTTGCCTGACTTTGTGAGGCTGCAATCGCAACGAAAAGTTGCCGGAGGGGACTTCAAAATACATCACACACACACACACACACACTCCTCAAATAAATTGTGATTCCAGCTATTAAAATTCCCAGCTGCGTTCGGTTGCGGTCGACGAGAGATCCAACTTTTCCAGGTGGGAAAACTGCCTTTTATCAACAAAAGAGAGGGAAGTTCTCGACTTACAACCGTTCGCTTAGTGACGGTCCGAAGTTACAGCAACATTGGAAAGCATCGTTCAACCTTCAAAATTTTTAAAAAATGGGTCGCTTAGTGACAAATTTGGATCTCAATTGTCGTAAACTGAGGAATTATCTCTATTTTATTTTTAACAAGCGTCTCGTTTATCAACGGATGTTTGGGGCTTGTAAATAGCCCTTCTTTTATTTTATTTTACTTTACTTTCCTGTCTCTCAAGTTTCTAGACCTCATGATTTGTTTTACAGGGGGATCCTCGAGTGAACGACCACAATTGAGTCCCAAAGGTGGTTTTGCAGGAGGCAAACTGGACTTTCTTGCTTGTTTTTTCTCTTTTGAAGACATTTCGCTTCTCATCCAAGAAGCTTCTTCAGCTTCTTGGATGCCCACCATCCAGTCAGAGCCGAAGAAGCTTCTTGGATGAGAAGCGAAACGTCTTCAAAAGAAAAAAAAACAAACACCTGAAAAACCACCTTTGGGACTCAATTGTGGTCGTTCAACCAAGGAACCCTCCCCCCCCCTGTAAAACAAATCAGGAGGACTAGAAACTTGAGAGACAGGAAAATAAAATAAAATAAAAAGAAGGGCTATTTTGGATATTTAGATATCCGAGAGATATAAAATACCTTGGGTGTTCATCTTAGCAGTTCATCGAGGTCAATTCAATTAAAAAAATATTATTATTATTTTAAAAAAGGTTGGGTTAGACTGCAGAGTTGTTGAAGCAGCGTTTCTGGGCCAGGAAAAGAATGAAAAGAAAGCAGATTTAAGGGCCAATTCTGCACGATCTTCGCCAAGCAAGCTTCGACTTGTTGGCATGCTCCTTTCTGTCTCCCCGCCTTGATAATTACTGTTATTAGCAATGCGGTGCCAAGGAATTGAATCTCGATGTAAACAGCAATTGGCAGAGAAGGCCTTTTATACTCTCGGAAAGGAAAGAAGAAAAAAAAAAAAAGGGAAAATAAAGCAACAGGTATGAGTTATGCAAAATTGCATAGCTTGGTGCGGGGGAAACACGGACTCACCTTCGTGGCACCTGATTTTTAAGGCTGGGGTGTGGCACACGTTGCTTTGATTTGCAGAAATAACGCACGATCCCTGAAAAAAATATAACCGTTTGTCTGAAGTGGGGTCGGGTTTCCTGGTGTCTTAAGCAGGGGGTTGGACTAGAAGACCTCCAAGGTCCCTTCCAACTCTCCTATTCTATTCTGCTCTAAAACGGGCAAAAGATTTTCTTTTCGCCCCCCCAGGAAACTGAACGGAGGGGCGGAAGCCGTTCTCCCATCAGCTACCACGTCCTTGTTTGGCTGGACTACGACGCCCCATCATCCCCAGCCAGCCCTGTTGCTCCCCGTTGAGGATGATGGGAGCCGTAATCCGAGGATAAGGTTCATTCACCCCTCAGAACCGTCTCTCTGGTTGACGCCACATCGAATCATTTCAAGGTGGCCTGTTTAACCCCAGTTAAGCCTGGGCTTAGCCATAAAGTAGCTTTTTTTTGTTTTAGTGTGACGAATTAAACCACAAAATAACGGATATAAATACAGATAACGGCTCCAAAATGGAGCCGTTATCCGTATTTTGAGCCGAATATGGATAACGGCTCCATTTTCGTGATCCAAAGCTGTGGGTTTGTAAGAATTGGAAAGACAAAATAGCCCTCAATTCATAAACAAGTCCAAAGTTTCTTTTGCTAACTGAGGCAATTGTTAAGGAAATCCTTACAGGTTGTCCTTGACTTACGACAGTCTCATTTAGTGACCGTTCGGAGTTAACCACGGCACTGAAAAAAAGGTGATTTACAGCTGTTTTTTCACACACGGCCATTTTGATCCCCCGATGATCAAAATTCGAACGCTTTTGGCAAACGGACTCATATTTACAACGTCCCGGGGTTACGGGATTCCCCTTTTGCGTCCTTCTGACCAGCAATGTCAACGGGGAAGGCAGATTCACTTAACAACCGTGTGACTAAGTTAACAACGGCCGTGATTTGCTTCACCAGGGTGGCAGAAAAGGTCATCAAACGGGGCAAGACTCACTTAACAACTGCCTTGCTTTAGCGACAGGAATTTGGGGCCGTAAGTCAAGGGCAACCTGTAATGGAAGATTGTCCTCACTGAGAACTAGCTTCGAATCCAGATGATTGGGAGGAAAGGTGATAGCATGACACAGGCTCTCCAAACTACCTCAGATTCTTGGAAACCTAACATCTTTTTTGGGTTTATTGTGTATGAGGAACCCAAAATAGCACTTGGCATTCACTGATCGGGCATAGACTACCCAGAGTGGATCACCGGTGGCAAACAATAAGAAAACTGCACATGATTGGTCCCTGATATCAAAACAACCAAGATCAGAAGCAGACTTCAACCAATTGTGACTTTTCTTCGATCCCCTTCTATGCTCCTGGCTGGCAGAATTAAGAAAGCCAATCCAAAGTGAGGAGGAGCAGGAGCTGACAGAAAACATCTCGGGGGGGATGGGGGGTGTTTCGAGGGAGATCTCGAGTTCAAGTTCAGCTTTGGTTTGCGTGCGGGCCCGTCGGTGTCCCACGTCTCGCGAGAGGTTTACATTTGAATTCAGGACATCCTCGGCCAAATTCAGGACCTTGCAGGAGGCCGTCTCATCGTCCAAACGACGAGAGAAACTTCTGCAACACGATCGCGACAAAAACCAAACCGGGCCCCCTCCACCCCCAACGCATTCAGACGTTAATTTATCTTTCACTTATGTCCCAAAGGAATGTCCTTTTTTTTCCTCTCTCTCTCTCTCTCTAGTATTTGGCAGTTCTGGAATTCTTGAAGGAGCGAGACACAATCTTCTTCAGCTCTTTGAAAGAACGGCTGCGTCGGAGCTTAAAGTTGTGAGGCGGCAGATCGGACGAATCCAACGTGGCGGAACCGTGCAGCCATCGGTCTCCGAGCTGGTGGAACATCCAGTCTCCGTTCAGGCTGACCGCGCTGGTTGCTTCCACCTCGCTCAGCCTGGACCCGTTGCCCGGACGTCCGGCCTGTTGCCGAGGCGGCAGGTCAAAATGACCGTCTTCTGGGAAGCAGAAGGTTGCCGGCGCGTCGGAGGAAAAGGCAAGGTTGCGGTTCAAAACCACCGGCGGCAGGAACGTCCCTCCTTTCGTGCGATGGCGTCCGGAGGACTTGCTGGAAATTTCCAGCACCGACGTCCATTTCGGCTTGATGGCCTTGCCTCGGTTGGTTTGAAGTTGGCTGGGGCACACCAGCCCCGCGGCCGCATGAACGTTCATTTCTGAACTGGCTCGGGCCCTGCCCGCCACGCGGGATGACGGTTTGCGCCGGAGACTTAATCTGCGTAGCAGTTCGCGGGGACTCAACCAACTTCTCTCGGTCGCCTTCTCACCTCGCTCGGACGTTTTCACCAACTCCCGCGAAGCGTGTTTGCCTTTGTACAGCTTGTCGACGCCAGTCACAGCTCGAGGCAATGACGTCTCCTTTCTCAAAGAGGGCTCGGCCTTGATTATCAGTTGGTGGGGCCCTGCTGCCCAAATTTTTTTATCTGGCGTGGCAGATGGCTTGTTCAGGACGAGTTTGACAGAAGAATCCTGAGGCGTTGGGAGGCATATAACAGATGACTCGCTAGGTTTAACCAGGCTGGTGGTACTCGATTGAAACAAGTTGATCTCTGGGAACGGCGGGAAGTCCCACAACCCGTCCAGGACCCGGGAATCTCGTGCTCCCTCTGAACCTTCAGGAGAACGCAAGTGAGAACAAGTGGAGATACGCCGTCGTATCTTCCATCCTGGAATCGGGCCCAGGACTTGACCAGCTACCGGTCCCGAACTGCAGATGGACGTCATCGATAAACTTTTCTGGTTCCCCGTGAGGTATCCCGATTCGGTTCGACTCGCTGCTGTGCGGCACTTGTACCGTAGCACCAATTTCGCCACGTATTGATCCAAGCGGATCTTCGGGAGTTCTCCGGAGCAGAGGGGGTCTCTCTTGGGAGAGTCGGATCTGGGAACCTTCGGAGGCGTCTCATCGAGATCTTCCTGGGACGAGCTTTGAGAGAGGCCGTTGGTGAAGAGAGGGCTCTGTAAAGCTACCGCATGGAGAGGACTGGGGTAGTGGTAGACTTCGTTGGTGTTTCGAGAGACCAGATCGGACTTGTACCGTAGGAAATTTGGGGGTCTCGAGAGGGGCAGGGAGCCAAGGCCCAACAGGAACTCGAGGTCACCTGTTCCAAGAGACACAATTAAAAAGAACTCGTGAGGTACAGGAATCTACAATTCTGGCGAGAATCTAATACCTCTTCCGGGTGTCTATCCGATTCTTTATCCCTTCGGATTTGTTTCCGAAGGTGCTTTTAATGAAAGGAGTGGTGCGGTGGCCTAGAGGTGGAGCCTCTCGCCTCACAATCAGGAGGCTGAGAGTTCAATCCTAGGTAGAGGCAGATATTTCTCTCTCTCTCTGGGCAGAATGAAAATATATCTGCTGAACAAAACTCCGCATTGGTGACAGGAAAGGCATCTGGCCATTAAAACACTCTGCTAGCTCCATTCAGTTGCCCAGACTCCACCCCCGCAAGGGATTATTATGGGGGTCGTTAAAAGAAGATGATGATGCTTTTAATGAAACAGAAATAGGGAATCGGGAGCTCCCAAGTACAGTTTCAATTTTTAAGATTATAGACCGGGACAGGACATCTACCTTAGAACAACCTTTCTATAGATAGTCCTTGACTTACAACAGTTCATTTAGGGATGGTTCGAAGTTACAACGACACTGAAAAACGTGACTTCTGATTGTATTTCACACATACCCGCCCTGAGTCTCCAGAGAGGGGCGGCATATAAATTTAATAAATAAATAAATTTAAATAAATAAAATATGTCCATCGCAGCATCCCCCCAGGGATCAAAATTCGGACGCTTGGCAACTGGCTCAAATTTATGGCAGTCGTGGCGTCCTGGGGGTTGTGTACTGCAAACGCACAAACCGTAAGCTACCTTTTCCCAACATCTACAAGGAAACAAATTCAGACTGAATGACGTGCCGAGGATTTTGCTTTTTAAGCCATAATTAGGTGGGGTATTTTGTACCTTGCCTTGAGGGGACTATAAAACGGAGACATCTTCGAGTAAACAAACAGGTTGGAACAGGGGAAGCTGACTCCGCTGCACGGCGAAGCAAAAACACAATTACACTCTGGTGCCTGCCTAACTTGGATCGTTTCCCTGGATCGACAGCTCAGATTTAGCGTGCCAGGGTTACTCATTCGACGGGGTAGAATCCAGTGGTAAAATGCAGCCGCCTTTATCCGGTTCGTGCAAGCTGATAGTGCCAGCGGCGAGTGGTTCAGTGAGCTGGTAGCGCCGCCGGCAGGAGGCTCCGCCCCCCTCCCAAACCGGGACGTCTTCGCATCCAGGAGGATTTATTATTTATTATTTATTTATTATTCGAATTTCTATACCGCCCTTCTCCTTTCGGACTCAGGGCAGTGAACAGCCAAAATAAAAAACATTTATACATAAGTACGATTAAAAATAGATTTAAAATAATTAAATTTGGCCCATAGTTTAAAATTTATCAATTTAAAATCCATATCAAAATTTAAAACCAACCATAAAATCATAAAATCAAGAGAGACCGGCTAACTGAAAGAGATGAGTTTTTAGGGCCCGACGGATGTCTTAACATTTGCTTCCTTTAGCGTTGCAATGAAATATTCAAAAGATCGAATGAATAAATCGATCCAGCCTTGCATTTATCATTCCTCTCCTCGATGTGAACCGAAAAAAAGTTTCTAGTCCTCATGGCTGCTTCCGGCATCCTTAAAACATTCACAAGAATTCACTTGAAACTCACTAGAAGAAAGACTGAATTTGAGAATTAAGCTTCTCTTAAGAGGCTGGTGGTTTTAGGAATCTTTTATAACAGCTCCGTAAAGTAGTCCGACGCTAAGAATGACAGCGAAATATTCACCAATAGCGATCCAGGTTCAAATCTCTCCCTTTGCCAAAATGGCTCCTGAGCTGCTACGTATGATCTAATCATGGCTTATTACACAAGCTCTACTGCAATGTTTCTCAATGGTGACAACTTTTAAGATGTGTGGACTTCAACTCCCAGAATTCATGGAATTCTTAAGAATTGAAGTCCATCCATCTTAAGGCTAGGGAATTCTGGGAGTTGAAGTTCTCCCATCTTGAGGCAAGCTGGCTAGGGAATTCTGGGAGTTGAAGTTCTCCCATCTTGAGGCAAGCTGGCTAGGGAATTCTGGGAGTTGAAGTCCACCCATGTTCAAATTGCCAATGTTGACAGGCTGGATTCACACGACACGCTTCGCCTGACTCCAAACACTGGAGTCAGCCAATGAAATAAGCCAACCATTTCACTGCCATTCTTAGCACGGACTACCTTACAGGGCTGCTGTAAGAATTTCCAAAACCAGCATTCTTAAGCGCGGTTTCATTCTCAAATCCAGTCCCTTCTCTAGACTGGGGCGATATCAAGGATGGCTGGAGGCAGCGATGAGGACTAGAAGCTTTCTTCATATAATACATGTGGGTATATACATCATTCTGTATTTATTTCTTTATTAAGTCATGTTTATGCAATGTATACTGGAGGTGGTGACCCTTTAAGAGCTATATATGCAATGAAATTTCATTTTTTAATGTATGCTGATTAGTGGACGTTCAAAGTGACAATAAAGTTTTGATTCTATTCCATTCCATTCCACTCCATTCCTCTGCTTCTACTCTGTATCTCTTCTCTTCTCTTTTCTCTTCTCTATCTCTCCTCTATTTCATTCCATTATCTGTTACCTCATGTTCTATTCTATTCTATTCTATTCTATTTCCTTTCCTTTCCTTTATCTTCCTTTCCTTTTTTCTATCTTCCTTTCCTTTCTTCTATCTTCCTTTCCTTTCCTATCTTATCTTCTATCTTCCTTTCCTTCTTTCCTTTCCTTTCTTCTATCTTCCTTTCCTTTCCCCCTTCCCTTCCTTTCCTTCTTTCCTTTCCTTTCTTCTATCTTCCTTTCCTTTTCCCCCTTCCCTTCCTTTCCTTCTTTCCTTCCTTTCCTTTCCTTTCCTTCTTTCCTTTCCTTTCTTCTATCTTCCTTTCCTTTCCCCCTTCCCTTCCTTTCCTTCTTTCCTTTCCTTTCTTCTATCTTCCTTTCCCTTCCCCCCTTCCCTTCCTTTCCTTTCCTTCTTTTTCCTTTCTTTCCTTTCCTTTCTTCTATCTTCCTTTCCTTTCCTATCTTATCTTCTATCTTCCTTTCCTTCTTTCCTTTCTTCTATCTTCCTTTCCTTTCCCCCTTCCCTTCCTTTCCTTTCCTTCTTTCCTTTCCTCACATCGAGGAGAGGCCGAGAATGATAAATGCAGGGTGGGATCAATTTCTTTATTCGATTTATAATAAATGCCTTATTCCAAACACTAAAAGGCCGCCCAATGTAAAAAAACATCCTCCTAGTGTCTTTTTTTTCCTCCCCTCTCCTTTAACAACAACCCTATGAGGTAGGCCGAATTGAAAGGGAAAGGCTTTCAAAATCTGCCAGGGGGAGCTTCTATGGCTGAGGCGGGACTCGAACTCAGACCTCCCTGCTCAGTACTCTCGCCCTTCTTCGACCACAGACTCTCTTTTATGTTCTCTCATATCTAGGACGGAGACCTTCCCCCCCCCCCCCCACCCTCCCTCCACAAGGAATACGGGGCCTTACCAGTGGATACCGGACGTCGGTTGTCAGTCCCGGCTGCCCTCGCCAAGGTCAGGCGCTGAAGTTGGAGGTCGAGGAGACGGACGGCAGCCTCGTCCGTGGACCGCGGGCGGATGAAGCCATTCTCGCGCAATCCGGGCAGGTGAGGGAGGGAACCGATGCTACACCGCGAGGCCCCCGGTCCGTCGCTGTGCACCGAGGCGCATGAATCCGAGAGGGAGCCCATCTCGCTGGTTTCGTAAAACCCTGAAATGTGCAGAGACCCCTGGTTACGACAGGCCGGGTTGCAAAATCCGGGTAGTCCTCGACTTACGACTGCAACGGAGCCCCCCCCAATTTATGTCGCTAAGCACAACAATTGTTCAGGGAGTTTGCCCCGTTTTATGCTCGTTTCTTGCCACGGTGGTTAAGTGAACTGATGCAGTTGTGTAAATCCGTCCCACGGTTGTTAAGCGAATCAAGACATTTGTTAAGCTAGTCAGACGGTTGTTAAGTGAATCGGGCTTTCCCCCCCATGGACTTTGCTGGTCAGGCGGCCACAAAAGGGGATCGCGGGACACTGCAACCGTCGTAACTATGAGTCAGCTGCCAAGAGCCTGAATTTCAACCGTCGTAACTGTGAGTCAGTTGCCAAGAGTCTGAATTTCAACCATCGTAACTGTGAGTCAGTTGCCAAGAGTCTGAATTTCAACCGTCGTAACTATGAGTCAGTTGTCAAGCTTTTCAAATTTGATCCCCTGACGGTGGGGATGCTACAATGGTCGTAAGTGTGAAAACGTGGCCATAAGTCCCTTTTTTTCGGTGCCGTTGTAACAATTTCGAGCGGTCACTATATGAAACCGTTGTAAGTCGAGGACTACCTGTATTAACTATTAAAAAAAGTTTAACAGGAGGAGGAGATCAGATCGACCAATCATGGGCAGACCTGATGGACTGTCAGGTCTTTTTCTGACATCTGTTTTCGATGTTTCCATCACGATGGAACCACCATGGATAGGAGCAGTCTACCCCAAATGCCAAATACCTTGCAGAAACAGGGAAGGGTGATGACTTTTGTGCCCAATTCTCTCCAAGACTGATTGGAACTGCCAGATTACAATACCCATCAGCCTCAATCTGCAGATACTGATTAAATATATCAGCTGGGTAGGATGAGCTAACACTAACCGTAATCTAACCCTAACCTCGAACCAGCTAACTAACATGCAGATTCAGCCCCGATCTAGGATTTTAACTTGTGGAGGTATAGATGGCTTAAACTACGAAACCACTGTGATAAATTGGGGCTCACGGTTGGCTGACATATCTTAGCTTGCGTTAAACCGTGGCTTGCTGGGCCAGAGATGAACAAAAACGCCATGATTGTTTCGTTGGGCTGCCAGAGAGAGTTTTGGACAGGTCTACAGACCCTGGTTTACACACAAACCCTGGTTAGGGAAGGCAAACAAAGGCAGACATCCAAGAAGGAAAATGAAAATATTAGGATCCGGATTGTCTGAACGTGGACGTACCTGAACTGGGTCTGGAATCGGCTTCGGGCACCTCCGTGGTGTCTCCTCCGTTGAGGCCCGCTTTCTTGGACTCCTCGCCCATCATCCTCAGCCCCAAACCTTCCTTGTCCGCGCCATCTTCGGCGTGAACGCACAACTCCATGTTCTCCGATGAGGCGTACAAGCCACAACGTCCCTCGCCGCATCCGAGGACGGACGCTGCTTTGTTCTGGTCCAACTTTGCGCCGTTGGGATGGATCAACTTCTCGTCTCCGAAGACATTGGGGTCCTCCTGTATGGCCAGGTGGAAGAAGAGAGGAAGGTCAAAAGATCCCTTTTGGTGGGGGTTGCAAAGACCCGTGGCGTGCAACCTCGGAGGGAATCCCGTGTTTGCCGGAGTAGATCCCTCACGCACCCTTGTCCATCCTTCCCCCTCGTTTTCGCCTCCTATTGGCCTGAAGGTACCAATATGGATTCCCACCATGAGGAAAACATTACGACGCTCCCAAGAAGCAAAATATAGGACAGGGATGGCTAATCTTTTTCTTTTTGGGTGTTTTTGCCCTCCCCAGGCTCTGGAGGCTTTCCTTGAGCCTCCAGGAGGGTGAAAACAGCCTCCCCAGGACTCCAGAGGCCCCTTAGGAGGCTGGAAATGGGCCCGTTTCCGGACTTCCGGAACTTCCAGGCGGCCTGTTTTTTGCCCTCCCCAGGCTCTGGAGGCTTTTCCCTGAGCCTCCAGGAGGGTGAAAATGGCCTCCCGCAAGCTCTTCCCTTCATATTCTTCTTTCTTTTTCTTTCTTCCTTTCTCTTTTTTTCTTCCTTCCTTCTCTATATTTTCCTTTCCTTTCCTTTCCTTTTCTTCTTTCTTTCTTTTCCTTTTTTTCCTTCTCCATATTTTGTTCTCTTCCCTTTTTCCTTTCCTTTCTTTTTTTCCTTTCTTTTCCTTTTCTTTCTTTTCCATCCTTCTCTATCCTTCCTTCTTTCCTTTTTCCTTCCTTTCCTTTTTCCCTTTCTTCCTCACTTCTTTCCTTCTCCACATTTCTCCAATTTATATTACCTGCCCGTCTCGCAAAACCTGTGACTGACATCAATCTTCCTGGGGGATTGTTAATATTGGGAACGTAAAAACACATCAACAAATGGAAGTAAGCAAAACGTAATCCACTCGCTGGTGCATTCCAAGCCTCTCAACCCTTTCTGGATCTCTGGAGCAAAATACATTCCATCGTTTCAGGTGGGTTGATCAAAACACTTCCTTGTGCAAAGCGTGTAGGACACCGAGCAAACCTGTTTTACAGCTACCCACTGTGTTTCCTCTTTGTGCGCCTTCCTGAATCCGATCAATAAACAGTCCTGGCATTGTAGCGACAGAGAAGGAAGGCTGTGAGATAGGAGAAGTGATCCAAAAGAGGGAAAATATTATAAATCCAAGACACTTCACCATTGAAAGGTGGATTTATGTCAAGGCGTACTTGGGGAAATCCAAGCAAAAACAAGAAGCTGGGTTTATATATATATATATGTGTGTGTAAAGAAAGAAGCAGACATCCTGCGAGCTCCAGAACTTAAAATTTTAAAATAATTACAATTTTATTTAACTAAGCTTTCGTCAGCCACCTACTGACATCGTCAGAGTATTAAACTACCATTACAGAGATCTCTGCCTTTAATAAATTTATTAATAAATAAATAAATTTGGCCCTTAATAAATTTGGCCCTTGAGCATGTAATAGGCCCTTCCAGCAATCTCCCACTTGTAATCAGCTGTGTTGTTCTTGCTGTCATCATGCTGGATGATGGAGGCTTCATTCCTACTGTTTCCTCCCTCCTAGCTTGCTTATCAGTGGGGGATGATGATAGCTTGTGAGCCATACTTAGTTAAATAAAATTTTAATTATTTTAAAATTTTAAGTTCCGGAGCTCGCAGGATGTATATCTATATATCTATCTCCTGAAAGCATCTTTTAAAAAAAATATATTAATATCAAAGTGGGCAGGAATCCCGGCGGATGTAAAATGAGGAACAGCCTTTGCAATGCAACTGGTGGGAAGTCAGAGCCGAGGAAATGGCTTTCCGACAGCAGAAAAAAAAATTAATTTTACCGGCCATTTAATGAGGCTTCCAGTCCAGGCCAGAGGTAACTATTTTGCAAATAATTAATCTACACCTTGAACCAACAGGGACTCGGGCAGGACTCTACAGCCAAAGGTGTAAAAGATTACGTTTGATAATGAGGCTGTGTATGATAAAAGATACCACGAAGTGGCTTCCAATTTTCTTTAACCGCGGTTATGAATACGTTTTTATATTCTGTCTTTTCTCTCTAAGGCAGTGATTCTCAACCTTGGCAGCTGGAAGATTCACTTGTATATAAACAAAGAGCAAATCCTACTCCCTTCTAGCACTGATGATGTTCCCTAGTTGGGTCATGAAACGTCTGCAAGAAAACCAAGCTCAGAGGATATCAAGGACTCGACACTCCTCCGCTACCACATCCTCCTCCTCCATTCCACAATCCCCACTTGCTTCTAGCACTGATGATGTTCCCTAATTGGGTCACAGAATGTCTGCAAGAAAATCACCCAGCTCAGAGAGCACCAAGGACCCTACAGTCCAACCCCGAGCTGCAAACATCTCCTTTATTGGTACTTTCTAGCTTTCTTTACACATTTGCCAAATATCCCAATGGTTTGATCGCCCTTTCCTGAATCCTTCCACACCTGAGGTTGAACCGAAACTGAAGTGGGGGGAGGTGGGGGAGAAATATCTACCTTCGCGTAGGCAAACTTTGAAAACCACAGGAATGCCAAGAGGCAAAGGCGAGCAAAGGAGAAAATAATTTATTTATTTTACACAAAAATGTAAGCGTGTCAACTTTTATTAGCCTCCGGTCGAGAGGTAACCGGTGCCAAGAGGAAGTCCCTATCCCTGCAAACAGAAAGTTTATTGTTTGGGTGAGTAGATCTCCCACCCACAAGGCCAAGGCCAAGACCCCAGTAAAAAAGCAAAATAATTCACCAGCCAGCGATGTATGCTAAAAGACATTGGTACTACCCAGGGGTGGGCTTCAGAAATTTTTAGCAAGGGGTTCTCTGCCCGGTTGCTGGGTGGGCGTGGCCTAGTCGCCTCCTGCACCACAGCGGGAGGGCGTTTTTGCCCTCCCCAGGTTCCAGAGGCTTTCCTCGAGCCTGGGGAGGGCAAAAACAGCCTCCCCAGGCTCCAGAGGCCCAGAAAAACCAAATTCGCCCCACCACCACCACCACATTACGGTGGAAACCCAGATTTTAATCCGTGTTTGTGTTTGTAAACACAGAGTAAGAAGCAGCATGGATGGCTCCAGAATGATTGTCAAACGGTGGGAGTCTTGCCATATGTTAAGCTATCACACACCCGATGTGGAGATCACACCGAGCCCAATTCGCGCCCCCCTCCGGCCTTCTTCCAGCCCACCCCTCACCCGCCCCGTTCCCTGATCCTTCCCCCCCCCGCCCCCTTTTTCAAAGCTTCAATATTAATTGCCCATCTGCCACGTTGCAAAAAGCTTTTTTGCTCTCCCACTTTTTTATACACCTGGTCCGTCTTCCTGGTTCCTAGCTCAGCCTTAAATCTAGTCCTTCCGTATTTGGGAAGTAGGTGTGGTGATCTCCTTTTGGAGGATCCCATTTTTTCTGCCCCCCCCCCCCCCCCCCCATCCAGGCTACAAGTCCTCCCCACCCAATCTGCCAATTTTGTCCCCCTCTTCCGGAGCCTAATTTCTCCCCCGCACAGGTGTCTTTTATTTACAACCTCGTTTTGCAAATTTATATTCTTATTTCTAGGTAATTTATTTCTAGGCAGCTTTGTTAACCTGAAAAATCCACCGGAGATCTGTTCCCATCTACAGGTAGTCCTCGACTTGTGACCACAATGGATGGAGCCCAAAATTTCTGTGGCTGAGTTGTTCAGCGAGTTTTGTCCCATTTTACGCCCGTCCTCGCCGCAATTGTTAAGTGAATCACTGCAATTGTTCAGTTAGTCGCCCGGTGCTTAAATGAGTCTGGCTTCCCCCATTGAATTTGCTGATCAGGAGGTCGCAAAAGAGGGATCAGGGACCCTGCCACGGTCATAAGTATGAGTCAGCGGCCAAGCGTCTGAATGGTGATCTCGTGACCATGGGGATCTTGGAACGGTCGTAAGTGTGAAAAATGGTATTTTTCAGTGCCTTTGTAACTTTGAAGGTCACTAAATGAAACTATTATAAGTCACTAAATGAACTATTATAAGTCAAGGACTACCTGTAAGATCATATCTTACCTGTATGGCCAATTAAATCTGGTAGTCCCTGGACTTTTTTGGATTTTGTCCCGTCCCCCCCCATTTTTTTTTCCTTGAAAACATTTCGTTTCTCATCCAAGAAGCTGGATGATTAAGAATCTCCATAGATATAAATTTGGTGGCAGGCAATTTTTCTGTCTCGTGCCTCTGGTTTGATAGCTAAGGAATCGAATAATACAAATATTAAAAACATGGATGATTTTGCTTGAGTCTGGAAAAGACTCCCGCTAAGTTTAACTCCTAATTACTTTATGGAATATCCATAAATAAAATAGCCTGCCGAGTTTAACTCCTAATTACTTTATGGAATATCCATAAATAAATAAAAGGGCCTGTTTTCTGTTTTCTCAATTCTAGCCTCACCCATGAGATTTCCTGGTGGTCTTCCATCCAAGTATTAACCAGACTCAGTTTCCCTTCCCATTCACGAAACAAAAACATGGCTGATTTTGCCTGGGAAAAAAGGTGTACATAAGACTCCAGCTGAGTTTAAACTCTGAATTGTTTTATGGAATATCCATAAATAAATAAAATGCCTGTTTTTATATATTTGTTTTCTTGTTTCTCAATTCTAGCCTCACCCGTGAGATTTCCTGGTGGTCTTCCATCCGAGTGTTAACCAGACATGAAACGTTCATTTTTCTCCGATAAGAGTAAAACCCACCATTAGCTCTATTTTTCTGCCTTTTCACAACTTGCCTGGATACACAAAAACAAACACCACACAGGTGAGGACTATACCACCCAGCCTTCTCAACCATCTCAGCCCCCTGGGGGTGTGTGACCAGGCTGAAAAAGCAGCTGAATATTTCTAATTAAACTTAAGCCTTTAATTGCAATAAATCCTGATTTTTTTTTTTCCTCACCTCCTTCCTTCTTTTAGCTTACAAGCGTTTTTTTTTTTTCAGGTAGCAAATTTCTTCCTAAGATTTTTCCTTTGAAATCCCCCTCTGGGGCTTTGCAATCAAACTCCGGGTAAAATTAAATCGTGGTGAAGTGAAATATTGATTTTTTTTTAAAAAAAATTTCTTTTTCTCCAACTTTGAACCAAATCCAAGCAAGCAGAGTTCATTCCTCGCAGAATAACCGGTAATTTCCCACCCACCCCCAAAAAATACAATATCCACCTTCTACACAGGAATATAATTCATCTTTCTACCCCGTCTCCCAACCCCAAGATCTGGTTTAGGGAAGGCCAAATCTTTCCTGGCTGAGCTCCCTTTACATTCACTTGAAAGGTAGGAATGGACAAGTCAGGAAATATTTTAAATAGCATTCAGGATCAAAAGATGAAAAGATACTGGACCCCCCCCCTCTCTCTCTCCATTTTTTTTTTTATTCCTCCGTTCAAATCTGCAAATCCCAAACATGGATCCTCCTGACCACATGGCAGAAGGGGGAAACCCCCCTCCCCAAATTCCAGTCTGCTCTTTAAACAACAAAAGCCGCTTGCGGAAATGATGGGAGTTGTAGTCGAATGCTTTTAGAGCACCACAGAAGCTCCCACCTAAAGGGATCCCCCCCCCCAAACGCACACAGATTGCCACCAGCTCAGACGGGGGGGGGGGGACCCATTGGCTCCCCCAAGCCTCAGCAACTTCTCCTGGGCTCTCCCCCAAGAGATCCTTTAAGGGTGGGATCCTCCTCCCAAACACGGGGCCAAAGATATCCAGAGAAGCTTGGAAATTAAAAAAGAAAAGAAAAGGTGGGAAACATTAGAATCTCTTATTGCACAGGCGAAAGTTTTCCTAGGATTGTTCGTGAGTCGGGGCTCCAAGAAAAGAAGCCAGTGGCTCTGCTTCCCTGCCAGATTAAACCCACTGGATCCCGCGCGTTTGCTCACCTGATGATGATGATGATGATGATATTATTATTATTATTATTATTATTATTATTATTATTATTATTTTATTCATTAAACATGAAACTCAGTCAACATTTAAAAAGGTGTCACAAATACCACTGACTGGTGCTAATGGTTGATACGGGTTTGTTTGTTTGTTTGTTTGTTTGTTTATTATTTATTTATTTATTTATTTATTTATTTTTTATTAATTATATTTCTATACTGCCTTTCTCCCGTAGGACTCAAGGCTGTGTACAGTCAAGAAAAATATAGATACACAAACATCATAAAATTGCTAATTAAAATTATTATTATAACATAGTTTGGCCCAATTAAATCGAACCTAAAATTAGATAACATTTTATAACATTGGTTTGCTGCCAGTGTCCTAGGTATTATATTATTATTATTGTTGTTGTTGTTGTTGTTGTTATTAATAATAATAATAATACCTCCGGGTATTTCGTTGTGCACTCAAGACCCTGTTGTTCCGCCAGGCTGGGCTATCAACATAACACTTTTAAATTGGGTTTTAAATTCCTGGGCTTTTCAATTGAGCCGAATTCATTTAATAATTTTAAAACTTATTTGAACTGATGTTGCCTTGTGTTTTTAATCGGCTTGTACACCGCCCTGAGTCCTTCGGGAGAAGGGCGGTATAGAAATAAAATTATTTATTTATTTGGCCTGGCACCTGATGGAAAGATTTTTTATTTATTTTTTTTTAAAGCCAAGATTTGCTTGGCTCTGCCAAGGAAAGGCACCCGATTCCCAAAAAGGTTTTTTCCACGTGCAATTTTCCCCCCGGGGGAGAGAAGAAGCTAGAGCTGGCCACGAAAGCCCACCCACCCAATATATATATATATATATTCCCCATCTCACCGATCTGGGCTCCTCCGACCCAGCCAAGGCGCTCTCCACGCTGGCTTTCTGCATTACGCGCAAGAGATCCAGTTCCCAAAGACCAGCCAGGCTGGCTTGGAGACGCTCGCCGATGCGAAGTCGCTCGTGGCCGGACCACAGAGAAGGGGGCACGGCCCGGCGGCCGGCCATGGGCACCCCAGGACGAGGGGACCGAGCCCCCAAACCGTGCGCCTTTGGAGAGGTCTGGCTGGCACGCACCTGGGGGGAACCAGGTGCCTGGAAGCTGGGGGGGCAGCAGATGGGAAGGGAGGAGGGGGGGGAGGAGGAGAGGGGGGGGGACAGATCTGGGGTGGGGGAGACTGTTCCCACCCACCCTTCTTTCTTTCTTTCTTTCCTTCCTTCCTTCCTTCCCTCCTTCCCAAGCCAAGAGAACTTCAGCTGCTTCCAAAGGCGCAGCCAAGCGCAATTCAGACAAAGGAGAAAGGTTTGAACGCGTCACGTGCAAACAGGGTTCTTCTCTCCCTCCCCTTTTTTGGGGGGGAGGGGGGGGCCCCCCGCCCCTTCCCCTCCCCCTGGCGTCGCCGGCTCCTGATTGGCCCACCCCCCGGGGAAAATTTTTTTTCCCCCCCCCCCACCACCCAGCCACACCCACCCACTCCAAGCCCAAGGAGAGAGAGAGAAAGAAAAAAAACAAGAAAGAAAGAAAAAAAAATAAAACTTTGCCAAAGTTTTTGCAAGGGCAGCCAGGTAGCTCAACCGGAGCGGCAACTTGGCTTGTCGCTGTTATTATTAAAATACAAACTTTCTCCCCTTTCTTTTACATTTTTAAACTGAAATTTTATTTATTTTTATTTTTTTTTTTAATTTGATTTAGATGCCGCCCTTCTCCGGAGACTTAGGGCGGCTTACAATGCACTAAGCAACAGCCTTCATACTTTTTTGTATATTTTATACAAAGTCAGTTTATTGCCCCCATAATCTGGGTCCTCATTTTATCTACCTTAGAAAGGATGGAAGGCTGAGTCAACCTTGAGCCTTGGCGAGATTCGAACCTGCAGTAATTGCAGGCAGCTGGTCTTAATAACCAGCTTAATAACAGGGTGCCTTAGACCACTGTACTACCAAGTACTACCAAGTTTAATTTGTTTTAAATTATTGGGATTTTTAATTGTCTTGGGCTAAATTATTTAAGTTGGTTTTAAATGGTTTCTAACTTTTGTATTTCTGTATTTTATTCTGTGCCTGTTCACCGCCCTGAGTCCTTCGGGAGTAGGGCGGTATACAAATTTAATAAAACATAAACAAACAAACATAAACAAACACACAAAGACACACAAAACACCGCAGTGAGAGTAGTTGTTTTTAAAAAAAAAAAAAAAAAAAAACACCTGGCAAATAAAATAGCCTGCCGAGTTTTAACTCCTAATGACTTGATGGAATATCCATAAATAAATAAAAGGGCCTGTTTTCTTGTTTTCTTAATTCTAGCCTTTATAAATTGGGTGTTTTAATCTGTGTTTCGGCCAAAATATTTAATAATTTTAAGGGACTTTTAATATTTGTATTATCTGTTTTTTTTATCTTGGCTGTTCACCGCCCTGAGTCCTTGGGGAGTAGGGCGGTATAGAAATTTGATTAATAAATAATAAATAAATAAATAAATAAATAGCCTCACCCGTGAGATTTCCTGGTGGTCTTCCATCCAAGTATTAACCAGACTCCGTTTCCCTTCCCAGACGCGAAACAAAAACATGATTGATTTTGCTGGAGCTTGGAAAAAAAAAAGGTGTACAAAAGACTCCCGCTCAGTTTAAACTCCTAATTGTTTTATGGAAAAGCCATAAATAAATAAAATACCTGTTTCTATATTATTTTTTTCTTGTTTCTCAATTCTAGCCTCACCCGTTGAGATTTCCTGGTGGTCTTCCATCCAGCAATGAAAACAGGTTGCCTAGCCAATAGGATGGTGGGTTTTAGGTTTTTTTTTTTTTTTTTGTAAGGATAACACTGATAAGAATAACAGAATGAGGTGGAAGGGACCCTTGGAGGTCATCTAGACCGACCCCCTTGCTCCCTCAGGAGACCTAGGCTAGGGATTCGAACCGCCCACCTTTCTGATCCACAAGCTCAGCATCTTAGCCACCTAGCCAGGCCGTTTTGTGTGCATTTAGAGACGTACACAAATGCACACAGACACGCGCGTTGGCCTTAAATTAAGGCTTAAGGGGTTTAAGAGAGAAGATGGGATATTTATTTTTATTTTATTTTATTTTTTAAAAAAAGCAGATAGCTCTGCAGACTAAAGCACTGTAATTTAACACCTGCTGTCTGCAATTAAAGTAAGTTCGAATCTCGCCAGGCTCAAGGTTGACTCAGCCTTCCATCCTTTCTAAGGCAGGTAAATTGAGGACCCAGATTGTGTATAAAAATATACAAAAGGATGAAGGCTATTGCTTAACGCACTGTAAGCCGCCCTGAGTCTCCGGAGAAGGGCGGCATATAAATCAATTTTTTTAAAAAAACACCTGCACAGACAATAAGACCGCAGCAAGAGGTTTTTAAATTTATTTATTTTTTTAAGTACCTGGCAATGAAAACAAGTTACCTACCTAGCCAATAGGATGGACCCCAACAGGTGAGTTTTGGTTTTTTTTTTTTAGGATAATAGTGATAGGATTTAAAGATGTACACAAATACACAATACACACGCGTTAGCCTTCAATGAAGGCTTTTTAAGAGGGAAGATCGGACGTTGGATGCCCTGTTTATTATTATTATTTTGAAACAAGCAAAAACAAAGGAAAGGAGGAAAAAAACAGACGAGGAGAGAGGAGAGAGGAGGTGGGAAAAAATGTAGCAGAAACCTGGCAACAAAAGAGTGGGATCCTCCTATGTAGCCAAAAGGAACAATAAATCAAAAGTTCCCCGCCCCGGAGGAGCTTCCAAATTTATTTATTTATTTATTTATTTATTTAATTTATTTATTTATTTTATTTATTTTATTTATTTATTTATTTATTTATTTATTTATTTATTTATTTATTTAATTTAAATTTGCATACCGCCCTTCTCCTGGTGGACTCAGGGCGGTGCACAGCCAAGTTAAAAAAAAAAAAACATCCAATACAAAATTTAAAAAATTTAAAAGAATTATACTGTTAAACTTTTGGCCGAAAATTAAGAACCTGACGACTAAAACCCATTAACTAATTAAAATCAGAAGAGCCGGAGAAGCGAGAAAAGGAGAAGGATGGGGCGCGATCCGCGTTGCAGCCCGTTCCCACGACCCGTTGAAACGCTCCGACGCGTGCAAACCATCCTCCAGGTTTGCCGTTGCAACGTCGGGTTAGGCTTATTTCTTACCCGAGGGGGCTGGTGTAAAAAGACCTCTGAAAACCACCCCCACCCGCCCCAAACCGCTAATAAATCTCGGGTTTTTTTGGACACCTAGTGGCGGGGAGTTCCCAGGACCCGTGAAATTGGGTTAAATTCCAGCGGGGTGGGGGTGTTTGGGGGGGAGAAACGCCTCTGGAGTTGCATCCTTGCTCTCCAACCCCCCTCCCCCCCCCCCCACCGGAAGCAGAAGTGGCCCCGATCCTGAAAGCAGGATGGAGGGGAAAAAACAAAATTGCGCATCTCCTTGCGCTATTTAAGTCGCGGCGGGCTGGCGGGAACGCCTGCAGAGCCGTCTCGGGATCTCGGCGCGCTTCTGCCTCTCTTTTTTTTTCCTTCCCCCCCCCACAGGCAGTCCTTGACTTATGACCACAATTGAGCTCAAAATTTCTGTTGCTAAGCGAGACAGCCGTTAAGTGAGTTTCGCCCCCTTTTGCATCATTTCTTGCCACGGTGGTTAAGCCTGAATCAATGCAGCTGTTAAGTTAGTGACACCAACTGTCATCGGCAGGAGTCGAAAACCAACTCAAAAGCACAAAACGAGGAAGTCATTTTGTGCCGTCGCACCCTGGGCACACACGAGCCTTTTTATGTTAGCGTTTAAGTGATACTTTTCCCCGTTTCCCCTAAAACAACAACTGCCGACTCTCTCATAAAAGTTAATCGGAAAAAAATAGTTTGCATTATCCTGCCAGGCGCCGGCAGATATTTTCCCTTCAGTTCTGCTAGTTAAAAATTGATCAGAGGCAGGAGACAAATTTTTAAGGAGGGTTCGTGGGACGGACGAGAAGCCCTTTTCTCCTGTTTGTCAACCCAGTGCAAAATGCCCCTTTGGAGACCGAGCTCTTCTCCTCTCCCGTTTTTATTATTAGCAATTTCAAAAGTGAGTAATTCACAACTCTCTTCATCAAGGAGCATTTTCAGTCGGCGGCAGCGCTGTCTTTAATTGCTTCTTCTAACCACTTAGCTGATTATTATTTTTTTTTAATAAACAAATCCTTCTTTTGATGCGTTCAGCAGAAAGTGATTAAAGCCCCAAAAAGAACAGCAAAAGCAAAGAAGTAAAAAAAAAAATATAAAAAAATTGCAATAACCCCAACAGCTCATTTGAAACGCGGGCCTCCTGCGTTTCATCTAGCTGGACTGCAAAAACCGCCGCCTCTTTAATTGAAGCCAGCCTAGATTAAGTCTGGCGGGCAGTGCAATAATTATGACGGACGCTCGGATGCAGGGAAGCTGAACTGCCTTCATCTGGAGGGATGGAGGCACGCTAAGTTGCCATTTATGGTTTGGGAATTGGACGCATCTGGCAAGAGAGGCTGTTTGTTTACTCAAAGCGTTTAAATGGCCATCCCGACTCAAACTGTGCAATTTTAAAATTGTCCTGCGTTCTCTGTTTCGGAAGCCATGCCTCTCTTAGCTGGTCGAATTTGGAAGGCGGCACCCGGCTGGGTCCAAGTGGTAGCTAATGCCTTAATTTGGGGGAGGTGAGGTGATACCACCTGCCCTGAAGGAAGTGGTGGTGGGGCTCCTTTCTCAAGAGGCCATCCTTGGACTCTCAACAAGGTTGCGTAACTTTGGCCCACTTTTTAAACGTTTCCTTTTTTAAGGAAGGGTTTTTTTTTTAACAGATTAAAAGAGTTGGAAGGGACCTTGTAGGTCATCTAGTCCAACCCCCTGCTCAAGCAGGAGACTCTACACCATTCCTGACAGATGGCAGTCCCGTCTCTTCTTGAAAGCTTCCAGTGATGAAGCTCCCACAACTTCTGAAGGCAACTTCTGTTCCATGGGTTGATTGTTCTCACTGTCAGGAAATTCCTCCTTTATTTCCAGGTTGAATCTCTCCTTGATCTGTTTCCATCCATTATTCCTTGTCTGGCCTTCAGGTGCCTTGGAAAATAGCTTGACCCCCCTCCTCCTCTCTGTGGCAGCCCCTCAAATATTGGAACTCTGCTATCCTGTCTCCCCTGGTCCTTCTCTTCACTAGACGAGCCAGGCTCAGTTCCTGCAACCGTTCTTCATGTTTTAGTCGCCAAGTCTTTGATCATCTTAGATAGATTCAGATTAACAGAGTTGGAAGGGACCTTGTAGGTCATCTAGTCCAACCCCCCACCCAAGCAGGAGACCCTACACCATTTCCGACACATGGCAGTCCAGTCTCTTCTTGAAAGCTTCCAGGGATGAAGCTCCCACAACTTCCGAAGGCAACTTCTGTTCCATGGGTTGATTGCTCTGATGGTCGGGAAATTTCTCCTTTATTTCCAGGTTGAATCTCTCCTTGTTCAGTTTCCATCCATGATTCCTTGTCTGGCCTTCGGGTGCTTTGGAGACTAGGTTGTTGAGAGGGTGATTGGCACTCCGATGCCAAAGGCCCTGGATGAAGCAAATTATCTGGACTCTTTTCAGGCTGGGGTGCCATACTGAGATGGCATTAGTTACACTTGTGGACAATCTCTGGAGGGATCAGGATTATATTGGTGCAATTATCCTGGTCCCTCATAGATCTCTCGTTGGCTTTTGGTACCATCAAATGTGGTCTCCTTCTGGACCTGCTCGGGAGATTAGAAGTGGGAGGCACTTGCTTTGCAGTGGTTCTCTTCCTTTCCCCATGCTAAGTTCCAGTGGGTGTTGGTGGGGAGGAGAGAGATCCAGCCCTAGATTCCTGCTCTGCAGTCAAGTGATGCTATTGACTCAGTGCCTGGAGATGTGAGGCTTTAGACGGGAAGGAACCCGCCTTTGACTCAACCCTAGCAGAAGAGAGTTGCTTTGAGGTTTTGGTCCCTTGAGGTCTGCTGATGTGTTATCTTTGACTCTCAGAGAGGTTGTTACATCCCTGGACAGAGTTGGTACACAGTTTGGGAGTTCTCCTTGGGGTTGTTGTGGTCGGCCGGAGCTGGCAGCAGAATCGGACAGTGAGGAGTCTGGGGAGGAACATGGGCTAGTCCTGGAGTCTGGGGAAGGCTCGGATGAGGGCTGTGCATCAGAGGCAGTGATGGGGCCAGGGGCCATCTGGGAGTTATGTGCTGACTCCGGAGCCTCCAGAGTCTGACGTCAGTGAGGCAGAGGAACAGGGGGAGCCTGTTCCCAGCGTGTGCATGCGCAGAGCTGCCAGAAGGCAAGAGCAGCTAAAGCAAAGGGACGACTCGGGAGTAAGGCTTGAAGATAATTGGCCCTTCCCATAAGACATAAAGGAGGAGCAAAGACACATGAGCCTTTGCAGGAAGCAACTTTGTTCATGCTGGTCGGTTTAAATTCTGAAGATCCGTTTTGACTCTGTGCTCCGTGTGGCCTTGCAAAGCTAATTGACAATTAGGTCTTTGGCAAGGGAGATAAAGGTGGGTGCTTATCAGCCTTATCCGGAAAGACTGTGGCAGAATTCTGTCAGACTCTTCACAAACTATTTGTGACTCATTATGGGCTGTGAATGAACAGAATTCACAGCTGTTGAAATAAAAAGAGGGGTTTGGGGACTAATTATGTGCTTTTTACTATCTCAGGGAGCTAGGTCAGAACAGGGGTTCATGCTCAAAGAGCAGGTGGTAGCCATGGCAAGAGGGTCTTTTACATGGTTTATGTGCCAATTGCCCCCAGACTGGGAGGCCCTGCTCACAATCACTCGTGCCTTGGTCACTTCCTGACATGCTATATACATGTCTGGAAAGACCTTCTGAAATTGCAACTGGTCCAGAATGTGGCAGTTAGCTCAGTGTTTGGGTGTTCCTTGATTTATTCACGTCACACTGCAGTTGCGCCAGCTGCACCGCCTCCTCGGTTTCTTTCTGGGTGCAATTCACGGGGCTGATGGTCATCCTTAAAACTCTATAGGACCAGCTTGTTTGTGAGACCACCTCTTCCCGAGGAGGCACCTGCCCTTCATTAAAAGCATTTTCAAAAGAAAAAATGAGATGAGACAGGGAAGTGTTCTGTCCCCGTACCAAGCACACACACAACCAGCCAGCCAGCCGAGGGTTAAATAAACTCTTCAAACACACAACGTCAGTGATAAGGAACTTGGCAGCAACTCCGTGGCTGCCTGCCAAGTGCTTTTACTCCGATAACACAGACAAAAATACACACAGTTTGAATAGTCCAGTTCGTAATTAAATCCACAGCAAAATAGGTGTTGTGTCCGAAGGTGCAAAGTGCTTCGCCAGAGATTAGCTTTGTCCGTCATAGAGTCGGAATGGCCACCACACTCCCTTTTATAGCCTGTGGGGTGTGGTCCAGTGATTCAGCTAATCTCTGGCACGCCTTCCCCTCTGCTGCGCACGCTTCTCCCCTGCGCCTCTGGCGAGGGTCCAGCCAGCACTTATTTTCCTTGTCGCTGTCCACCTGTGGCTTGGCTCTGAGCCTATCGTTTGGCCTTCGGTGTCCTCCGGAGGCATTGCCAGAGAGGAGGGTCCTGGAGAGGGAGGCCTGGCCGTCTCCTCTCCTTCATCTTCGGAGCCTTCTTCCTCCGTTAAGATAGGCTCAGAGGACGGAGCCACAACAGGAAGCGGTCAGATCTAAGGACAGTAAATGGTTTCCGTATCGTTTCCCCTTGTGGCTTGTCTTCTGCTAAGTCAAAACTTGGTCCAGCTAGTTCCCAGCAATGACTAGGAGTCATCCCTGAACTAGTTCTGCCTTTTTGGAGATGCTGGGATTGACATTCCTTATGCAAAGCTGGTGTTTTCCCACCAAGCTATGAACTCTCCTAAGGAGGGGAAGGTTCTTGCAGTCACTGAATTGAAAAACCTGCTCTGATCTTTTTTTTTTGTAGAGAACGGTTGGTTGCACAAAGCGGTGGCCTTGCCTTCAGGTGTCCATCTCATAGAAGAACTGCAAGTTTTTGAGGAAGCCCAACCCATCAAGAGCCTGGTCTTATCAGTACCGAAGGTAAGAAAGGTCCCGAGATGGTGAATTCTAAAGCTTTCCAAAATTCTTAGTCTTTGGCCACCCTGTTTGCGAAGAATCGGAAGGCCTACTGCCATGGGGGAAAACAGGTGGGGCTCAGGAGGGAGCTGGCAGGCTGACCTGGGCACAGAGATGCCATGGCACATGTGCCATGAGTTTTATTGCATCAGGCATCAGGAAGTAGGAATTCGGAGGCTGCGTTTGTGTGACAGTGCCTTCAGACACATCCCTGGGGTGTTATGGTGGGCCTCTGTAGACACTCCTAGGGAAAATTGATACCTAGGATAAAGTTGACATTTCAGATAGTACTGATGCGTCCATCCCAGGGCTGTCCTCACCAACCCAACCCAGAATAAATGCGGCATCTTAAAGCCACTATCTTCTATCTGATAATTGTTATGCAAAGGCGCCTGTCGGTGATAAGGATCTGGCAGAACAAAAGCCATCGAAGAAGAGGAGAAAGTTACTCGTCAGGAACTGGGAAGGCGCGGCATAGCAGAGAGGCCCAGATTTGCAGACTATGCTGAGCCCGAGGCCAAGGTGGCTTACCAGAATGTCTGGGTTTCCCCTCACATGGCTGCACCCAAGTGAATCAGCTGGTTTAGTGTGATGGTTTGGGTCACCCAACAGGCTAAGGCACTGTCTGGGTGTCCGCGTTCCAAATAACGCACCCATTGAAAGCAGAACTCTTGAGGCAGGTAGATTCCTCAAAAAGCCATTTATTGGATACGTCGTATCGGCACAAGTGGTGAAAGCCGACTCTGAAAGTCCCCGCGGGTTTCACCTCATTAAAAAGTAAACGTTCCCCCTTCCCGTCATTGGTCATATTGTCCAATATGACCGGGAAGAGTGTTAGCAGGTTGCCTGGTTACTTCACTCCTCCTCTTCTCTGCCACTTGTCGGAGTGACCTTGGTTCCCGCAAAAGAACTTTTTTTATTTTGACGGCCAAGCCGAGCTATCTAAAATTCCCACCTCCCTTTCTCCCCCCCTTCGCTTTGTGGCAACCACGAAGCCTCAAAGATGGCCTCAGGCAGGCACACTTCAGGGTTGATACTGGGTTTGCAAAGGACATTTATTTATTTGTTTGTTTGTTTGTTTGTTCGTTCATTCATTCAGTCATTAAGCAAGGACGACCTGTAACTCTTCTGTTTTCAGAGAGTCCTCTTTATCGGCTCCAACACACAAGTCATCCAGGTCCCCGTGGCCAATTGCAGCAAGTACAAGACGTGCTCGGACTGTATTCTCGCCAAGGATCCTTACTGTGCTTGGACTTGGAACGGGACTAGAACTCCCAATCTCCTGGTAATTGGCTCAAAATCACCCAGTCAGCTTTCATGCCTAAAGTGGGACTAGAACTCCCAGTCTCCTGGTAATTGGCTCAAAATCACCCAGTCAGCTTTCATGCCTAAAGCAGGACTAGAACTCCCAATCTCCTGGTGATTAGTCCAAACCTATCCAGCTGGCTTTGATACTTAAGGCAGGACTAGAACTCCCAATCCCCTGGTGATTGGCTCAAAATCACCCAGTCGGCTTTCATGCCTAAGGCGGGACTAGAACTCCCAATCTCCTGGTGATTAGTCCAAACCTATCCAGCTGGCTTTCATACTTAAGGCAGGACTAGAACTCCCAATCTCCTGGTGATTGGTTCAAAGACACCCAGCCGGTTCTCATGCCTAAGGGCAGGACTAGAACTCACTGTTTTCTAGCCCAGTGCTGAAAATCCCCTATCTGAAAATCTCGGGTGGGAAAAAAAAGGAAAGCAGCCAATAATTCCTGGAAAAAAGAGAGGAAGAGATAGAGAGAGAGGGAGAGAGGGAGGGAGGGAGGGAGGGAGGGAGAGAGAGAGAGAGAGAGAGAGAGAAAGAGAGAGAGAGAGAGAGAGAATTGGCTTTAATGCAAGTATTCTACTTCTCCCTTCCAGGTATGGCTTCGTCATCGCCGTAACCACCATCGACAACATCGGGGCGGGCGTGATTCAGCCGGGACGCGGCTTCGTCCTCTACCCCGTCAAGTACAAAGCCATCGTCTTCCGTCCGTTTAAGGGCGAGGTGGTGGATGCCATTGTGACTCAGGTGAACAAGGTAAGGAGGCCCGGTGCACCCTGCGGAGAGATCGCAAAGAGATCTTCCCGACACCTCCGAAGGGAGTTTTGTATTTTAATTTCTGGTTTTTGCAACGCAGGTTGGCCTCTTCACCGAGATCGGGCCGATGTCTTGTTTCATATCCCGACATGTGAGTGGACCCGTGGGGTGGGGTTGGGGTGGATAGAAGAGGGAGCAATTCCCTGCGAAATGGGCCAGGGGAGCCAAAGATCCCTGCTCGGCTGTTGATCTCAGATCCTTGTTCTTGCCGCAGTCGATCCCTTCAGAAATGGAGTACGATACGAACTCCAATCCGCCCTGCTACAAGACTGTAGATGAGGTGAGGTTTTTTGCCTTCCTTAAATCAAGCTGGCTGGGGAATTCTGGGAGTCGAAGTCCACCCATCTTAAAGCATGCTGGCTGGGGAATTCTGGGAGTCAAAGTCCATCCATTTTAAAGCATGCTGGCTGGGGAATTCTGGGAGTTGAAGTCCACCCATCTTAAAGCATGCTGGTTGGGGGATTCTGGGAGTCAAAGTCCAGCCATCTTAAAGCATGCTGGTTGGGGGATTCTGGGAGTCAAAGTCCATCCATCTTAAAGCATGCTGGCTGGGGAAATTCTGGGAGTCAAAGTCCATCCATCTTAAAGCATGCTGGCTGGGGAATTCTGGGAGTCAAAGTCCAGCCATCTTAAAGCATGCTGGCTGGGGAATTCTGGGAGTCAAAGTTCATCCATCTTAAAGCATGCTGGTTGGGGGATTCTGGGAGTAAAGTCCATCCATCTTAAAGCATGCTGGCTGGGGAATTCTGGGAGTCGAAGTCCATCCATTTTAAAGCATGCCGGTTGGGGAATTCTGGGAGTCGAAGTCCATCCATTTTAAAGCATGCTGGTTGGGGAATTCTGGGAGTCAAAGTCCATCCATCTTAAAGCATGCAGGGTGGGGAATTCTGGGAGTCGAATTCCATCCATCTTAAAGTAGGTTGCCTGAGGAATTCTGGGAATTAAAACCCACCCATTTTAAAGCATGCTGGCTGGGGGATTCTGGGAGTCGACGTCCACCCGTCTTAAAATGTGTTTGGGAAACACTGTCTTTAACCACTGCACCACGTTAATTCTTATTGTCTTGGTATTATTGTCTCTGGTTCTTTTTCTTCCAAACCAGGACATCGTTATCCAGCCAGAAGATAATATCCGATTGAAGATTGTGGGGACCCGGGTGGACAAGAACGACATAGTGAGTGGCATCATTCGAACGGTGTCCCTTTCTCAATCTCATTTTGGCCGTTCGGGGTCCCTCCTGTTCATTCGTCCTCCTTCGTATCCAATACAGACGGAGAATTAAATTATTGATGCCATAATATCTGCTGGGGGAAAATCCGCAGAGAAAACGTGGAGAAGAAATCGTTTTGCGCCAATATAACTTTCTCTTTATTCAAATTCCTTTCTCCGGGTTAAAAGTGGTAGCTGAGGAGAAGTGCAGAAAAAAATCCTCTTCCAATTTTTGGTTTCGAAGGCTATTGGGATTGTGAGGGTCAGGCTGGGATTCCGGCCTGCGTTTGCTCAAGCCGCATCGGCACGATTTATAAACCATTATTTTATTTTATTTTATTTGTTTAGCTGTGTCTTGTACTTGCAATCATGAGGACTGGAAACTTTTATTTTGAGAGAAAGTCTTCGTTCAGGCTGACTCCTTTTTGCATATAAAAATTGTCTTTTGGGGTCTTCCATGAGAGATGGGGACAGAATTCCTGTTCTGGAAATTTGGGATAATATAGGGCCACTTTAGCAGTTTTAACTAACCCTTCCTTCCTTCCTTCCTTCCTTCCTTCCTTCCTTCTCTCATTCTCATTTCCTTCCTTCCTTCCTTCTTCTCATTCTCATTTCCTTCCTTCCTTCCTTCTTCTCATTCCCATTACCTTCCTTCTCATTCTCATTCTCATTCCCTTCCTTCCTTCTTCTCATTCTTATTTTCTTCCTTCCTTCCTTCTCATTCTCATTTCCTTCCTTCCTTCTTCTCATTCTTCCTTCCTTCCTTCTCATTCTCATTTCCTTCCTTCCTCTTTCTCTTCCCTCTCTCTCTCTTTTCTCTTTCCTTTGCTCTCTTTTTATCTCTTCCCTCTTTCACCTGCTATCTTTTTTACTTTTCTTTCTGCAGTTTGCCATTGGATCCTTGATGGACGACTACCTGGGTACGTGTTTTGAATTGCTTGCCATGTCGTAAAATATCCTCCCATTTGGTGAGCAACCGTCATAAGTACATGCCAGTTGCCAAGCGTCCTGAATTTTGATGGGCGCTTATCACCAGACAACCGTTTTTTGGGCTTAGGGAAAAAAAGGGACAATTTTCCAGGTGGCAATTTTTAACCTGGCCTTTGTCTCCCTTCTCCAGGTCTACTGAACTGAAGGCGCATTTTCTGTTCTTCTTGTGTTCTCCTTCAACTCCATGGTCATTTCTCCCTAAAGAAACGTTGGCTGGCTGCTGTTTGTTTGTTGCTGGAATTGAGTGTCTCTGTTAAGCCCCTTTTTCGGTCATTAAACATTTTTTCTGTTTTCTGTTCGGGTGGCCTCCTGTTTCAAGTTCCTTCTCTCTCTGTGTTACACGAAACAACCGACATTTTTAATGTTGCAATTTATTTTCTTTATTCATTAAATTTACACGTCGCCGTGGAGCGACCGGACGGGTTACCTCACATCGTAAAGAATTTAAAAGCCTTATAAAACGAGTGGCCCTTGGTGGTCTCTGAGCTTGGTGGTTTTCTTGCAGATGTTTCATGACCCAATTGGGTTTGGGTTAGATGAACCGAGTTGGAAGGGACCTTGGAGGTCACCTAGTCCAACCCCCTTCTGAAGCAGGAGACCCTTACACCGTTTCTGACAAATGGCAGTCCGGTCTCTTCTTGAAAGCCCCCAGTGATGAAGCAGTGGGGTCCTTGGTGGTCTCTGAGCTTGTGTTCTGTCCCCGTTCCACTCATGCACCCCCACAGACGGCCTGGAGTTAATAAGCCACACGACAAAATTCTTTGAAGATAAAGCTGGCAGCAACCCAGTGGCCAGCTGCCAATTCAGACTTTACTCACACAAAACAAAGGTTAGACTGCAAGCATTCCGATAAAGCAGGCAAAGTTTCAGCAATACAAGGATTAGTCCAAATGCAGTCCGACAAGGCAGGCAGAAGTCCAGTAACGCAGAGATCATGGATTATTTCTAGTTTTTGCTCGTCGCAAACTGAACCGGCCACCACACCCACATTTATACCCTGTGGGGTGTGGTCCAGTGACTCAGCTAATCTCTGGCACGCCTTCCCCTCTGCTGCACACGCTTCTCCCTGCGCCTCTGTCACGGGTCCAGCCAGCACTTATCTCCTTCGTCGCTGTCCACCTGTGGCTGCGGGGACGTGCTTGGCTCTGAGCCTATCGTTTGGCCTTCGGTGTCCTCCGGAGGCATTGCCGGAGAGGAGGGTCCTGGAGAGGGAGGCCTTGCCAACTCCTCTCCCTCACTCTCCGAGTCTGCATCTGTCGATAGCCCAAGCTCAGGCAACGGAGCCACAACAGCTTGGTGGTTGTCTTGCAGACGTTTCATGACCCAACTAGGTAGCATCATCAGTTCTAGAAGGAAAGGATTTTTTTTTTTTTGCTGCAAATGCTCCTTCTAGCACTGATGATGTTCCCTAGCTGGGTCATGAAACGTCTGCAAGAAAACCACCAAGCTTAGAGAGCACCAGGGAGCCTTCATTTCAACGCTGAGCTACAAATATTTTCCTTTATTGGTTAAAACCTTAAAAAATTCACCCGGAACTAGCTAAAGAAGGAACCAGTGCATAAACCGGGGGTGGAGGTGGAATCTGCTATTGTGTGATTTTTATTTAGCTGAATTTCTACACGGGAGCGACCATCTTCCCCCATTTCCCGGAACAGGCAATGATCCTTTGAGAGCATCTTAGCTAAAATAAAGGAGGGCAAATTCTTGGTCAAAACCAGCTGGCTCTTCCTTACGGCATGGGGGTTATGGGGGTAGAGGCTTTGCAGACCCCCCACATGTATGATTTTTAGGTATACACCCAGTCCAAAAACTACCTTAAAGGGACCATAAAGGGATCTAGTCAGTCCCATGCTCTCTGCCAGGATTTTTCCTTCCTGTATTTCCTTCCATCTGTTTTTTTTTTTTTTTTGAACCCGTGAGATCTCTCAAAAACGAAGCACCCCCTTATGGTCTGAGTCTGGATCCTTTTGTGATTTATTACACATGTAAAGCCTTTTGAACCCATTCCTCCATATTTTAATTAAGTCTTTCAATTAAACAGTTCAATTAATTGTCTGAATGAAGCAGGGGGTTGGACTAGAAGGCCTCCAATGTCCCTTTTCGACCCTATTATTCTATGTTCTAAGAGCTAAACTCCCCTTCATGGGGCCTAAGACTGGATCCTTTTGTGATTTATTACACATTGAAAACCTGTTTAATCCACTCCTCAATTTAGCACCGTTTCCTGGCCTATGACTCGGATCCTTTTGTGATTTATTACCGGTACATATTTAAAGCCTTTTTAACCCACTCCTCAATTAATATATTAATTAAGTCTTTCAATTCATTGTCTGAATGAAGCAGGGGGTTGGACTAGAAGACCTCCAAGGTCCCTTTCCTATTATTCTATCTTCTAAGAGCTAAACTCCCCTTCATGGGGCCTAAGACTGGATCCTTTTGTGATTTACTTGCACAGTTAAAACCCTTTTTTAACCCACTTCTCAACTTAGCACCCCTTCCTGGCCTAAGACTGGATTTAAACATGTAATAAATTTTATTTATTATAAATGTAATAAATAAGAAGCCTTTTTAACCCACTCCTCAATTTAGCAATCCTTCCTACCCAGAAACTGGATCCATTTTATGATCTATTAGGCATTTAAAGCCTTTTCCAGCCACTCATTAGAGCAACTGGCTGATCCGTTCACCTATCTGCCCATCAAATATCATTTGCAACCATGTGCAAAAGGATGCAAATAGGTCACCGCTCTTCAGTGAGAAGCAGAGAGCACAGCCAGATCTCTGGAGCAAAGGACCCATCAGAGGATCCCTCTGCATGCCAAGGATCTTTCGATCTGTTTTTTGACCCGTGAGATTCCTCCCAGGGGGAGGTGCACCGTTCCTGGAGGTACTGCAATACCAGGCCGATGCTTGGAGTGGACGGAGCAAGCCCCTATTCCATCTCCCAGTTCCAAAAATCCATTTAATATGTAGTCCTCAAATAGAGGACATATCAGATATTAAACTGATAAGAACAGATACTACACTTGATCTTAGCCAAAAGGCCGAGAAGCGATACCGGAGCCTGGCGGACGGGGCCCGAGACTCCCGTCCGGAGGCTCCTCCAGGTTTCGGGGAGCGCGACAGGGTGGCAAAGAGATCCCAGGGGATCAATTCTTCCCAGTGCTTTGTCTGGGCTGGATCGCAACAGCATCTCCGGTGGGACGATTTGGGGGTGAAAATGGGGGTTTTTCTCCCCTCTGCGCATTTCCCATCATGCCAGCTGGCTGTCCGGGTGGCGATTGGTGGATGATTTGCATAAGGTGAGTCACCCTCTCCGTCACTCTTCTCCCCTGTCATTCCTCAGTTGGCCGTGGGGGGCACTAGCACCCCCCCTCCGCTGGCAAAAGGGGCCTGCAGGGCAGAGAGACGCTGGGGGGCTGGGCTGCTTTCTGCCTAGCGTGGGACCCCAAAGCTCTGCCGTGGCACCTCCTGGACAGGACCCACCAGCCAAGCATGATGGGCACAGATGTCCTCTCCCCGCCCCCACCCCTCCGGCAGCTGTGTTTAGGCATCACCCTGGGGCTTCAGTCCCGGACATCCATGCTACCTTCGTGGCTCAGAGGGATCCTGAATTATGGATGATGGGGTTGCAGTAGGATGTATTTGGGGAGGGAAGAGAAAGGAGGAAGGAGGAGGCAGGAAAAAAGGAGAGAGAGAGGAAGAAAGAAAAAGAAAGAAAAAGAAAAGGAAGGGAAGGAAGGAAGAAAAGGAAGGAAAGAAAGGGAGGGAAGGAAGGAAGGAAGGAAGGAAGGAAGGAAGGGAAGGGAGGGAGGGAGGAAGAGGGAAGAAAGAAAGAGGGAGGGACGGAAGGGACAGAAAAGGAAGGAAGGAAGGAAAAAGAAGGGAGGGAGGAGAGAGGGAGGGAGGGAAGAAGGATGGAAGGGAGGAAAGAAAAGAGAGAAAAGAGAGGGAAGATGAAGGAAGGAAGGAAGAAATAAAGAAGAGAAGAGTGGAGGGAGGAAGTAAGGAAAAAGGAAAGAAAGAGAAAGGAAGGAAGGAAGGGAGGGAGGAAGAAAAAAGAAGGGAGGGAGGAGAGAGGAAGGGAGGGAAGAAGGATGGAAGGGAGGAAAAGAGAAAAGAGGGAGGGAGGGTAGGAAGATGAAGGAAGGGAGAAAGAAATAAAGAAGAATGGAGAGGAAGCAAGGAAAAAGGAAAGAAAGAGAAAAAAAGAGAAAGAAAGAAGGGATGGAGGGAGGAGGCAGGCAAAGAAAGGAAGGAATTAGGAAAAGGAAGGAAGATAAAAGAGAAAAACGAAAGGAAAAGGAGAAAAAGGAAGGAAAGAGGGAACCAAGGAAACACAGCACCTCAACTTGGCATCTCTTCCAAATTTCTTCCGTTGTTCCGTTTGTTATTTTAAGCGAGAGTTTATACCTCTTTTTATGCCCCGAAGGCCGTTTTAAATCCCAAATTAAACCTTCAGCATTTTCCATCCCAAAGCATCTAGAATCGATGGATGCTTTTTTTTTTTTAAATCTCCCCCACACCCAGAGGTAGAAATTCTCCTGCTTTGCAAACTCCTCCCGATTTTGCAAAACTCCCAAGCGGCCAGCAGGGGGCAGAATTGTCCGTGTCGTCATGCTGCCCCCTAGAGGCTCTCCAGAGGGTCGGCAAAGCCTTACCTTGCTCCTCGAAGCTGGCAGGGAAATCGCAGCTCTCAAAAGGTCGGCCTGGCAGCTTTTAATTATCTTTGCAGATTAACTCATCCCCGCTTGCTATAAATACAGTTTTAATTACTGCCAGGAGAAGTTTCTTGGGGCGGATAAAAAGGCATCCTTGAAGGCTCCTTGCGGGTGGGAAAAGACGGGCGTGTGTGTCTCCCAACATCTGGCCAACATCTGGCAGGAGAAGCAGAGAGAGACTGTATCAGAAAACCAGAATAAATGTGAAAAGAAAGAATAAACATTTTAAAACAACAACTCAAAATTAAATCAACAGCTAAAACCTACAAGCAAAAGCAAACAGGCGACTCGGAATTAAACCGAGAAACAAAAATGCACAGACCGGCTTTAAAAAATAAAAATTAAAAATTAAACCCCATAGCCAAAACGAAATCAATTAAAAAAAAGAAATAAAAAACCGACTCAAAATTACATCGATGAACACAATAAAATAAACAAGCAAGAAATTAAACCAACAAACAAGCCTTAAATAGACAGAAAAAAAAATGTGATTTTACGTTTTAAGAGGGAAAAAAAACCAGCCTCACCACCACGGCTTAAAAGTCATCCCGTTTTATACATCTTTAAAACTAATAAACTTGGCCTGTTTTTTTAATACAGTATTTCAATAATAATAATAATAATTAATAATAATAATAATAATAATAATAATCTTAAGAAGGTCCTTGGTTGATCCCTAGGACGCTGGCAGCAACCCGTATCAACCATTAGCCCCAGTCAATGGTATTTGTGATGCATTTCTGAATGTTCAGTTGACTGAACAGTTGACTAAACATTTCATGTTTAATGAAACACATAATACAAATATTAAAATACATTAAAACGAAATTAAATTTATCTTTGGCTTCCCCAATTTAAAACCCCTTACTCATAAAATTCCCCAATTAAAAGATTTTTAACCCAGCCAGGCTTGCTGAAATAAAGTAATAATAGTACTTTAGTACTACTACTACTACTACTACTACTACTACTACTACTAATAATAATAATAATAATAATAATAATAATAATGTCAATATTTGTGATACATCTTTAAATGTTGACAGTTTAATGTTTAATGAATAATAATAATAATGCATTTTTGAATGTTCAGTTGACTGGGTTTCATGTTTAATGAATAAAAATATATAATAATAATAATGTCAATATTTGTGATACATCTTTAAATGTTGACTGAGTTTCATGTTTAATGAATAAATTAATAATAAAATAATAATAATAATGCATTTGTGAATGTTTAGTTGACTGAGTTTCATGTTTAATGAATAAAGTATATAATAATAATAATGTCAATATTTGTGATACATTTTTAAATGTTGACTGTTTCATGTTTAATGAATAAAAATAATAATAATAATAATGCATTGTTGAATGTTTAGTTGACCGAGTTTCATGTTTAATGAATAAAGTATATAATAATAATAATAATAATAATAATAATAATAATAATATTTGTGATACATCTTTAAATGTTGACTGAGTTTCATGTTTAATGAATATATTAATAATAAAATAATAATAATAATGCATTTGTGAATGATTAGTTGACTGAGTTTCATGTTTAATGAATAAAGTATATAATAATAATTTGTGATACATCTTTAAATGTTGACTGAGTTTCATGTTTAATGAATAAAATGATAAAATAATAATAATGCATTGTTGAATGTTTAGTTGACTGAGTTTCATGTTTAATGAATAAAATGATAAAATAATAATAATGCATTGTTGAATGTTTAGTTGACTGAGTTTCATGTTTAATGGATTAATAATAATAATAATAATGTCAATATTTGTGACACACCTTTAAAAATTGACTGAGTTTCAGGTTTAATGACTGAAAGAGATAATAATAATAACAAATACCGTATTTAAGAGCGAATTAATTCATGAGGCCCTGCCTCCACCCAATTCCCCACCCACTTTCTTTTTTTCCCCCTTTTTCAATGACAAAACCAAGTTGCTAGGCCTCAACGAGGAACGCGGGCCAAAGCCAACGCGGCCTCTTGGGAAAGAGACGGGCGACGCCTGGCGGCCAGAGGCGGGAAGGAGGAGGGGGCGTGGCTTAGCCTACCCCTCCCTCCCTCCCTCCCTCCCTCCCTCCCATTGGCTGGAGCCGCTCCTTTGTTCTCAACCGCCACGCCCGCCGTTGCTAGGCGACGGCCCAAACAAAACCCCCGGCAAAGCCGCGATGGCAACGCATTTCAGCTCGGGGCAGGTGAGAAAGGGGGGCGCCCCCCAATTCCCCCCTCCCCCAAATTTGGGGGAGGGGGATTAAATGCATGATGTGGGGGGGGGAAGGCAAACATCAGGACAGAGGGGGACCCTCCCTGCCCCATAGCACCCTCCAGATAGGGCGGACTACAACTCCCATCGCCAGTTTGCAGGTGCAGATTGGGGAGGAGACTACAAATCCCATACAGCGCGACCCCCCCCTGGAGCACAGAACTAGGCGGGGGTGGGGGGTGGAATTCTACAGGAGGGATTTCACACACACCCCTCCCCACCATTTTAACCTCTTCGACCCATCGCACAAATCCCCACAAAAGGAGCAAAAAGTTTTTTTTTTCCAGTGCAAAGAGAATAAAATAAAATATTATTTATTTCGGGGGGTGGGGTCGGTGTAAAAAAAAAATCTATTTTCCTCCTGCAAATCTAAACCCCCCTTTCTTTTCCCGGCAGGTTCTGCCCCTATTTGCCTCATTTTCACCCCGTTTTGGCCTGTTCCTATATATCTATATCTATTTTTCTATCTATCTATATCTATCTATCTATCTCCTCTAATACCGGTACATTTATCATTCATCTAACTATGAATCTCTGTCCAATCTAATATATCTCTCTCTCCATCATCTATCCATCCATCCATCATCTATTTATCTATCTTCTCTAATACTTCTATCATTCATCTAGCTTTCAATCTCTGTCCAATCTAATACATCTATTTAATACTATCTATCTATCTATCTATCTATCTATCTATCTATCTATCTATCTATCTATCTATCTATCTATCTATCTATCTACCTACCTACCTACCTACCTACCTACCTACCTACCACTCTTAAATACTTATCTATCTATCTATCTATCTATCTATCTATCTATCTATCTATCTATCTATCTATCTATCTATCTATCTAATCTATCTATCTACCTATCTACCTACAACTCTTAAATACTTCCATATCTATCTATCTATCTATCTATCTATCTATCTATCTATCTATCTATCTATCTATCTATCTATCTAATCTATCTACCTATCTACCTACAACTCTTAAATACTTCCATATCTATCTATCTAGCTATCTCTGTCTGTCTGTCTCTTATTACCCACCCAGCCATTCATCCATCTAAACTTCTACCCATCCATCCATCCACCCTCCACCCACTCATCCATCTATCACCTATATTTATCTGTCTGCCTGCCAGTGCCTGCCTGCCTGCCTGCCTATCTATCTATCTATCTCTTACTACCCACCCACCCATCCATCTAAACTTCTACCCATCCATCCATCCACCCACCCATCTATCATCTATATCTGTCTGTCTGTCTGTCTGTCTGTCTGTCTGTCTCTCTCTCTCTCTCTCTCTCTATCTATCTATCTATCTATCTATCTATCTATCTATCTATCTATCTATCTATCTCTATGAATATATTGACTTTATTTTATCAATATAGATCTCGATATCTACCGTGTTTCCCCGAAAATAAGACTCTGTCTTGTATTTTTTTGAATCCTGAAATAAGCGATTGGCCTTATTGCCACGTGCTCAAAAGCCGGATGTTTTCCCGCGTCATTGTAAATAAGTTGGTTAAAATATTTAAAATCCTGGTTAAAATCCCAGCTTAAAATCTTCTAAAAATCCTTACAGCGCACTCTGCAAGGTCCTTTAAAACCTCAGCTAAAATCCTACCAGTGACTTTAAAAGTTTTTCTTATAGCAACGGTTCGACAGGCTCAGTTGTTTAAATATTTTAACCAACTTATTTACAATGACGCGGGAAAACACCCGAGATTTTAATTTTTTGCATATATATATATATATATATATATATATATATATATATATATATATATATATGTATACACACATTAATATTTGCGATATATTGCTTTATATATTTCATTTCCCACCCTCCCGCTTGGTTTTCCAGTACGAAGATGCCTATAACCCGCGGAATTTGCAAAGCTGGAGTCTTCCCAAGGTTACTAAGGCGGTGAGTTGCTTTGAAGTCCAACCCCCCCCTTTTTTTTTTTTTACACAGGAGAGGTTCACACAACCTGCTGAATCCTGGATGCCGCCAAGCGGGGTTGTGAGAACACATCCTATGTGAAGTTTGTGGCAACGCTCATTGGCAATTCAGGGCGCCCTGAAAATACCTGCGGACCTTCAAAAATAGAACTGAAATTCTAAATTTCCTCCTTTTTTTCTTTTTCTGGAAAAAAAAATGGCTCATCTTCCTTTCAAGTTTTAGGCCTTGCTTGAATTTAGGGACCGAGCCCCGTTTCGAACTTTGAAATCAACTGCAAATCACAGCAGTCGTTAAGCGGATCACGCAGTCGTTAAATGGATCATGCTCCCCCCCCCGCCTTGACTTTGCTGGTTGGAAGCTGGTTGGGAAGCTACTGCAACTATCTGTAAATCTATGCCAGTTGCCGAGCGTCCCAAATTTGATCATGTGTGATTGTGGGGGAAAACGCTATGACGGACGTAAGTGTGAGGAACAGCTCTAAGCTTCACCGTTTTCAAGGCTTTTGTAAATATCATTTATAAAATAAATTATAAACCTGTAAGGAAATGCAAACTCTTTTTTTTAAAAAAAAATGTCTCTTCTCAGCCCTCGGTTCCACTTTTCAAATTGTGTCTTATTATATTACGTATTTTTTAAAATTGTTATCCACTTCGAGTCAAGATTTGTAAAGTTTTTTCCTCCCCCCCCTAAAAAACGGGATGTACTTTTCACCGTCCTGTGGGGAAGAGTTTCGTGGTTCAAATAGGGATTGTGGACTTTTGCTTCTGGATGAATATGGATTCGTGTGAATAATGAACGGGGAGGTTAAAAAAACAGAGCAGGAAAAGTATTAAATCTTGCCAGATGAAATCTAATGGATGAGTGCATTTTGATTTTTTTTTAAAAAAAAATTTATTTGAAAAGAATGTAGGCACAGGACAATAAGAAGGAACAGGAGTGGGAGGTGTATTGTGTGCGTTAAATTATCAGAAGCGTCTTCGAGATTGAATCTGCTAATGAATAATGCATTTCACATTGTTACTGTATTGTGTTCTAATTCTGTTTTATTCTATTCGGTATTCTGTTCTATTTCTATTCCTATTCTTCTATTCTATTTTCTCTTCCATTTCTTTTCTTTTCTTTTCTTTTTATTCCATTCCACTCCATTCCTTTTTATTCCATATTTCGTCTGCATTATATTGTATTCTGAATTTTATCCTGTATTTTATCCTGCATACTATTCTATTCTATTCTATTCTATTCTATTCTATTCTATTCTATTCTATTCTATTCTATTCTTATTCTGTTATTTCCTTTTCTCTTTTTTCTCCATCTCCACCATCCTTTCCTTTCCTTCCTTTCCCTTCTTTGTTCCTTCTTTCGTTTCTTCCTTTCCTTTCCTTCCTTCTTTCCATGCCTTCTTTCCTTTCCCTTCCTTTCCTTCTTTCTGTTCCTTTCCTTTTCCTTTTCCTTTCCTTTTCCCTTTCCCTTCCTTCCTCCTTTCCTTTCCTTCCTTTCCGTTTCCTCTTTCCCTTCCCTTTTTCCTTTCCTTTCCTCCTTCCCTTCCCTTCCCTTTTTCCTTTCCTTTCCCCATCTTCCTTTCCTTTCCTCTCCATTCCTTTCTTTCCTTCTATCTTCCTTTCTTTTCCTTTCCTTTCCTTTCCTTTCCTTTCCTTTCCTTTCCTTTCCTTTCCTTTCCTTTCTTCTATCTTCCACCCACTCTTATTTTTCTTCCTCCAGCATCCTTCAGCCCGGGAAGGATTTACTCAAATTATAGCCAATGACAGAGGTCACTTGCTACCTTCCATCCCCCGCTCTAAGGTGAGGATTTTCTCTCTCCCCATCCCCATTATCCTTTGGATTTTATCCCTTAAACTGAGGTCTCACGGCAGCCTTTAGCTGTTTTCAGAATGAATCCAGTTTTCCTTGAGGGTTCACACAACACTCTAAACCCGGGTTTATCAAACACAGGGGCAGCATTCATGAGACATGCTGTGGGGGGGGGGCACGGAATGGAACAGAACAGAACAGAATAATGGAATGAAACGGAATGGAACGGAACAGAACAGAACAGAACAGAGGAACGGAATGGAACAGAACAGAACAGAATAGAATAGAGGAACAGAACAGAACAGAACAGAATAATGGAATGGAACAGAACAGAACAGAACAGAACAGAATAGAATAATGGAATGGAACGGAACAGAACAGAACAGAACAGAACAGAACAGAATAATGGAATGGAATGGAATGGAATGGAATGGAATGGAATGGAATGGAATAGAATAGAATAGAATAGAATAGAATAGAATAGAATAGAATAGAATAACAGAGTTGGGAGGGACCTTGGAGGTCTTCTAGTCTAACCTCCTGCTTAGGGGGCGAAGACCTAAATGGATCAAAGCCCTAAATGGGTCAAAACAAACACATTTCTCACGTAGCGACGTAAATCCTGGGCTCAGTTGTGGTCGTAAATCGAGGACTTCCCGGACCCCTTCTCCCGACCTGCGTTCTGAACCCTGCCGTGTGAGCGGGGGTCCAGCTTTTATCCTTGCAGGCAATGTCGAGCCAATGCCCAAGGCCAGATTTCTCCTTTTTCTTATAGGCTTCCCCTTGGGGTACCTATATGACCACTTGGGATATGCCCCTCAAAATCCCACCGGCCAAGGTCTCGCTCACCTCCCGCTCCATTGACGCGGCCGCCCGGCTCACCGAATGGATGAATAAATCGGCAGCCTTAAGCCAAGCCTGCAACGGATTGTGTCCAGAAATTGTCGGCAAGGTAAACGGACAAATAGACGAAGGAGAATATTTGTTGCTCAGGAGGGTTGGAAATGACAGACGTTTTATGACCTAACTAGGTAACGTCATCAGTGTTAGAAGGGAGAGGGGGTTTGCGAAGAGGAGGAGGAGGAGGGTAAAGAGGAGTAAACGACTCCCTATATAGGAAATAGTCTACCGATTCTCTTTCCCCCTGCAGCCTTCCATCCCCGTGATCAAAGAAGTCCTCTCTAAACCCACTCGGACTTCCGGTAAAACATCCGAGCGACCCGTCTCATCTGGGAAGATGCCGGCTTTCGAAGAGGTCGGTTCCCGGGTAGGGGCTACCCCCAGCGGCCCGCTTTCCCGCCAGCCCGGCAGCATGGACCTCCGCCTGAAAGATGTCAGTGGGCCAGACGTCCAGGACGCCTACGAATTGGAGGCCAAGCCCCCCAAGGAGAGAAGCAACGACGATATCCCGCTGTCCCGCCAACCGGGTTGCATGGATCTCCGTCTGAAGGACACCAGCCCCCAGCTGCCTGCATCCAACCGCCCCGGCTCGCGGGATCCCACCCCGAGGCGGACGATCTCCGCCGAGGCCCCTCCGTCCGGTCGACCCCGGTCCCGGGAAGCGAGGCCCAAAGGCTTAGGAACCCCCGAGCCTTTGTCTCCCTGCCGTCCGGGGTCACTGGAGGTCAATCCTCGGGGTGGATCTCCCTGCCGTCCGGGGCCCCTGGAAGTGAACCCTTGTCCGGGGTCTCTGGAGGTCAATCCTCGAGGTGACCGTTCGCCGGAGGCTTTGCCCTCCAGCCGGCCACTTCCGAAAAGCAGGCAGGGGTTGGAAGTGCCGAAGACGGGAAGCTCCGAAAGGAATGCGTCCCGACCCCTTTCCTCCACATAAATCTTCCCGGAAGGCCAGATTTAATAAAAGAAAGGAAAACAAAAACAAAAAGAAATCAATTACCAATGCTTAAAAAAAAGTGGAAAGCACCAGCCTTTTAAATGCCTTTCTTTCTGTGTTTTTTTTTTTTTTCCCCTTTTTTGTGGTGGTTTTGCACTCATCCCCGTTCAGATCGATTTTCCCACGCCTCCCCCCAATACTCAATCTCAAATGTCCCATTTGCGTCTTAGCAAATTGGCTAAGAGAGCTCCCCCCTCCAAAAAATAGGGCTGGTTTTGCCAACGTGCGTCTCCCGGGCTTCGGTCATCCTCGTGCATGCTCTGGGAAACGAGACGGCGGTGGGAGGTTCAACCATCCGTGGGATACCAAACACAAGTGCAAGGGTTCGAAAGAAATCGCAGGGGGCGGCCGGACAATGGAAGGGTGCCGTTTTTAACACCGGAGGTTTTGTTTTTTTCTTAATAATTAATAAAGCTAATTGGCCGTTGAATTTGTAGTTGTTTTTCCTGGTGGGGGCAGAGGGGGGAGGAAACTTGATTTAAGCTAGGGTTGAAAAATTTTGCCTTCGACACGGCCTTTCGACGATGTATCCTGAGCGTTAAGAAACCCGTAGTCCTCAAGTCACGACCACAATTGGCACTAGTTACAGTAACTGGTTTATCAACCAATGTTACGACGCCAAAAATGGTAATTTACAAGCAGTCCTCAGACTTAAGACCGCCGCAAAGTCCCTGGCGTGTATCTATGAGGGCGGGCAGCCTCCCAGGGTCACGCGACCCCAGCAAGCGAGGGGGAGGGAGTCAGATTCATTTAACGACCAGACGGTTCCCTTAACAACCGTGGCGAAAAAGGCCTTTAAAATCGGACGCGACTCACTTAAGTGTTTTGCTTAGTGACGGAAATTCCGTTCCTGATCGTGCATCAAGGACTCTGTATTTCCGTTTTCCTGCAAAAGCGTTGAAATCGGAACGCGGAGGCAGCGTGGCGGAAACCTGTCGGTAAAGGATTATAGGCTCCGGGTTTTTGAATCTCTCCTTTTATAAAAAAAAAAACCCTGCAGGATTTTATCCCCCAAAGCCGTAAACTACAGAAGTGGGAGGCAGAAGCATTGATAAACAGCACCCTTGATTTAAAAAAAAAAAATGTGAATAAATTATTTAACAAAAGAGTGAGCATTAGGGGGAACCGCGAGGAGGCAGAGCCAAGGCGATTAATTTTCGGAATATCAAGGAAACCCGTTTTTAGCCGTTCCCAGCCGTTCGGCTTTGCTAGCGCTCCGCACACTAGATCAAAAGATTTAAAAACAAGACACTAAACAATTGCTTGCTACACAATCAACCGCACCGCCACGACACGTAATTTGCTGAACGGAAGACAAAAGCATCCGCTTGGGCTCCCAGAGAAGGATCTCGCGCATTTTGATAATCAAAAAGGGCTTTTTAAATAAAAATAAAAGGTGGTTTTCGGATGGGTGGAAGCTAAATCTAGGGCTAGTCCAGAGATCAGCAACCTGTGGCTCTGGAGCCGCATGTGGCTCTTTCACCCCTCTGCTGCGGCTCCGTCACTCAAAATATGCGTCACAACCGCCAATGTGCGACACCCGCCTGCACGCGATTTATTGAGCTTTTCAACCCCTGGTAGGCCAACCATGCATAAATCCAAGAAAAGTTTCAGAAGAAAACAGAATGTTCAATTCAATTACAGATGCTAGTTTTGTGGCCGCTTAAGAAATAAGTCAGGCACGGGAAGAGTTTTTGTGGTTCCCGGTGTTTTCTTTTCTGTGGGAAACAAGTCCAAATGGCTCTTTGAGAAAAACTTCTATCTATGGGGAGAAAAACTTCTATCTATGGGGTGGTGGCTGGGAAAAGGATTGGAGGGCACGTCATCGAACGAAAATTATATTTTTAATTTGTTGAATCATTTCATTCACCGCCAAAACGGGTCGATTCTCCTCCGCCCGCGGGAAAAAAAAATCTGCTTTTACAGTTTGCAAGTGAATTACTTGCCCGTTTTGTTATTTATATAGCGTTTTATCTTTTAAGACGATAAGCCGCCCGGAGTAAACCTTGTGGTGGCAGGACGGGTGGCCAATAAATGTAATAAATAAATAAAAACCAAGAGAAGGAAGGAATCGAAAAGTCCGTATTTGGAAGGACGGATTCTAAATCCATCAGCCCGAGCTCCAGCCTCGGACAAGTGCGGATTGGACTAGATGATCTTCAAGATCTCTTCCAGTCTTGGGATCCAGTTCGCCTTGATGACGGGGAGCTGAAATCCGAAAAGGTTCCCCCTCCGGCTTCAAACCGCAACCTATCTCCATAAACGAAAGCAAGACAAGTTGTGTTTTTTTTCTTCAACGTTTATTATTAACCGGAAAAATCTTCATGAAGGGGGGGGCAAACCCCCCCAGAAGAGAAGAAACTTCATTTCAGGAAAGGGGGGCTGTCAGCCAGCTCAATCATTCACGAGTGGAAAAAGTAAAATCAGACGATATATTTACAGAAGATGGGCGGTTTGTTTTTTTTTTTGGGGGGGGGGGGTGGGGTTCGGAAGGCTCAAAATCTTTTCTCGACGTCGGCTTAAAAACCGAGCCAAACGGCCGGTTACCCGGAACAGTAAATTCGACAATTGATTCAACCAGCGTCCCCCAAAATTTAATGCAAAGATAGAGGCTGTTTCCTGCAGAAGGGAGAAAGAAAACTGCAAGATTTCAGGCTGCCTTCACTCCCCCACCCCAGCTCCTCCCTCCGAGCCCCGGGCCCACTTGGAAAAAAATAACAACAATTGGCCAGACTGGAGGTTGTCCACCTCGGCTTGTGTGACTCGTTCGTGCCAGCTTGCTCTCAATGGACGATGTTGTCCTTTGTGACATGGGTGGGACGCCCACGCCCGTTTGCACGCTGCCCCGTGGTTCTTTCAAAGGGAAGGATTGTTCCGAGAAAGCGAGAGGAGAGCTAGACGGTTCTGCGTTTGGCTCGGTGGGAGAATGTCAGTTTTCTAAAAGCCCAGGCGCGTTTTTTTAAAGCGGTGGGATTTAAAGAAGAACCCCCCCACCCTTCAAGAATCCCTCGGGTAAAACTGTGGCCTCTCGCGATGAAAAGAAAATAGATTAAGAAAAATCATCATCATCATGAGAAAGTCCTACTAGAATTGTCTCCGTAGGATTACAACAGTGGTAATAAATGTGAATTCGGCCCATTTCAGCCCTTCGGCCCCCCAACCGATTATTTTCCTAACTTAGAAACCGAAGTCCTTGATTGGACTAACTTTGCGGGGATGCAAAGTTAGAAAAGCTGGGGAACGAGCAGGGGGGGAGGCGTGTTTCGTATCTCTTCACATGGCTGCAATCCCGAGGGAAGAGAAAACCGTCAGGATGAGGACCAGGGCACCGGACTGGTAGAGCTGGGGTATCTTGAAACCGATGCCCATGTCCCAGGCCTACAAAAGATGAGACGAGAAGGACGTCATAACATGAGGAATAACCTCTCCGAAGTAGAAAACCCGACCGATACCCACCTCTTAAAACCTTAGCATGGTGTTTCTCAACGTGGCCAACTCTTTAAGATGCTTGAGGAGGGGGGGATCGGACTACAGTAGTGGCCAAAATTTGTGGAAACCTTTTGGGAAAAGTGTATTTTCTAAAACTAGCTAATAACACCTTTTTTTTTTTTGGAGTAGCACCATAAAATTATATATATATATATATATATCCATGGAAAGATAATTGAATCAAGAATGTAATGTAATAACTTTTAGGAAGGATTTGCTATCAGAATAGCAGTTTACAGTATAAAGAAGAAAAGCGAAACACGTAGAAAAAAACGAGAGACACAAAAATTATCCCCGTGTCAGTTAATAGTGGTAAGAATTGGCTGCTCTCAAAAGGCCGCTTACCAGATGCCGAATCCCATTCCAGGTGTGGTAAGTTACCGGTAGGGCCAAAGCAAACTTGGCAGAATAAATTAGAGCCGGTCCCAGGCTGAGCGACTTAATCATATCCAGGTAGTCGGGAAACTGTCCAGGAAGAGCCAAGGCGCTTAACGCGAAGAGCGACACACCTGGTGAGGAAACACATCCAACAGGAATAGGATACGGGTAGTCAGTCTGTCTGTCTATCATCTACCTACCTACTGTATCTATCATCTATCTATCATCTGTCTATCTATCTATCTATCTATCTATCTATCTATCTATCTATCTATCATCTATCTATCTATCTCTATCATCTATCTATCTATCTATCTTATTCATGTCTGTCTGTCTGTCTATCTATCTATCTTATCTATCTATCTATCTATCTATCTATCTATCTATCTATCTATCTATCTATCTCTATCTACAGTATATCTATCTATCATCTATCTACAGTATTTATATCTATCTATCTACAGTATTTATATCTATCTATCTATCATCTATCTATCTATCTCTATCATCTATCTATCTATCTATCTTATTCATGTCTGTCTGTCTATCTATCTATCTATATCTATCTATCTATCTATCTATCTATCTATCTATCTATCTATCATCTCTATCTACAGTATATCTATCTATCATCTATCTACAGTATTTATATCTATCTATCTACAGTATTTATATCTATCTATCTATCATCTATCTATCTATCTCTATCATCTATCTATCTATCTATCTTATTCATGTCTGTCTGTCTATCTATCTATCTATATCTATCTATCTCTATCTACAGTATATCTATCTATCATCTATCTACAGTATTTATATCTATCTATCTACAGTATTTATATCTATCTATCTATCTATCTATCTATCTATCTATCTATCTATCTATCTATCTATCTACCTACCTACCTACCTACCTACCTATCTATCTATCTCTACAGTATTTATATCTATCATCTATCTATCTATCTATCTATATCTACAATATTTATATCTATCTATCTACAGTACTTATATTTTATCTATCATCTATCTATCTACAGTATTCATATCTATCTATCTACAATATTTATATCTATCTATTTATCTATCTATCTATCTATCTATCTATCTACAGTATTTATATTTTATCTATCATCTATCTATCTATCTATCTATCTATCTATCTATCTATCTATCTATCTACAGTATCTATCAAACATCCATCCATCCATCCATCTTTCCTTGGAAAGGTGAAGGAAAAGATTGAGCTGAGGAAGGAAATTGCGACGCACCTAAACTCATTCCCACGCCAGTCCCGCGGTGAGTGATGGACATCATCATCGGCAGGGACCACCTAAAAGGAAAGAAAGGGGGACACTGTAAAGAGCTGAACCCAGAAATGGCAATCCTGACGCCTCTTTGTGGAAAAGAAAGGAGGAAAGGAGATACGGGTCACAGTTAGAAGAATTAATCAGTGGAACGCCTGGCCTCCAGAAGTTTTGGGTGCTTCAACACTGGAGGTTTCCATGAAGAAGAGATGGGGCAGTTTTTCTGAAATGGTCTCCTGCTTGAACAGAGGTTGGATTAGAAGCCCTCCGAAGTCCCTTCAAACTCTGTTATTCTTTTTTCCTTCCTTCCTTCCTTCCTTCCTTCCTTCCTTCCTTCCTTTCCTTCCTTCCTTCCTTCCCCTTCCCTTCCTTCCTTCCCTTCCCTTTCCTTCCTTCCTTCCTTCCCTCCCTCCCTCCCTCCATCACTGGGCCTTTGAAACGGTTCTAGGGTCTCCGGCTTGAGTGGGGGTTGAACTAGAACAGTGGTCCCCAACCTTTTTATCGCCGCGGCCCGCTGAGCGCGCGCAGGGGTAGGGGCACGGCCCAGGAGCTTTTGCGCACGGCCCATTGCGCACGGCCCAGGAGCCTTTGCGCTGCAGCGTTCATGTCCCCCGGCCGCTGCGTGGCCCGGTGCCAGGTACTCCACGGCCCGGCACCGGTCCGCGGACCGGGGTTTGGGGACCACTGAACTAGAAGACCTCCAAAGTCCCTTCAAACTCTGTTATCCTTCCTTCCTTCCTTCCTTCCTTCCTTCCTTCCTTCCTTCCTTCCTTCCTTCCTTCCTTCCCCTTCCTTCCTTCCTTCCTTCCTTCCTTCCTTCCTTCTCTCCCTCCCTCCCTCCCCCCCATCACTGGGCCTTTGAAACGGTTCTAGGGTCTCCAGCTTGAGTGGGGGTTGAACTAGAAGAGCTCCGAAGTCCCTTCCAACTCTTGTTATTCTTTTATTCTGTCATCCCGAGCACCGAGCTCAGGCCAGGCCAGGGCAAACTGTTCCAGCTCTTTCGATCTGCTCCCCACTCTGAATTATTCGAGGAATTCCACCAGAGAAGGAACACTGGAATCTGTGGAGGAGGCTGAGGAATGAGAAGTCCACACGGGGAGAGGGGGGGGTGGTGGAGAAAAATTCTCCTGGACGGGCAGCAGAGGAGCCGGCCAAGGACTTAAAAGGAGAAAAGGAACCAAGAGTTTGAGCTTGGCTACCAATGTAGGGCTTGCAATTCCCCCCCCACCCCACCCCCGGGAGCAACTCAGCGCAGGTAAATGGAGCTACAAGTAGTCCTTGACTTATGGCTGAAAGCAAACCCTGGAATTACGGCTGTTAAGATTGTGGTGGATGGGACACAGGTTCATGTCACCTGACCGCACCTGATTTTTACGACCTTTTTTTGCGGTGGCCATTTAAGTGAACGGCTGTGGTCATTCTTACTTGGATTGGAGATTGTATATCTTAATTGTTGTGAGCCGCCCTGAGTCCTATGGAGATAGGGCGGCATATAAATCTAATTAAATTAAATTAAATTAAAATTAAATTAAATTAAATTAAATTAAATTAAATTAAATTAAATTAAATTAAATTAAATTATTAAATTAAATTAAATTATTAAATAATTAAATTAAATTAAATTAAATTAAATAATAATTAAATTAAATTAAAATTAAATAAAGTAGAGAACACGAAAAGGAGGAGGGAAGCTCAGCTTTATTTATTTATTTATTTATTTATTTATTTATTTATTTATTTATTTATTTATTTATTTATTTATTTATTAATTATATTTCTATACCGCCTTTCCTCCCGTAGGACTCAAGGCGGTGTACATCAAGAAAAATATAGACACACAAACATCATAAAATTGCTAATTAAAACTATTACTTAGTTTGGCCCAATTAAATAAAACCCAGAATTAGATCACATTTAAAAAAATCATTCACATGTCTGTACGTTTAGCCCCGCCTGTTGGAACATCAGGGTCTTGAGGGCACGGCGGAAAGCGCGGAGATCAGGGCTATTCCGTATCTCCGGGGGCAGTTCATTCCAAAGGGTTGGAGCCCCCACAGAGAAGGCCCTCCCCCTGGGAGTCGCCAGTCGACATAATTTGACTGACGGTACCCTGAGTAGTCCCTCCCTGTGAGAACGAACTGGTCGGTGGGAGGCTATTGGTGGCAAAAGACGGTCTCGTAGGTACCCAGGTTATGGGATAGGTAGGACATTTCAATCCAGGGGTCCTTGTGTGCTCTTTGACCCTGGCCGTTTTGTTGTAGACGTTTCATTACCCAAGTAGGTAATAACATCAATGCTAGAAGGGAGTGGGGTTTGTGGAGGGGAGGAGGTGAAAGAGAAGGGAGAGAGGGGTGGGGAAAGGAGGAGGAGGGCTTTGGGGTCCTTGGTGCTGTCTGAGCTTGGGTTTTGTTTTTTTTTGCAGACGTTTCATGACCCAGATAGGTAACGTCATCAGTGCTTAGAAGAAAAATGGAAGTTACAGAAAGGAGGAGGAGGAGGAAGATGAGGAGAAAAAGGAGGCGGAGGAGGATGAAGGGAAGGATAAGGAGGATGAGGAAGGACTGTGGGGTCTTTGAGCTTGGTTGTTTGCAGACGTTTCATGGCCCAACTAGGTAACGTCATCAGTGCTTAGAAGAAAAATGGAAGTTACAGAAAGGAGGAGGAGGAGGAGAAAAAGGAGGAGGACGAAGAGAAGGATAAGGAGGAGGAGGAGGAGAAAGACGGACTGTGGGGTCCTTGAGCTTGGTTGTTCGCAGACATTTCATGACCCAAAGAGGTAACATCATCAGTGCTAGGAGGAAAGAATGCAATTCGGGAACATTTGTGAAATGAAACTTGATCGCAATGAAAGACGCGTCTTACTCGTAAATGGTGACATGCGGGGACAAAGGCCTTTTAGATTGAGTGTTCTTCTCCCAAAACTTGGCCATTTCTTCCTTCGCCGACGTTGTCACGGGGAGCACACTGGAAACAAACCATCGAGAACGTGTTAGGAGGTAGGCCCCAAATACCCAGCGTTCAGGCAGTCCCCGACTTACGACCATTTGTTTAGCAAGCGTTCAAAATTACAACAGGGCTTTAAAAAAAAAAAAAAAGACTTATAACTGCTCCTCGCACTTACGACCCTCACAACGTCACCGGGATCAAAATTCAGGTGCATATATACAGTGGTGGCCAAAATTGTGGAAACCTTTTGGGAAAAGTGTATTTTCTAAAACGAGCTAATAGCATCACTTTTTGGGGGGGAGTAGTACCCTAAAATGATGTATCCATAGAAAGATAATTGAATCAAGAATGTAATGCAGCAATTTTTATGAAGGATTTGCTATTAGAATAGCAGTATAAAAAAGAAAAGCGAAACACGTGGAAAAAAAAAGGAGATATACAAAAAATGATCACCATAGAAAAAAAGGAGATATGCAAAAATGATCCCCATGTCAGTTAAATACTTCGTTGGGTAACCTTTTAGCATGAATGACGGCTTTACAACGTCTTCCCATGGAGTGAACCAAGTCTTTTAGCTCTGCAGGTGTTATCATGTGAAACCAAGATCGAATGATGGCTTCTATTAACTGGGTTTTATTGCTGGGTCGCTTCTGACTAAACAGTTTCTTTCGTCAGCTCCATAGATTTTCAATTGGGTGAAGGTTTGGGCTATTCCCAGGCCATTCCAACAGTGGAATAGAATTATCTTGAAACTCCAAAAAAAGAAAAAGAAAAAAAAAGTGGTGTTATTAGCTAGTTTTAGAAAATACACTTTTCCCAAAAGGTTTCCACAGTTTTGGCCATTACTGCACAGGTAGTCCTTGACTTACAATAATTTGTTTAGTGACCATGTGAGTTACAACAGCCCTGAAAAAAAAAAAGAACTTATGACTAGTTTTTCCACACTTAACCATAAAAATAAGGCATAAATATAAGGTCAAAAGGCACTTAAAGGAGGAAAATATTTCACAGCAAAGAAGTTAGAAAGGAGAGAGGAGGAGGGGGTAGGAAGAGGAGAGGGAGGGTGAGGAATGGAAGAAAGGAGAGGAGGAAGGGAAGGGGACAGGAGTAGGAGTGAAGGCGAGAAGGGGGGAAAGAAGAGAGAGGTGGGGGAAAGGGAAAGGAAGTAGGATGAGGGGGGAGAGGAGGCAAGAGAAAGTAGGAGAGAAGAGGAGGGAGGGAAGGGAAAGAAAGGAGGAGAAGAAGAAGGTCTGTTGTGGAATGAGGGGAGAAAGAGAAGAAGAGCAACTCCGAATGTAATTAAAATGTCTTATTTTAATGCTTTCTTTAAGGGAAACATGTATATGTAGGATTTCTTATGTATAAGAAAATGTACAATTTCTATTATGTGGGGAAGGGGAAAGGGTGGGGGGGGGGAGAAAATTGTGTGTATTTCTTATAAAACTTTTCAATAAAAAAAAATAAGAATAATTTGTTTAGTGACCACGTGAGTTTACAACAGCCCTGAAAAAAAAAAAAAGAACTTATGACTAGTTTTCCCACACTTAACCATAAAAATAAGGCATAAATATAAAGTCAAAAGGCACTTAACGCTAAATATATTGACAGAGAGAAAGTGGATGTTTACCAAAAGTGCTTTTTTTCCAGGAGGCAGCTGGATTTGTTTGTTTTTTTTTCTTTTGAAAACATTTCGCTTCTCATCCGAGAAGCTTCTTCAGCTCTGACCGGATGGTGGGGAATGGAAGGGTTGATCTTCCTTGCAGACAGCTGGTCATTTGCATCCTTTTAGAGCAGAGGTCTTCAAACTTGGCAGCTTTAAGACTTGTGGACTTCCACTCCCAGGGAGTTGAAGTCCACAAGTCGTAAATCTGCCAAGTTTGGAGACCCCTGTTTTAGAGGGTCATTGAAGCACTTGGATTTTTGCAGACTACAAGAACCATTAGCCTCACTCAGGTCACCCCGAGGACACAAAGAAACCTCCAAGTGGCCTCAACGACCCTCTAAAAAGGATGCAAACAACCAGCTGTCTGCAAGGCGTATCAATCCTTCCATTCCCCTCCATCCGATCAGAGCTGAAGAAGCTTCTCGGATGAGAAGCGAAACGTCTTCAAAAGCAGGGTGGATTTGATTTAAATCGAGTTGCTTTAAATCACAATTTAAATCACGATTTAAATCACTAGTAAAAAGGCTTGATTTAAATCAACTCGATTTAAATCATGATTTTTCAAGAGCAACTGTCCTCTGACCCGCTGTTGACTCACCGATAGTCCCAGTGTTGCAGAATATACAGCCTCCTGCTACATAACTAAGCTCCATTTCATGCTGAATAAACTAAATTATTTATGTATCTTAAATAGAAAACTATCTTACGATAGATTTTGACCCCAAATTTTTTTTATTAAAATAAATTCGATACAAATCCAAAAAAAAATCCGATTTAAATCAAAAAAATCCGATTTAAATAAAAATAAATCTGATTTTTTTGATTTATTTTTTTTAAAATCATTGATTTTTAATCCACCCTGTTCAAAAGAACAAAAGAAGAAAAGTCCAGTGGCCTCCTGAAAAAAGCACCTTTGGGACAATCGTGACTTTGGATGACGGAGAAATCTCTCTATATTTTTAAGGGGTTTACCAAAAATCAGGTTCCACAGACATCCGATTGTGCAAATTTCAAAGGCTTTGCTGTTTTGTTTGAAATCCTTCCTGGCTTGCAAAGATTTAAAGGAAAGTGGGAACCGATCCCTTCTGTGCGTGTGAGGAACTTACTGTCGCATGGGGAATCCCGCGTTGAGGCGGACACAGAGACGTCGGCTCGCTAACCTGAAACGGTGGGGGGGGAAAAAAATTACAGAATACGTTGAATTGATAGCCAGGAGGTTTGTCCTTTAATGCGTGATCAGCCTACCTCGCAGGGTTAGCGTGAGGATTTTCTGAACCGTCAGGAGGCGGAGAGAACAAGGGGGGGTTCAACGGCTGGCCCAGTCAGTCAAAACAGTTTTGAAGGAGGTTTTGGGACTGCATAAATTCCAAAGCTGTGTCTTTGAGAGACCACAGCAGTTGGGTTTAATGGTTAAGGCGCCAAGCTAGAAACCGGGAGACGGTGAATTCTAGTCCCACTTTAGGCATAAAAGCCAGCTATGTGACAGGGTACAATCACCAGGTGACTGTGAGTTCTAGTCCTGCCTTAGGCATGAAAGCTGGCTGCATGACTTTGGGCCAACCACAAGGAGACGGTGAGTTCTAGTCCCACTTTAGGCATAAAAGCCAGCTATGTGACAGGGTACAATCACCAGGTGACTGTGAGTTCTAGTCCTGCCTTAGGCATGAAAGCTGGCTGGATGACTTTGGGCCAACCACAAGGAGACGGTGACTTCTAGTCCCACCTTAGGCATGAAAGACAGTTGGGTGACTGGGCCGATCACCAGGAGACGGTGAGTTCTAGTCCCACCTTAGGCATGAAAGACAGTTGGGTGACTGGGCCGATCACCAGGAGACGGTGAGTTCTAGTCCTACTTTAGGCATAAAAGCCAACTATGTGACAGGGTCCAATCACCAGGAGACGGTGAGTTCTAGTCCTGCCTTAGGCATGAAAGACAGTTGGGTGACAAGGGTCCAATCACCAGGTTGAATGTGAGTTCTAGTCCCGCTTTAGGCATGAAAGCCAGCTGGGTGACAAGGGTCCAATCACCGGGAGACAGGGAGTTCTAGTCCCACCTTAGGCATGAAAGACAGTTGGGTGACAAGAGTCCAATCACCAGGTGAATGTGAGTTTCTAGTCCCACTTTAGGCATGAAAGCCAGCTGGGTGACAAGAGTCCAATCACCGGAGACAGGGAGTTCTAGTCCCACCTTAGGCATGAAAGACATTGGGTGACAAGGGTCCAATCACCAGGTGAATGTGAGTTCTAGTCCCACTTTAGGCATGAAAGCCAGCTGGGTGACAAGAGTCCAATCACCAGGTGACAGTGAGTTCTAGTCCCACCTTAGGCATGAAAGACAGTTGGGTGACTGTGAGATCCCCCCCCAAAACTACCCCCCATTTTGGCAGCCACTGATCTTCACCCTTCTTTCAAACCCCCACCCCCACTTCCCTTATCCTGGGTTCGGGTTCTCTTTCGCAAAGGAACTACAGCGCCCATCATCCCCGGCTTGCATGGGAGGTGTAGTCCAGCCCTTCCTCGGAATGCTTCGCCGGGGAACGATGGGGTTGTGTGCAATCCGACGCCTCCCTAAAAGGTCGGATTAAATACACGAGGACAGGGGAGGGAAAAAAGGGGGGGCAAACACGTGTCTTTGTGTGCTCGTGTGAATCCGCCACACACACACACACACACACACACACGCAGGCGGGACACGCCCCCCCCCGGTCCCCCCGCCTTATTATTCCTCCCCCCCCTTTTTCCGGTCCCGAACACGCGTGTTTCTCCGATTCGGGTCCTTCCTGACGAGACGAGGCCACCGCGGAGTTTCCACCCCCCCCCCCTTTTTTTCCCTCCCCTCCGGTCACCTCAAGACGGAGGCCGCCATCTTGGCTGCGAACGCCCGGGTGACGTCAGCGCCCGACTTCCGTCGCCGGAGCCAAAGAAGGGCGGAAGTCGGAAGCAGCTGGGCTGCAACACGTGCGCTGGAAGCCCTGGAAGTGTGGGGGGGGGGGACACACAGGGGGTGGGAAAAAAGAAGGCGGGGCTTCTGCCCTTCCAAAGGAAGGCTGGGGGATTACAGTACCCATAATCCCCTATCCGGGGATGGGGGAATGTAGTCCTCCTTCTCCACCTCTTCTTCTCCACAGTCCCCATTCCCTTGTAGCACTGATGATGTTACCTAGTTGGGTCACGAAACGTCTGCAAGAAAAACCACCCAGCTCAGAAGAGCACAAATTAAATGATTTTCAATTTGGTTTTTAATGGGGTTTTAAAAAATTGGTTTTAAAACGAGAGTTTTAAATTCGGCCTATGGTTTAATTATTTTAATTTGCTTTTCAATTCTATTTTTTTTTTTTTGTACATTGTTTTTATTACAGCTGTTCACCGCCCTGAGTCCTTCGGGAGAAGGCCGGTATATAAATTAAATAAAATTAAATTAAATATTGCCGCCCTGAGTTTTCGGAGAAGGGCGGCATATAAATCAAATTAAAAAAATAAATAAATAAAATAAAATAAATAAATAAATAAAGGACCCCACAGTCCTCTTCCTCCTCCTCCTCCTCCTCTCTGCAAACCTTTCTCCCTTCCAGCACTGATGATGTTACCTAGTTGGGTCACGGAAAGTCTGCAAGAAGACCACCAAGCTAAGAGAGCACCAAGGACCCCGCAGCTGGGCGAAGGGTTGGACTACATGATCTACAACATGTCTCTTCCAACTCTGTTAATCTGTATCTGTATCAGTTCTCCTCCTCTCTGCAAACCCTACTTCCTTCTAGCACTGATGATGTTACCTAGTTGGGTCACAAAACGTCTGCAAGAAAACAAGCAGGTTCAGAGAGCCCCAAGGACCCCGCAGTCTTCTTCCTCCTCCTCCTCCTCCTCTCCCCTCCTCCCAATCCCCCCCTCCTTCTAGCACTGATGGTGTTACCTAGTTGGGTCATGAAACAAGCTCAGAGAGCCCAAGGACCCCATAGTCTTCCTCCTCTTCCTCTTCCTCTTCCTCCTCCTCCTCTCCTCAAAGCTCACTCCCTTCCAGCACTGATAATGTTACCTAGTTGGGTCATGGAAAGTCTGCAAGAAGACCACCAAGCTTAGAGAGCACCAAGGAGTCCTCCTCCTCCTCCACTCTGCAAACACTTCTCCCTTCTAGCACTGATGATGTTACCTAACTGGGTCATGAAACGTCTGCAAGAAAATCAACCAAGCTCAGAGAGTACCAAGGATCCCGCCGTCCACCTCCTCTTCTCCACAATCCCCACTGCCTTCTAGCACTGATGATGATATCTAGTTGGGTCACGAGACGTCTCCCAAAAAACCCACCGAGCTCAGAGAGCACCAAGTTCCCCACAGTTCAACTCTGAGCTACAAACGTTCTCTAAATAAATAAAGAAATAAATAAATAGCAGTTTGCAAACCCAACAGCTTCCAACTGCCCACTTCGGACTTGGCTAAGGCAAAAAAAAGAGAAACCACAAGGCGTGCCTTTGTGTTTTCTGGAATGTGTGTCGCCTACTAAAAACTGCGATTGTACTGAAAGAGTGGCCCGAGGAGAAGATTTTAAAAGAGTTGCAGGAAGGAGCAAAGGGTCTGTGTACGAGACACCTGGTTTTTCTTCTGCCTATCCGTTTTATTTATTTATTCATTTATTTATTGGTTCGATTTATATGCTGCCCTTTTTTTTTTATTATTTAAATTTGATTTAAATTTGATCTCCGGAGACTCAGGGCGGCTTACAATGGGTTAAGCAATAGCCTTCATACTTTTGTATATATTTATACAAAGTCAGCTTATTGCCCCCACAAACGGGGTCCTCAATTTACCCACCTTAGAAAGGATGGAAGGCTGAGTCAACCTTGAGCCTGGTGAGATTCGAACCTGCAGAAATTGCAGGCAGCTGTGTTAATGACAGGGTGAATTAAACCACTGTACTATCAAGGCTCTAAAATGACACTAGAATTCACCAGGTGATGTGCAAAACCACTGACCAAAACAGGATCTGATGATCCAATATGGCAGGAATTGGGTCCTTGCTGCTCTCTGAGCTTGGTGGTAAGAAGAAGAAGAAGAAGGAGAAGAAGAAGAAGAAGAAGAAGAAGGAGAAGGAGAAGGAGAAGGAGAAGAAGAAGAAGAAGGGGAAGGGGAAGGGGAAGGGGAAGGGGAAGAGGAAGGGGAAGAGGAAGAGGAAGAGGAAGAGGAAGAGGAAGAGGAAGGAAAAAGAGGAAGAGGAAGAAGAAGAAGTACTACAGCTATGGGGTCCATGCTGCTTTCTGAGCTTGGTTTTCTTAAAGATGTTTCATGACCCAACTATGTAATATCATCAGTGCTAGAAAGTAGTGGGGTTGGCTGTGGGAGAGGAGGAGGAGGAGGAGGAGGAGGAGGAGGAGGAGGAGGAGGAGGAGGAGGAGGAGGAGGAGAGGAGGAGAAGAAGAAGAAGAAGAAGAAGAAGAAGTACTACTATTGCTATACGGGGTCCTTGCTGAGCTTGGTTTTCTTAAAGATGTTTCATGACCCAACTATGTAATATCATCAGTGCTAGAAAGTAGTGGGGTGGCTGTGGGAGAGGAGGAGGAGGAGGAGGAGGAGGAGGAGGAGGAGGAGGAGGAGGAGGAGGAGGAGGAGGGGAAGAAGAAGAAGAAGAAGAAGAGAAGAAGAAGAAAGAAGAAGAAGAAGAAAAGAAGAAGAAGAAGAAGAAGAAGAAGAAGAAGAGAAGAAGAAGAAGAAGAAGAGAAGTAGTACTACTATTACTACTACGGGGTCCTTGCTGAGCTTGGTTTTCTTAAAGATGTTTCATGACCCAACTATGTAATATCATCAGTGCTGGAAAGTGTGGGGTTGGCTGTGGGAGAGGAGGAGGAGGAGGAGGAGGAGGAGGAGAAGGAGAAGGAAGAAGAAGAAGAAGAAGAAGAAGAAGAAGAAGAAGAAGAAGAAGAAGAAGAAGAAGAAGAAGAAGAAGAAGAAGAAGAAGAAGAAGAACTACTACTACTACGGGGTCCTTGCTGAGCTTGGTTTTCTTAAAGACATTTCATGACCCAACTATATAACATCATCAGTGCTGGAAAATAGTGGGGTTGGCTGAGGGGAAAGGAGGGGAGGAGGAGGAGAACTATGGGGTCCTTGCCGCTTTCTGACCTTGGTTTTCTTAAAGACGTTTCATGACCCAACTATAACATCATCAATACATCAACCCTAAGCCACACATATTCTCTCCTGTTGGAATCCGCCCTGCCAGCCATTGACTCCGCGTCAATCAATCTCCTGAACAAAAAAAAGACTCCAACTCAAATGACAGACACCCCCCCCCTTCACCCTCCTGGCCCCGGCCGAAGGCTCTGCCCGTCGGGTGGCGAGAAAAATGGCATTTTTCAAAGGCTGTGCCCTCACCCACCACTCTGCCAAGAATGCAGGCTCTTTGCCCAGCTATGCTCGCCACACGGCCCCCCCATAAATGCGAGCTTTTATGTTTTGTTCTCTTGGGGGGGGGGGGACCCCGGTTGGTCATTTCTTCCCTCCCCCCCCCACCTCCTGATTTTTTTTTTTTCTCCCCACTGCTTTGGGGAGCCAAATGCCACCTTCTCATTGGTCCCAGATTTCTGCAGAGATCGCATCCTTTCGGGGCAGGCGGGTTTTTAAGCCAGGGGTTTCCCCCCCTCGCCGGCATTCGGACGGGAAGGCCTTCCGTGGCTTCACTACCAGCTCTTCCCCTCCATGTGGCTGGGATTTGAACACTAACCCAAAACATGGGGGTCCCAGCCGAAGCGGGAAAGGGCCGAGCCTTCCCTTTGGGCAGTCCTGTTGTCCACTTTGGGTAAGTTTTGGCACTCTCCAAGGGAAGGTTTCCAAAGTTTTTTTTGGGGGGGGGGAACAAAACACCTCAAGAGGGGCCAAAACTAAGTATCTAAAAGCAGAAGAACAGAAAAGAGTTGAGAAGGGACTTTGGACGTCTTCTAGTCCATCCCCCTTGGAGACTCTATTGTGTTTCAGACAAATGGATGTCCAATCTCTTCTTGGAAAAAACAACAACCCCAGTAATGGAGAAGGAGGGAAGGAAGGAAGGAAGGAAGGAAGGAAGGAAGGAAGGAAGGAAGGAAGGAAGGAAGGAAGGAGGAAGGAAAGAAGGATAACAGAATAAAAGCATTAAAAGGATCTTGGAGGTCTTCTGGTCCAACAGAGAAGGAAGAAGGAAGGAAGGAAGGAAGGAAGGAAGGAAGGAAGGAAGGAGGAAGGAGGAAGGAGGAAGGAAGGAAGGAAGTATAAAGAATAAAAGCATTAAAAGGACCTTGCAGGTCTTCTGGTCCAAGAAGGAAGGAAGGAAGGAAGGAAGGAAGGAAGGAAGGAAGGAAGGAGGAAGGAAGGAAGGAAGGAAGGAAGGAAGGAAGGAAAGAAGGATAACAGAATAAAAGCATTAAAGGGATCTTGCAGGTCTTCTGGTCCAACAGAGAAGGAAGGAAGGAAGGAAGGAAGGAAGGAAGGAAGGATAACAGAATAAAGCATTAAAGGGATCTTGCAGGTCTTCTGGTCCAAGAAGGAAGGAAGGAAGGAAGGAAGGAAGGAAGGAAGGAAGGAAGGAAGGAAGGAAGGAAGGAAGGAAGGAAGGAAGGAAGGAAAACAGAATAAAAGCATTAAAAGAACCTTAGAGGTCTTCTGGTCCAAGAAGGAAGGAAGGAAGGAAGGAAGGAAGGAAGGAAGGAAGGAAGGAAGGAAGGAAGAAGGAAGGAAAGAAGGATAACAGAATAAAAGCATTAAAGGGATCTTGCAGGTCTTCTGGTCCAACAGAGAAGGAAGGAAGGAAGGAAGGAAGGAAGGAAGGAAGGAAGGAAGGAAGGAAGGAAGGAAGGAAGGAAGGAGGAAAGAAGGATAACAGAATAAAAGCATTAAAGGGATCTTGCAGGTCTTCTGGTCAACAGAGAAGGAAGGAAGGAAGGAAGGAAGGAAGGAAGGAAGGAAGGAAGGAGGAAGGAAGGAAGGAAGGAAGGAAGGAAGGATAACAGAATAAAAGCATTAAAAGGACCTTGGAGGTCTTCTGGTCCAATAAGGAAGGAAGGAAGGAAGGAAGGAAGGAAGGAAGGAAGGAAGGAAGGAAGGAAGGAAGGAAGGAAGGAAGGAAGGAATAACAGAATAAAAGCATTGGAAGGGCCCTCGGAGGTCTTCTAGTCCAACCCCCTGCTCAGCCAGGAGACCCTATCCCATTTCAGACAAGCGGTTGCCTTCAAAAATAGGATGAGATTACTCAGCTTTCCCTTCTGGGAGGAGGTGGACCTCTGTTTAGTTTTATATTTTTTCAACCGTCCCTTTTAGGGATAGACTGCCTCTGAAAGTGGAGGCTCTCCCCTGGCCCAAAGATTGTTGTAGAACAAGCCCCGAGCATCTTTTTTTCTTGAGATGTCTTGCTTTCCTAACGGGATTTCCACAGCGCGGTAGTTTTGGAATCTGAGCTTTGGCTTTTACTCTCCGGTGCTGCAGCATGGGCTATGTAGTTCTCCCTCCCTCTGCTGCAAGTCTGATTTTTTGTCATGCTTAAGAGGTCTGAAGCAGAGGTCTTCGCTGGGTAGCTGCAAATGTCATTGGCCCTTCTGCATACCTTCAGATTTCTTGGCGTGGATTGGTTAATGATGGTTTGGATCGTGGTTTAATTCAAGGGCTGGCTAATTCGAAGGCAATGAATTCTAGGAAAAACACTACAGATCCCAGGGAGAAATTCTTCATATTAGGTTATTGACAATTTAGAGGGAAAGGAGCAATTGACAGGACCACGAAGGAGTGTCAGGTAGCCCAAAAATCAGAAGTTGCAAAAGTTAGAAAAGTTCCAATTCAAAAATAGTGCTTAATATTGCGAGCTACGCCTTTTAATAATATGCATCGATTTTTAAAAAGTGCCTCCAATTTTAAGCAAAACAGTGACAGGAGGACCTTGGTTAATGGAATAATTAATAATCATGATATCTCTTTATCATTCTGAGAAGCAACAGTGTCTCGTCACGCCTTAAAAACCTGAAAAATGGGGTTCACACAACAGGGTGACTTTGCTGAATCGTGGCTTGTTGGGAAAAACTAACTTTGAGTTGGGCTCCCCTCTTGGGGTTGCCCCCCAACTGGACAAACCATGGTTTGTACTGTAATAGGATGAATGGACCTGTGGAAGTATCCCCTGCCTTGAAATTTCATAGATGACTTTATAAAATAGACTAAATTAAGATTTATTAAACTTGGGGTGCTGCCTTGTTGTGGAAAAACACAACCATGTTTTCTGTCGTTTGGCCTGCAAGTAAAGACCTTACTTTTTCGGGGGGCATCGGCATCATTTTTATAACATTTCTCTTTCCACTCAGAAGGGGGGGGAAAAAATGCAACCTATTACGGTGCCAGACAGATTAAATTGCTTCCCATTCAGCCGAGAAGCACATTAGCAGAACAAAACAATATATTTTCTAGCGCTCTGAAATCTCTTCCTATTATTTTTGGAGGAGTTAACATGGGAATTGGGCGTGGGAGAGTAAGAATTGTGTTTGATTAGACATAGGTTTGACCTGACAAATTAAAAAATTTTTTCTCTGATTATAACTGTCCCAGCATCCGCGTGGCTGATTCTGCTGTTTTTAGCTTTTTACAGTCATTATTTTCTAGGTATAATTTCTGCTTTAGAAAGCAAAAATAGCCAGTTTGCAGGACAGCCGTTGTCAAGAAATAGATCTTTTTATATTCAAAGAGTTCAGAAAGATTTCTTGCTCCGAAAAGCGTCAATAATCATACATTTATGACGACCTTCCTGGTTGAAAAGAAAGGAAAGGAAGGAATTGAGAAAGGAAGAGACGATTCGAAGAATTAGAAGATTTTTGTTCGGTTCACAGTGGATCCTTCCAAATCTGGGTTGACAGATTTGCACTAAAGCCACAATGTAGCCCAGGCAGAACCATGATTCTTGGCTTAATGCAATATATATGAACTTAGAAGATTAGAAGGTGTATTTGTTCGGTTCAGAACTGATTGTTCTAAATCTGAGTTGATAGATTGCATTAAGCCAGAATGTAGCTATGATTCCTGGCTTAATGCCATGTGCATGAACCCATCTAGGACTGACTGCGGTGTTTTTTAAGAGAAATGTAATTTTTCCTTGCTCTTCCTTATACGATGGAACTAGAGTTCTGAGTTCAAAGTCCTATCAGATTTACATTAGATCATCTCGTCCCATTGAACTGACCAAATCAGTGCGATGGGTTGATCTAATTTAAATCTGATGGGATTTTGCATCCAGGACCGACTGTCTGTTTTCAGGGTCAGTTCAACGAGGCGGGTCGATCTAACTTAAATCTGATATGATTTTGAATTCAGGATCTTATAAGGGTTTTATTTTCCTTTGCAACCCAATTGGCAGACGGCAGTCTTTCCCCCTCCCCCAGACTTCTGCTTTTTAAGATGCGACGTTTAATGATGATTATATGTAATCATGTAAATATAAATAGTTACATGACTACAAATCTCAGCCCAGCACATCTACCGTATCTTCCCCACAATTTTCCTTAAAATTGCAGCCACGCGGTTAAATAAAAGAGAATTTTAAAACCGTCTTATAAGTTTCTTGGGGAGTTTAATTCTATCCTCTTTTTCTTAAATCTCCATCTTAACGTCCTGCTTATGGATTCTCAAAATTGTGTTTTGGAGCAGGAGATGTTCCCGAGGAAGGGGAAAATCCCCTCCTCCCCCCATTTGAAAACTAGGTTTGGGAAATAGGAAAGGAGCTTGGTGAGATCCGAGAGGCAAAATATTCTTCCTTTCTCTGAACATACTTTTTACACTCCGATGCAATCGAAAAATAATCCCAATTCAGTTCCATCCTATATGCCAAAGGTTGAACGAGGCAGGTTATTTTTATTGCGTTTCTTTGCCAAATGCACGGAGCCCTGGGGAAACAACAAGCCTCATCACCGCGAACAGTGTAATTTCGTGGTTTATTTAAGATGGGCAAAGGAATCGCGGTTCCATGAACCGTACAAATCAGCTGTGACATGTTTAACCCAGCTGTTCCTTGCCGAAATGGGTGAAAAGACGCAAAAACAGCGAATTCCGCTTGCTTTTGAAAATCCTCAGGAAGAAGGCAACATTTTATTAATGTTGATTTTTTTAGAGGCTTTCATCCCACGTTGATTATTTTCATAAACGACGCATGGATTTGTGCCTAATTTCTCTCCCCCCGATGCCAAAATTGCCAGCGGAAATTCCAAACTTCAGGATGGAGCGAATTGGCTTTTTTAAAAAAATAAAATAAAATAAAATAAAAGTCATAAGTAATGGTGGAGATTGGAAATGAGGAAGGGATGGAAACTGGAACGGAGTGGCTTTTAAATCAAGGGGGGAGCAATTTTTTTAAAAAGAAAAATCGCTGTGGAATAACACATTCCTCTTGGGAGTAATTAATACAACAGAGTTACCTGTTATATTAATTAATATAACCTGTTGACTAACCTGTTGACTAACAGCCATTCGTTGAGGGAGAGTTTGTGATTAACAAGGCACTGCAAGAAAACAGTCCTCGCACTTATGACTGTCGCAGCATTGCTAACGTCACGCGGTCAAAATTTGGGATGATTGACAACTGCATGCATTTACAAACATTGCAGCATTCAGGGGATCATGTGAGTACTATATGCGACCTTCTCGGCAGGATTTTGATAAGCAAAGAATGAGGAAAGAAAAGGAAAGGAAAAAGAAGGAAGGAAAGAGAGAAATGGAAGGAAGGAAAGAAGGAGAAAGAGAGAAAGGGAAGGGAGGGAGGAAAAAGAGAAAGAAATGGAAGGAAAGAAGGAAGGAAGAAGATGGAGAAAGGGAAGGAAGGAGAAAAAGAGAGGAAAGGAAGGAAGGAAAAAGAGAGAAATGGAAAGAAGGAAGGGAGGAGAAAGAGAAAGGGAAGGGAAGGGAAGAAGGAAGGCAAAAGAGAAATGGAAGGAAAGAAGGAAGGAGAAAGAGAAAGGGAAGGGAGGAAGGAAGGAAGGAAAGAAAAAGAGAAAGGGAAGGAAAGAAGGACGGAAGAAGAGGGAGAGAGGGAAGAAAGGAAGGAGAAAGAGGAAAGGAAGGAAGGAAAAAGAAATGGAAAGAAGGAAGGAAGCAACGAGAAAGAGAAAGGGAAGGGTGAGAAGGGAGGGAGGAAAAAGAGAGAGAAGAAAGGAAGGAAGAAGAGGGGGAGAAAAGGAAGGAAGGAGAAAGAGGAAAGGAAGGAAGGGAGAGTAAGAGAGAAAGGGAAGGATGGAAGGAAGGAAAGGAAGGATGGAGAAAAAGAAAGGGAAGGAAGATGAAAGATGGAGAAAGGGAAGGAAGGAAATTTTATTCCACCATTTGACATAAATTAAAAGCAACTCCTTTTGTACACGGGTTAGTTAGAAGATGCTAAGCGAACGCCACGATTACAAATTTTCAATTTATCTTTTTTTACAATTGCCACAGACTGACACCCCCAACTATCTCTTGCCGTCCCTGAAGGTTAATATTTCTCCCCCCACTCCTCTCTCCTTTTTCCAAAATCTCCATTGTTCCACTTGCTATTCTCCCTGCTTAATCTTCTTATTATCCCTCAGCTTCTGTGCAAGGTTAAGTAGTAAAAAAAATAAATAAAAAAAAATTACAATTAAATTATATATTTTCTTACAAACAATTTACAGTAGGCCGTCGTATTTGTTCTGTCGGTTTCGTTGTCGGTAATCCATGCAAAAGTAGCTTCCCAGTCTTTGGTGTATTTGACACACTCCTCTCTTTCGTTTTAAAGAATTCGAAATCTCGCCGCTGTCACTCTCATCGCTCGACGCCATTTTAGGTCAGTCGACACAAGCTACAATACACTTTTAAAAATGTGAACTGTACATAATTTTAGAATATGTTTTTATTTTAATCTCATCATTAATTTTTTCGGAGAATCGAGTTCGATGGATATTCGATCTTTGTCTCATCCTAACTTATGAAAAAAAAAAAAAGACAAAACGCGATTCTCCTATCCTTATTCTCTTAGACTGTACAGCTTTAGATTACGTACCATTTCATCATAAAGCTTTTGAATAAAAAAAAAAATTGTCCACTATTTTGTGGAAAAAAAAAAATAGTGAACGTAATGTGAAAAAAGCGGATTGTCCGCTCAAATAGCGGACACCTGGCAACTCGAAAAAATGAACTATTAAACCCCCTCAATTGGAAACTGCAAAGTAAGGCAGTGATGAATATTTTCAGGAGAAAACCCATCCCTTTAGCTCTATTCCGTTTAGAATCATGAGGACTAGAGCCTTCCTCGGTCTTTAAGGGAGGCTTAAACCCCAGGCTTCACGTTAGAGCTGTTTTCTTTGCAATAGGTTTAATAATCCCAACCGCTAAGGAAAAGCTCAGTTAAAAACCTTGAAGGGTTTGTTGCAAATGAAGGCCTTGGCTTGACACATCTATTTTACAGACTGGAAGGGACCTTGGAGGTCATCTAGTCCAACCCCCACCGTCCAAGCAGGAGATCCTACACCGTTTCTGACAGATGGCAGTCCAACCTCTTCTTGGGGATGAAGCTCTCACAACTTCCGAAGGCAACTTCTGTTCCACGGGTTGATTGTTCTCACTGTCCGAAAATTTCTCCTTATTTCCAGGTTGAATTTCTCTCCTTGACCAGTTTCCATCCATGATTCCTTGTCTGGCCTTCGGGTGCTTTGGAAAATAGCTTGCCCCCCCTTCCTCCTCTCTGGGGCAGCCCCTCAAATATTGGGACCCTGCTCTCATGTCTCCCCTGGTCCTTCTCTTCACTAGACTAGCCATGCCCAGTTCCTGCAACCGTTCATCGTATGTTTTAGCCTCCAGTCCCCTCATCATCTTAGTTGCTCTCCATCAGCTCATCCTTTCAATAAACCGTGATTAAACCAGCATGGCACGTATGGAGGAAATGCCTGAAACGGCAGCCTCGCAAACCTAACAGAGCAGTTCCATAGTCGTGGTGTTTTATCATTTTCCTCTAAAGGCAAAGGTTCCCCTCGCACATACGTGCTACTCGTTCCCGACTCTAGGGGGCGCTGCTCATCTCCGTTTCAAAGCCGAAGAGCCAGCGCTGTCCGAAGACGTCTCCGTGGTCATGTGGCCGCCATGACTAAATGCCAAAGGCGCACAGAACGCTGTTTCCTTCCCACACCCCAAAGTCCCTATTTTTTTCTACTTGCATTTTTTTTAATAAAAAAAGTTTTTTTATTTAAACAAACAAACAAACAAACAAATACATAATCATTATATCTTCTGAATACATGTTTTAAATCTTTTTGCTCCTCCAATATTTATCATATCTTAATATTGTAAACAAACAAACAAATAATCCATAATCCATCATTCAATATATCTTCCGAGTACATCTTTTAAATCTTCTTTTTGCTCCTCCAATATTTATCATATCTTAATACTGTAAACAAACAAACAAATAATCCATAATCCATCATTCAATATATCTTCCGAGTACATCTTTTAAATCTTCTTTTTGCTCCTCCAATATTTATCATATCTTAATACTATAAACAAACAAACAAATAATCCATAATCCATCATTCAATATATCTTCTGAGTACATCTTTTAAATCTTCTTTTTGCTCCTCCAATATTTATCGTATCTTAATGTTGTCATTCCCTTTATTATAACATTTCCCCCATTTTTCTTACTTCTCTGTTAATACCTTTTATATCTTTTAATTATATTAAAAATTAGACAACCATTTTATCCCCACACAACCTTGCATTATTATTATTTTTTTTTACGTGCTTTCGAACTGCTAGGTTGGCAGAAGCTGGGACAAGTCACGGGAGCTCACCCCGTTACGCGGCGCTCGGGATTCGAACCGCTGAACTGCCAACCCTTTCGATCGACGGGCTCAGCGTCTTAGCCACTGGGCCACCGCGTCCCCTTTTTGTCTAGATGGGCACAAAATTAGCCCCCCCACAAAAAAAGGGAGGGGGAAATAGGGACGGTTAAGGCTGGGTATTTTTTTTCCCCCTTCTTCCCGGCCAAAAAAATGAGGGGGGGGGGAAATTTCCCACTCATCCCAGCAGTTTGGAATTTGCACCCCCAGGGCGGGAGAAAAGGAGACGATTGTTCGGTTACACAAAAGGGCCATTTGACTGCAAATGTCACAACTTTGAGATCACTCAGCAATGTTCCGCCGTGTTCGGGCCACAAGGGGGGTTTATGGAAGTCACTACCCACTTCCCAAACGGAGGGTGGGGGGTTTAAAGGCAGAAGGGGCAGGGGGAATCCCAACCCATTGTATCACAACAATGACATTCTCTCTCTCTCTCTCTTCCTCCCTCTCTCTCTCTCTCTCTCTCTCTTTCTCTCTCTCTCTCTCTCGTTTTATTTATTTACAACAACCGTTCGAGGTGGATTTGGGCTGAGAGGGAGGAATGGCTAGCTTTCGTGGCTTAGGTGGGACTAGAACTCACCGTCGCCTGGGGATTGGCTCAATGGTCTCCCAGCTGGCTTTCATGCCTAAGGCGGAACTAGAACTCACTGTCGCCTGGTGACTGGCCAAAAGTCACCCAGCTGGCTTTCATGTGTAAGGTGGGACTAGAACTCACCGTCGCCTGGGGATTGGCTCAATGGTCTCCCAGCTGGCTTAAGGTGGAACTAGAACTCACTGTCGCCTGGTGACTGGCCAAAAGTCACCCAGCTGGCTTTCATATGTAAGGTGGGAATAGAACTCACTGTCGCCTGGTGATTGGCTCAATGGTTTCCCAGCTGCCTTAAGGTGGAACTAGAACTCACTGTCGCCTGGTGACTGGCCAAAAGTCACCCAGCTGGCTTTCATGTGTAAGGTGGGAATAGAACTCACTGTCGCCTGGTGATTGGCTCAATGGTTTCCCAGCTGCCTTAAGGTGGAACTAGAACTCACTGTCGCCTGGTGACTGGCCAAAAGTCACCCAGCTGGCTTTCATGTGTAAGGTGGGAATAGAACTCACCGTCGCCTGGTGATTGGCTCAATGGTTTCCCAGCTGGCTTAAGGTAGAACTAGAACTCACTGTCGCCTGGTGACTGGCCAAAAGTCACCCAGCTGGCTTTCATGCCTAAGGAGGAACTAGAACTCACTGTCGCCTGGTGACTGGCCAAAAGTCACCCAGCTGGCTTTCATGGCTAAGGCGGAACTAGAACTCACCATCTCCTGGTGATTGGTTCAAAGTCTTCCAGCTGGCTTTTATACCTAAGGCGGGACTAGAACTCCCAGTCTCCTGGTGATTGGCCCCAAATCAGCCAGCTGGCTTTCATGCCTAAAGCAGAACTAGAACTCACCGTCTCCTGGTGATTGGTCCAAAGTCTTCCCATTAGTTTTTATGCCTAAGGCATTCCAGGTATGGCAGCTGTCAACGGATCGACTTCAGGATTTGAAATTAATTTAACCTGGTTGTTGTGAAGTGGGGTTGCCCTTTTGGGATCTGGGCAGGCGGCTTAGGAAGGTGATCAGGGATCCACTCAATCGTTAATTTACGAATGAATTTCACTCCCTCTGCATTTTTTTTTGTTTGTTTGTTTGCAGTGCTCTCTCCAACCTTGGCCATCAAAGTTTACACGGCGAACGAGGTCCACGGCACGGTGGGTTCCAAAATTAAACTCTCTTGCTCCTTCTGGTCCAACGAGTGGATCTCTGATGACATTTCCATCACGTGGCACTTTCAGCCTGAACGTGGAAAGGACAGCATTTCGGTAAAAAGAAAATACATCTATCTATCTATCTATCTATCTATCTATCTATCTATCTATCTATCTATCTATCTATTTATTATCTAACTATCATCTATCCTATACAGTATCTATCTATCCATCCATCCATCCATCCATCCGTCCATCCATCTTCTCTGATCTATCTATCTATCTATCTATCTATCTATCTATCTATCTATCTATCTATCTATCTATCTATCTATCCATCCATCCATCCATCCATCCATCCATCCATCTATCTTCCCTATCTATCTATCTATCTATCTATCTATCTATCTATCTATCATCCATCCATCCATCCATCCATCCATCTTCTCTGTCCTATCTATCTATCTATCTATCTATCTATCTATCTATCTATCTATCTATCTATTATCTATCATCTATCCTATATCTATCTATCCATCCATCCGTCCATCCATCCATCTTCTCTGATCCATCCATCCATCCATCCATCCATCTATCTATCTATCTATCTATCTATCTATCTATCTATCTATCTATCTATCTATCTATCTATCTATCTATCATCTAGCTAGTTATCTGTAGATATCTGTATATGTATTATATATATTTTGGTTGTTAAACTTCAGATGCCCACCAGAGGGCAGCAGAAACTGAGCATTAGTCTCTGCTGCCCTCTTGTGGCTCCATGTATATTGCACTCCCGATCTGATTCTTCTCTTCAGTCAAGCAGGTGGACATTGTCCCACCAATTCTTCTGCTCTTCTTCGACCCCAGATATTTCACTATGCCAAAGGCCAGCACTACATCGACAACGTTGGGTCCTTCAAGGAGCGGATTGAGTGGATCGGAGACCCTAGCTGGAAAGATGGCTCCATTATCATCCATGACCTGGAATACACCGACAATGGGACCTACACTTGCGACGTCAAAAATCCACCGGATATTGTGGGGAGAACATCACAGGTCACCCTCTATGTCTTTGAGAATGGTAATGCTCGTTGACCGCAGTGGTGTTACTACGATCTTCTCATTTGTAATATTTGTAATTGTATTATACAATTATGTATATACAAATTACGAATGGTCATTTATAATGTGATTCCACAATTTTTGGCGTGATCTAAGGAGTGGGAAGGAAGGAAGGAAGGAAGAAGGAAGGAAGGAAGGAAGGAAGGAAGGAAAAGGAAAAGAAGGAAGGAAGGCAGGCAGGAAGGAAGGAAGAGAAAGGAAAAGGAGGGAGGGAGGGAGGGAGGGAAAGAGGGAAGCTGAGCAAACCCAGTTGGAGATGTTGTATATTTTAGTAATATTCTCTCCTTTTTCTCTTTCTCCTCCTCTTTCTCCTTCTCCCTTCTTCTCCTCCTTTTCCATCTCCTTCTCCTCTCCATCTCTCTCTTCTTCTTCTCCTTTTCTTTTTCCTTCTCCCTTCTCCTCCTTCCTTCTCCTTTTCCATCTCCTTCTCCTCTCCACCTTCTCTCTTCTCCTCCTCCTTTTCTTTCTCCTTGCCCCTTGTCCCTTCTTCTCCTTCCTTCTCCTTTCCCATCTCCTTCTCCTCCTCCTCTTCTCCTCCTCTCCTCATCTGTTCCTCACCTTTGTCCATCCTCTCCACTCATCCCTCCCTCTTTCTCTTCTTCTTCTCCTTTTCCATCTCCTGCTCCTCTCCATCTTCTCTCTCTTCTTCTCCTTTTCGTTTTCCTTCTCCCTTCTCCTCCTTCCTTCTCCTTTTCCATCTCCTCCTCCTCTTTCTCCTTCTCTCTTCTCCTTCTCCCTTCTCCTTCCTTTTCCATCTCCTCCTCCTCCTCTTTCTCCTTCTCCCTTCTTCTCCTTTTCCATCTCCTCCTCTTTCTCCTTCTCCATTCTCCTTCTCCCTTCTTCTCCTTTTCCATCTCCTCCTCCTCTCCACCTCCTCTCTTCTTCTTCTCCTCCTTTTCTTTCTCCTTCTCCCTTCTCCTCCTTCCTTCTCCTTTTCCCTCACCTCCTCCTCCTCCTCCTCTCCTCGACCTTCTTCTCCATCATTTCCTCACCTTTGTCCATCCTCTCCACCCCTCCCTCCCTCCCTCCCTCTCTTTCTTTCCTTCTTCTCCAGTTCCTACGAGATACGGCCAAGTCCTGGGAGGCATTATTGGAGGCGTCTTACTCGTGGTCTTAGTAGTCCTGCTGATAGCTTACCTCATCAGGTACTGCTGGCTGAGGAGACAAGCCACCCTCCAGAGGCGTCTCAGGTAATCCCCTGAATCCCCCTTGCCTCCTCTACCACCATTCCTCTCCAAGTATTATTTATTTTATTATTATTTTATTTTATTAAATTTCTATACCGCCCTTCTCCCGAAGGACTCAGGGCGGTGAACAGCCACAAGCTAGAACACATAAATACAAAAATTTAAAATGAATTAAAACGAATTAAATAATTTGGCTGAATTGAAAATACCCCATAATTTAAAACAAATTAAAATTTACATTTAAAAAGGGGAGAAGATTTAGGCCAGGTATTAAATATGAAAGGTGCAGAAAATCCTTCATCCGACATCCCTTTGCCGGCTTCCCAGTCTGAACCCCAACTCCAGAGTCCTGGCATCCACTCCCATGCCAGGCAGGCGAATGATGGGAGTTGTAGTCCTGCGTCTCCAAAGGGCCCCAAATTTAGGACCCGTTGCCTGAGTTTCTCCTCCCCTTTGCAATGGGATGTCGTGACTGCGTTTCTTCTGAACTGGGGGTGAGTGGGTGCTGCAGGAATCCCACGACAAGGACTTGTCACTCCTACCGCTTTTAAACACAAAAGTACCACAATGAGAGCGGGTGCAAAGAAAGGAAAAGAGACAATTTTCCCACATTGGCTGTGTGTGTGTGTTTTTTTTTTTTTTAAATCCATTAATTGCCAGGCATTTGGGGGCAGAGGTTTTTAGAATAATTGTGGGGGGGGGGTTGTGACCTGTCGGCCGCCAGCCCCTCCAACAGCCGAATCAGAAGAGGAGGAGGAGGTGTGGGAGTCAGAGCCTTGGTGGCGCAGCAGACTAAAGCGCTGTTAAGTAGCACCGGCTGCCTGCAATTACTGCGAGTTCGAATCTCACCAGGCTCAAGGTTTGACTCAGCCTTCCATCCTTCCGAGGTAGGTAAAATGAGGACCCGGATTGTGGGGGGCAATAAACTGAGACTTTGTATAAAAAAAAGAACACCGCTTAGGGGGGGCCCGAAAGCCCTACTAAGAAGGTATATACAAAAGTATGAAGGCTATTGCTTAACGCATTGTAAGCCGCCCTGAGTCTCCGGAAAAAGGGCGGCATATATAAATCGAACCAATAAATAAATAAATAAATAAATAAACCTGAGAGCTCTGAGAGGGAAGAGGGAATGGAGGTGGCAGAGAGAGAGAGACGGAGGCGGAGTCTGGGCCGTCCTTCAGCCCTCCGATGGAGAGTCAACAGCCCCCAGGTCTGGAGGTGGCTGATGAGGAAGAGGAGGAACAGCTGGGTCCAGTGCCTGATAGAAGGCAGAGGAGAGGAGAGCAGTGGAAATCTATGGGCCGGTCCTTGGGAAGGAAGAGCCACCGCTGCTAGCGAAGCCCCACTTTAGCTCTGGGGATAAAAGGCAGAGGGCGGAGATGAATAGATGTGGCAGACAACGATTCATCTCCCTGCCGGATGGACTTGTTAGCCTGCGGTGAGAGAGAAACCTTTTGCCAGGATTGCCGGCATTCCTAATTAAAGGAATCTTTGAGTTCACGGCGGAGGGTTTGTCGTGTTTGGGGAGCCGGGTCAAAACAGGTTTAGGCAAGAGGCTCCTTTGGTTCAGAAAAACTGCTCCCCAGTTTTCTTTGTTGTACATCAACACGCGTCTCTGTTCTTGTTTCCACCTTTAGCGCGATGGAGAAAGGGAAACTGAGGCTGGGGAAGGATTCTTCCAAACGACGCCATCAGGTGAGCCTTTGGGAGCGCGAGAGGAAGACGCTCCTCAAATAAGGATCTGTCAGCTTTACAGGTGGTCCTCTTACGATCATCATTGAGCCTGCCTAGTAGGGTCCTAAGCCGTGACGGTCATAAAATGGGTCACGGGTGACCGGTCTTTGCCGCTACCGGCCGCCATTTTCCTGTGCCAACCTTCTCTTCTTTTCTTTCTCCTCCTGATAGACCCCTGTCCTGTACGCCATGCTGGACCACAGCCGCTTCACCAAGCCGAGCGACAAAAAATCCCGGGGAGGATTCGGGGACTCGCGCAAAGATAAGAAATAGCGGTTAGCCGGCAGAGAAGGTATCGAGAAGAAGGCGGCCAAGAAACAGGTGGTCATGACCATCGAGATGGAAACGAAGAAGGACCACCACGAGGCCGAAGGCTTCAAGCCCGCCGTCAAATCCCCCAGCAAGAACAGCCTCAAAAACGCGCTCATGAATATCCTTAAAAGCGATTCGGACGTCTAATTCGAACACGGGGGCCTTTCCAGGCCCTTCTCTTCTCACCCCCCCCGGGAGGTCCCTTTCTCTTCCACCCAGTCCTCTTGGCTTTGCTAGGACCACCAGATCGAGGGTGCAGTACCTCTGACGGCCAGCTGGTGGCAGCAAGGAATTGGTTTGGGGTCCTCCGCTGCCACCTGCTGGCCGTTGGGAAGGCTGCAGTCCAGCCATGATGTTTTAATACACATTTCTCAATTTCATCATATTCAAAATGTGTGGACTTCAACTGCCTGATTTTTGGCTGGCAAATTCTGGGCATTGTAGTCCACCGTTCTTAAATCTGCTGAAGTTAAGAAAAGCATTTACTAGTTGTGTGGTCACCTGTACTGCTACAATAATCAGTCTAACCAGGGGCTGATAGCATTTGGTATCAACAAACTGACATACATTCCTTTTTTTCCTGCAATTTTGTAGAGGAATCTTGGTTTGCGTGGCACAATCGGGCTAGGAAGAATTCCTACGTTAAGAACACAAAGTTTAAACAAAAAAATAATAATAATTCCGAGATTCCATCCTCTATACAAGTAGTCCTCAATTTACGACCTCAAGAAAGGCTGGAAAATTCATTGTTAAGCGGTGTGGTTGTTAAGTGAGACACCCCACGTGAGTGACTTGCAACCTTCCTCGCTGGCTTTCCCCTGTTGGGAAGATCACAAATGCTGGTTTGCGGGTGCTGTGATTGTTGTCAAACATCATCGCCGTTTCCAAGCGCTCAAACCACGATCTTATTGTGATGGTTGTAGGTGCGAGGACCAGTCGTAAGGCGCTTTTTCCAGCACTGTTATAACTTTGAATGGTCGCTAAACAAATGACGGTCAGTTGAGAACTAGCTGTGTTTCAGTGTCTTCTGCTAAGGAAGATCGGAAACAAACCTTGATCGGTGACGAACCAACATTAGCTCTTTGTACCCTTCCGATGTGTCCCAAACTCAGCAACTCGGGTAAACGCACATGCGTCAATAAATCGCGAAAATATGCAGGATATTTATTGATCATTTTCATTAAAGAGAGATTCCCATCGGCCCCTGGAACCCCGTCAATCGCCAACGAGGATAAAATCCAACTGGGTGTTTCCATCCTTTGGACCCTCCCGAGTCTTATAAATTGGCCCAAAAGATGCAAAAAATTCTCCCTTAAAACGGTGCCTTCTTCTGCTTTAACCGCTGTGACCCTCTTCCGCTCCACGATTCGAGCACAGGTGTAATTTTTTTTTCTTAAGATTTTTTTTCCTTTTTTTTTTTTTAATTTAATCCAAAGGACCAGATTCTAGTCGGTCGCATCTCAACAAACTCACACAAAGATGGTTTAATTTCCCTCAGGCCAAAAATTCTATCCAGGAGGGACGGACAAAAATGTCGCTTTGGCCACCATCACGGGCCCCTCCTGAGCGAAAATTCTCAACAAAATTAAAGAAGAAGAAGAAAAAAAAAACAATATTTTAAAACAAAAGGCCCCAAATTCTTCTCTCTCTCTCTCCCTCTCCCTCCCTCCCTCCCTGATCAGTGGTGGTATCCATCTGGTTCTATCCGGTTCGGGTGAACCGGTAGCGGTGGCTGCAGGAGGCTCCGCCCACCCGCCCGGACATCATCACGTCCTGTTTTTGACGCTCTCCGCATATGAACCGGTAGCGAAGGTAACTAAATGCCACCTCTGTCTCTGATTCTACGAGTAGCGATCCAATTTTAGGCCAAATTCGGCGCTTCCTGCTTGAGCAAAGCATCTGAGAGATTTCAGGGCGAGTGAAAAAAAAGTAATCGTCGTTTAAAAAAATAATAATAACCCATTAAGACAATCCCTAAAATTTCTCAGGGAGGGGGTTTTGCTCCATGTTACAAGAGGCTGCACAATTTGGCCTTCTGGAAAAATTCTCACCCCTGTTGCAAAGAGTTGCAAATTCTCATCCCGTTTGCAAATCCCTAGAAGAGAAATGGGGGGGAAAAAATGCAGATTATTCTGCCAGTTTTTTCCCCCGGAAGTCTGTCGAAACAGACGGATTTATAATTTCTGTTCTGACTTGTTTGACAACCTCGGGGCGTCCCCCGAGAGGGAAATTAAACCGTCGTCTTGACAGTCGCGAAAACCTCGCCGCACGATCTGCAAAAGCGGGGATTGGGAATGAAATTTACGATTAACCTTGTGGAGATATTATATCGATTTTTTTTTTCCTTTCCTTGCTTGCGCTCTCTGCCCGGTGACCGAATTCTGCATGACGTTACGTGGGTAGGGCAAAAAAAAAATCAAGGCTTCGATTTGTCTCCATTATTTTTGCTCCTGTTGGGGTGTTGTTTTTTTTTAATTATTATTATTCTGTTCAAATTAACTTCTAAGGACAGCATGTTCCATCAGCAGCAAAACAGCCAAAGGCAAGACTCTCATTTTGTTAGCAAACACCACAGCTTTGTTTTGTGCGTTTTAACAAAATCACAGAGTTGGATGGGATCTTGGAGGTCTTCTAGTCCAACCCTTTGCTCCAAGCAGGAAAACACTATCCTATTTCAGACACTTTCTACCGATTTCCCAGTCTCTTTCTTGTCTTCAAATCTCACAACCTCAAACGACGGTGCTAAAAGCGATGTACATAAAAGCAGACGATTCCCGCAACCACACCGCTCTGTGTCGCGAGTAGTTTTAGAAAACTAAACTGGTTTTTTTTTAAAAAAAAAATGGGTTTTTTTTTCCATATGTACAATTTTCTCGGGGTTTTCTGGGCCCCGGGATTGTCTTTCAAACAGCCTCCGCCAAAAAAACAAACGACATCATTAAAATGAAAAAGAATTAATAAAAAGACTGACATTTCTGTACCGAGCTGGCTCTCTTGTGGTCTGTGATCCTGATAGTAAAGTCGGAGTAAAAAAAGGTAAAGGAGGAGTCCATTACGGATTTTAGTCATTGCCGGCTATAGGGGGCGCTGTTCATCTCCTTTTCAAGGCCACGGACCAGCGCTGTTCGAAGACATTTCCGCGGTCATGCAACCTTAAACACTCAAAGAGCCATTTGGACCCATTTCCCACAGAAAAGAAAACACCGGGAGCCACAAAACTCGGGTGGGTGTGGCCAACTCGATGTCACTCACTTCCACCAGTCACATGACCCCCTAGCCACGCCTACCCATTAGGACAGAGAAACAGTTGTTAAAAAACACAGGGAATCACAAAATCCTTTTGATATTAGCCTAATTCCAATTCCAATTCTTTTCAACTTTTAATCTTTTTTAATTTTTAATGTTTAATTCTTGAGGTTTAAAAATGGGTTTTTAATTAGTTACGGGCCATAGTGTTTAATATATATTTTAAATTGTTATTAAATTTTCTATTTGTGCGTTCTTATTCTGGCTGTACACCACCCTGAGTCCTTCGGGAGAAGGGCGGTATATAAATTCAAATAAATAAATAAATAAATAGATAAGATATCTCTCTATCTCCCTCCCTTTTTCCCCCCCTCTCTTCCTAATCGGCCCATCAGCTTTGAGAAGTTCTGCGTCTCCAAAACTCACGGAGAGCTGGGGAAGAATGGAAGCAGTCCGAATATTAATAGAGGAAGTCCTCAACTTACGACAGTTCATTTAGTGACCGTCTGAAATTAGAACGGCACTGAAAATAAGTGACTTACGATCGTTTTTCACGCTGACGACCGTTGCAGCATCCCTGTGGTCAGGTGGTCAAAATAAATATTTGGCAGAGTTAAGTGAAAGAAGGTGGGGTTAAGTAAGTTGTGCCCAATTTGATGCCATTTTCGGCCATGGTTGTGAAACCAACAACTGAAACCAGTTGTTAAGTGAATCATGTGGGTCTTAAGTGAATTTGGCTACCACCATTGACTCTATCTATCAATCTATCTATCTATCTATCCATCCATCCATCTATCCTATTTTCATCTATTATCTATTTCCGTGATGGCATGCGTAGCTGTATTGGTGGGCACGTGAGCTCAACTCCGGCGCCAGCTGATTTTCAGGCCTTCTGGGCCCACCGGAAGAAGGGAAACAGGATGTTTTCTGCCTCCAGAGGGCCTCGGGAGGGGGGAGGTTCATTTTTCTCTCTCCCCAGTCTCCAGAGCCTTTCTAGGAGCCTGGGGAGGGCGAAAATGGCCTTCCACCCCCCCCGGAGGCCCTTCGGAGGCCAGAAATGGCCCATTTGCCAACTTCTGGTGGGAACCGAAGGCCCATTTTTTGCTCTCCCCAGCCTCCAGAATGGTGGGACCGGAAGGCGGCAAACGGGCTGTTTCCAGCCTCTGGGGGGGGGTGGGGAAGGCTGTTTTCGCCCTCCCCACACTCCTATAAAGGCTCTGGAGCCTGGGGAGAGAGAAAAACGGGCTTTCCAGTCCCTCTGGAAGTTGGCAAATGGGCCGTTTTCGGCCTCCAGAGGGCCTCTGGGGGGGAGGCTGTTTTCGCCCTCCCCAGGCTCCTAGAAAGGCTCTGGAGCCTGGGGAGAGAGAAAAACGGGCCTACCAGTCCCACCGTGCCATTGCATGCCAGGAGTGGGGGGTGGGGGGGTCGCGCGCGCATACACAAGGGCGGGGTGCATAGAATTATGGATATGGGCACGCGTGACACTCCCCCCCCCCCCCCGCTCCTGGCACGCGATTGCAAAAAGGTTAGCCATCACTTATCTATCTAATCTATTTTCCTGTCTCTACGTATCTATATATCTACGTATCTACCTATCTATCTACCTATCTACCTATCTACCTATCTACCTATCTACCTATCTACCTACCTACCTACCTATCTACCTATCTACCTATCTACCTATCTACCTACCTACCTACCTATCCATCCATCCATCCATCCATCCATCCATCCATCCATCCATCCATCCATCCATCCATCTATCTATCTATCTATCTATCTATCTATCTATCTATCTATCTATCCATCTATCTACAAAACCAGAACACTGAAATCTGCAAATATGAGCTGTGTCAATAACTCAGACAAACAGGAGAGAAAAGAAGACAAAAGACCGAAACGAAACAAGTTTTTTTTTCCCCTGATTATTTTATTAACATGCTAAACGTGTCAGTCTTCAAAGCAGGTCAGTCAGTGCCCAGGATGACAGCTTTTCTTCATTCTTGACAATGTTTCATTGCCCGCCACAAATTTCGCATCCACCACTGGCCCAGAAGTGGAATGGCTGTGAGGCAGCTAAGTGGAGGGGGAAAAAAAATGTGTGTGTGAACCTTGACGGATAGATTTTGGCTTGTTCTTCTTTTTTTTTCCTTGGCTCATAATAAGCTGGGTCCTGAGGAGGGAAGCATGGCTTTGTAGCTAGCAGCCCTTTTCTGTGGGTGAACGGACAGAGAAATCGGGGTGCTGAGATCTGCTGGCCGCATAGGACGGACACTGAGTTTGGTAACGACACTAGGATGTTCTTTTGGCGAAGAATGGCTTAAGGAACTTGAAGCTGACTTCGTAAAAAGCATATTGGATGTTTTCGTGGGAGGGAGCTCCCAATTTTGCTCGCAGTTTCACTCTTATCGGTGCAAAAAACAGGTGCCTCTAATGTAAAGTATTCCTTTGGGCACGAGGTTGGCTCTTGGGAAAAGTGGGATCCCTTCAGGGAGGTGCAAAAAATACTTTTTCTTTCCCGTCGTCTAGGTTGGCATCAAGCCTCAAAACTCAACGTCCTGTTTTGAAAATAGGTTTATTTTAGAATTTCAAGCTACCGTAATATTTTCCCTGCATTGGGCTTATGGTTCTTTGAATGAATTTGCCGGGATTTTTATTATAGACGGTTAGTGGAATGGGACAACTGACCGCGGCCAACTCTCCACAGGACGATTCAACAAATCCAAAAGTTAACTTCATTTCGACGGAATCATGGCCAATGATAACAACACGAAGAAAGTCAATCCGGAAATGCAAGAATCACAATGATTTGGATGAAAACATGGTCACCAACAATAAAATAAAGTAACTGAATGAAATGATTAATGAGGTGTTGAATTGTCCCACGGCGAGTTGGGTTGGCCGGGGCGAGTTGTCCTAGATCCGTGATGGCGAACCTATGGCACGCGTGCCACAGGTTGCACACGTAGCCATATCAGTGGGCACGCGAGCTCAGTTCCGGCACATGCCAACTGATTTTTGGGCCTTCTGGGCCCACCAGAAGTAGGAAAACAGGTTGCTTCCTGTCTCCGGAGGGCCTCAGGGGTGGGGGTGGTGAAGGCCCATTTTTCTCTCTCACCTGGCTCCAGAGCCTTTCTAGGAGTCTGGGGAGGGCGAAAACGGCCTTCCCCACCCCCTGGAGGCTGAAAATGGCCCGTTTGCCAACTTCCGGTGGGACCAGAAGGCCCGTTTTTTGCTGTCCTCAGGCTCCAGAGCCTTTCTAGGAGTTTGGGGAGGGCCGAAATGGCCTTCCCCACCCCCCGGAGTCTCTCTGGAGGCCAGAAATGGCCCGTTTGCCGGAAGTTAGCAAGCTGAGCTCGTGTGCCCACCAATATGGCTACACGTGCCACCTGTGGAACGTGTGCCATAGGCTTGCCATCACGGTCCTAGATCCTCGATCAGGCAGGCAAGGAAAAGTTTGGCGACCACACTGGGACACAAAAACGGACCTGTTTTCAAATCCTAACTTGCGAATGGAACTTGGAAGTGGCTCGCAAATTTTTCCATTATGCAAGGGGTCTTTGGCGGACAGGATTTGGTACCCAAAGGATTCAAACTTTATAGCAAGGTTTGAAGAATTTTAGAGACCCACCCTTGCGGGGGGCGGGAAATAATTTTCCTTCAGTGTGGCATCTTCACTGTAAATGTTTAGAAGTTGGCATCGAAGTGTGGGACCTGTGTTCCCAATCTCCTAAAAGGAAGATTACAATCTCAACCCTCCCTTGATGATAGATGGGAGGAAAAAAGGATGAAGAATTTGGTTCAAACGATTCAAAAAAACCCCAACGACTATTCTAATCTTCCTAACCTAGGCTCCCATTTGTATGTTATTCTCGACTTACAACCACAGCAGAACCTTGAATTTCAGTCATAAGTCATGGCAGTTGTAAGTCGAGGCGCTACAGGACCGGACTCAATTTCACGACTGTTGTTACAACAGTCATCAAGCGAGCCCACGACGGTCGTTGAATGAATCACACGATTGTTCTTCCGAATGGCTGCTTTTTGCCATAAAGCAGATATATATATATCGCAAACAGCGACCGTGGGACACCGCAACCGTCACAAATGCGAGGCAGTTGCCGAGTGCCCCAATTGTGCCAATTGTGCCAACAGAGGCATGGCAGTAATAACTCTGAGGATGGGTCATAAGTAGATTTTAAAAAAACAAAAAACAAACAGCCCATTGTAACCTCGACCGCTTGTTCAACGACCGGTCGTAAGTCGTGGACTGAACGACATCTCTCGCTCTGCCCGTGATCGGGGGCTTCCGGTGAAGCAGAGTGGAAGGCGTCTGTGTACTCAGCAGCCCCTTCCACCCAACCCCACCCCATCCCCTCCCTTCCTCTGCTTTGACCATTTTCCCAGGACGTGCAAAAATTAAAATGAATTGAAGATCAGAGGACAAATCCCTCCTCCCCTTCGTCGGGATGGGAAGAGAAGAGAGGAAATGGAATCGCGGCGGGGTTTCGGGGACAGGAGAAGGAAAAGCGCGTCAAGGCGAGGTGGGAAGACTCCGGAAAGGCTCAGGAACTGGGGTCTTGTTTCCGTTTTTGGAAACGTCGGAATTTCCCCTGGATGGCGAGAGCGGCCTTCTCCGTTTCCGGGGCATTTAAATCGATATCAATTTCTTCTTCTTCCGGCTCTGTTTTCTTGGGGTTTTCGGCTTTGTCTGCGGGGAGAAAACAATCGTTGCAGTCAGTGGTGGGATTCAAATATTTTTTTTACTACCGGTTCTGTGGGCGTGGCAGAGGAAAGATACTGCAAAATCTCCCTTCCCACCCCACTCCAGGGGGAAGAATACTGCAAAATCCCCATTTCCTCCCGATCAGCTGGGACTCGGGAGGCAGAGAATAGATGGGGGCAGGCCCAGTCAGAATTTTTACTACCGGTTCTCCGAACGACTCAAAATGTCCGCTACCAGTTCTCCAGAACTGGTCAGAACCTGCTGAGACCCATCTCTGGCTGCAATTTTCCGACATCGTTGCAAACGAGACCCTCATTAGACCAAATCAGACACCTGCTGATAGGCCAGATAATAAATAAATCAAATAAAAATGCAGAGAATGGGTTTCTTCAAAAACCGCGACATTCAGTACGTTGCAGACTTAGAAATCACGGTTTTTATATGGATCTATAGATTTGCCCCAATACCTCTTGTTATTTTATTTTATTTTTTTTAATCCTGGGTGTGTGGTTTTTATTTAGTTGTAATTTTCAGATTTATATTCTGCTCATCTCGGGATTCTTTTTTTTTTTTAAGCCTTCGTACGATACCCTGGCGTAGATCTGACGCCAAGGTCCCACCTGGACTTCAACTCCCAGCATTCTCAGTTGCCCCTGGAAATTCTTTTCCCCCCCCCCCCGAAATTCACTCAACTTTTTGCAATATTTTACTTACCAAACTCCAGAGTCCAATTGCAGTTAAAAAAAAAACAACAGTTGCACACCCCCACATCATAAAAATACACCCAGATTTTTTTAAAAAAAACATATTTTTATCCTTGGACAGTGGATGAAAAATTTAGCAAAGGGAACCAGGATTTCTGGGTATTGCGTTAACTTACAAGCGGACACGGTAACCTAGCAACCAGAAGCAGACAACCGCCTATAATGGAACATAGACAGAAAGCATCACTGCTTCCAGGTTGCCTGGCAACCACTATCCAATGGGGTGAGAGAGCATCCCTGCATCTTCACCTCTTCCCTCCATCCTTTTTGCAAAAGGATAAAGGGGAAGGTACCAGATGAGGTGCTGAGTTCAAGTTCTCAGCTACAGGTGGCCCCTTGATTAGTCCCTCCCTCTCCGCCTAGCGTACCTCACAGGGGTGTTGTTTTTTGTGTGGGGGGGAAAGGAGAGGTGGTAACACTACCATGAGTTCAAGTCCTGCCTTAATCAGGAAAGCCAGAGGGTGACTTTGGGACAATCCCCAGGAGACGGTGAGTTCTAGTTCCGTCTTAGACATGAAAGCCATTTGGGTGAGTTTGAGCCAGTCGCTAGGAGACAATGAGTTGAAATGGTGCGGTGGCCTAGACGTGGAGCTCTCGCCTCACCATCAGGAGGCTGTGAGTTCGATCCTAGGTAGAGGCAGATATTTCTCTCTCTCTCTCTGGGCACAATGAGAATATTATCTGCTGAACAAAACTCCGCCTTTAATGTAGTTAGGTAAATGCGGGTCCAGCTGGATGATCACTGAAGGTCCCTCTTTATTCATAGTATTGTAAGAAAGGAAATGTGCTTGTTTGAGGGAAGCCAATTATCTCCAGTTGAAAGGAGAGAATTCCTTTGAAGTAGAAACATTCACAGAGGGGCCCCTCAGTTGTCAGAGATAAGAGACATTTGGTGATATACAGTATGAAGGTTAAAGAGATCAAGTATGACCACATGGAATATTAACAAGAGATAATTTGAATCTATGCTTCAGTAATTGGCAAAAAGAATTATGACTGTTGGCAAAGAATAAATGAAACAGTAATTGGGAAGTGTCAATTAAATATGACAAATGTATATGATCACATAAACTGCTGAGTTAACAGAATCCTTTGTCTAGAAGGGTATAAAAACCATTGTACCTAATTTCTGTCTTTGTTCAATGCTTAATGTACAGAGTTTTGAACCTATTGCGCAATATACAATGTCTCTGGCTAACCCTGAAAAGTTGTGTTGGTCTTATTAAATCCACAACACCCTGGCGACAGGAAAGGCATCCGTCCATTAAAACACTCTGCTACCTCCATTCACTTGCCCAGACTTCACCCCGCAAGGGATTTATGGGATCATTAAAAGATGATGATGACTAGGAGAGAGTGAGTGACTTTGTGCTAATCACCAGGAGACTGGGAGTTCTAGTCCCACTTTAGATATGAAAGCTAGCTGGGCCAATCCTGCTGTCAGCCCAACGTACCTCACAGCATTGTTGTGGGAAAACAGGAGTGGGGAAGGTGCCTTGAGTTATTTGTAAAAACAATAAAGGCAGGATATAATAATCCACAAATAAAGGCAATTAAAAAGGAGTTCTGAACCACCCATCCAAGAAGTAAAAGCATGACTTACAGCCACAGTGGGTGGCTCCTCCACGTTCCTGATTAATGGATTAGCATAAATATATCTATATACTAGCTGGATACCCGTGGTCCGCTACGAAACTATGGTATCGGGCTCGATTGGCCTCTCCTATCCCCTTCTCTCCCTCAGGCTGGCCCCATTGATCCTCTCCTATCTTATCCCCTTCTCTCCCTCAGTCTAACTCCTTAGCATCAGAGCTGGCCACGCCCATGCCCCAGTGACAGTTGGAACAGAGTTCTTTTCAAGTGGGGAGGGGGAGTAGAACATCTAACTCCTTAGCATCAGTGCGTTTTTTCAGGTGGGGAACGGGAGTAGAATGTCTAAACTCCCAGCCTGCAGGCCGGGATGAGTCAGGCGCTGGCCACGCCCATGCCCCAGTGGCAGTTGGAACAGAGTTCTTTTCAGGTGGGGAGGGGGAGTAGAACATCCAACTCCTTAGCATCAGAGCGCGTTAATAATATTAGTATAAGAAATACTAATGATCCGATGGTCCTTTTGAAAAATCCTTTCTTAGCGAGCACCTGGAAGCCAAGAGGAACATATGTGGCAAATTTCAAGTTTGTAGGCTTAACGGTTCTGGAGATTTCGTGATGTTGTGTGAATGGTATTTCCTCCAGAGTCCCTCTCACCTTTTTCTTCTGGCCGGGGAACCTCTCTGGAGATTGGTGACTCATCGGAGGTGAGCTGTTGGAGAAGAAAAGAGAATTAAATTGAGGGGGAGAGAAAGAGCGAGAGAGAAGGCGGTTTTGAGAACATGCTGGTTTGGGGAAGGTGACTTTCTTGGCTGCCAAGTCATCAGGATTTTCAGATCGCCCCCCCGGGGATCCTTCCAGAGGTGAAGGTGGGGGGGGGCAAGCTTTGGAACAGAGGGTTCGGCCTCGTGACCTGTTACTATTTTATTTTGTTTTTTTAAATGTTTTGTGGAATGGGTGTTTGCCAGAGCTCAGTGGGGTTTTTCTTTGAATCCCTGTCAAAAGAAGGTTGTTTTGGTTTTCGGAATTATTTTCTTCTTCTGGGCATTTTTCTGAACATGAATTCTGCATCCGTTGAAAGAGGTTGCCTGTACTTTTCCAAATGGATTCCCCTCCCTCCTTCCCTCCCTTCCTTTTCCCCTCCTTTCCATATCTATCTATCTATCTATCTATCTATCTATCTATCTATCTATCTATCCATCCATCCATCCATCCATCCATCTATCATCTGTCTCTCTCTCTCTCTCTCTCTCTCTCTCTTTCACTCTCTCTCATCATGATAGACAGACAGACAGAAAGACAGACAGACAGACAGCTAGATACCCTGTTTCCCCAAAAATAAGACATCCCCTAATAATAAGCCCAATCGGGCTTTTGAGCGCTTGGCAATAAGGCCAAACGTTTATTTCATGGTTCAAAAAAATATAAGACAGGTTCTTATTTTTCAGGGAAACATGATAGATAGATAGATAGATAGATAGATAGATAGATAGATAGATAGATATAATCTCTATTGTCTCTCTTTCTCTCTGTGTCTCTCTATCGCTCTGTATTACCGTGTTTTCCCAAAAATAAGACCCTGTCTTATATTTTTTTGAACCTTGAAATAAGAGCTTGGCCTTATTGCCATGCGCTCAAAAGCCCAATTGGGCTTATTATCAGGGGATAATGTCTTATTTTGGGGAAAACAGGGTATCTACAGTATCTATCTGTCTATTTATCATCCATCCATCTCTGTCTATCCTCTAATCCTATTATCTCTCTCTCTCTCTCTCGATCTCATCATTTTCCCTTTCAGATGCATCAGAAAAATCTAACGACAATATGCTACACGTGAAGAGCATCGTATAATAATATATATATCATACAGTAAACAATATACAATAATTATATGCCAGGTAGGTAGGTGTGCTTGTGTGTCTTAACATGTTACGGAATGCCATCCGTGTCCTGTATATTCCACACGACCCTGCAAGCCGCTTAGCGTCAGGCAATCGAAGCGGGGGACTCGCGAGCCATAAATTATTCATTCATTAGTGGATGAACGGCTGCATTAAGAAGGAGAAAAGGGAGGCGATCGAAGGAGAAGAAGCCAGAAGGAAAACGGATTTTGTCTCTCTCTCTGTGTGTGTAGACAATGCAAATGAACCTGGGGGTTGTGTAGCCATTTCTCAAACGGCTGGTGTGTGACCCAGACAAAGAGCGGTAATCGGGAAGGAAAGAGCAGGTTGAATTTCAAATTTCAAACCTTTATTGTCAGCGCACAATGTATGTACCCTAAAATAAGATCTCCCCTGATAATAAGCCCTCCCTGAAAATATTTATTTATTTATTTGTTTGTTTGTTTGTTTATTTTACACAAATTTTATTGGTTTTTTTTCTTTTCTCCTCTCCCATCTTCGCCTTCATCTTTCTTCTTTTTTTTTTGAACAGTGTCGGTCGTTTCTTATTTTATACAATTAGTCAAATTCAAATATATTTTACTCAGTTACAATTTTTGTCCATCTCGTCTTCTCCCCTTTCATTTTTTTTTTTTGAATATACCTCAGTGTTTCTAAACTTGCGTACATAAACACCTTCTTCATTTATCCCTAAATTCTAACTTTATTATTTGGGCATATTTATCCTCTTTGATTCTTAAACGGTTCATTCTTTTTCTTAATATATTTATATTTGTTTGTTCAGAGCTGCCTTCCTTCCACTTCATCTTTTTTTTTTTATTATACAGCAATCCTTCTCCTCAAACCTAACCTCTCCCTCTTCTCCTTCCAACTTTCTTTCCCCACCTTCTTCTTCTCTTCTCTACTTCCCCTTCTCTTCTCCTTCTCCTCCTCTCTTCCTCCCTGTCTTGCCTTCTCTCCTACTCTGCTTTCCCTTCCCTTCCTTCCTCCCTACTCTTCCATCCCTCTCTCTCCTTCCTCCTCCCTTCCAATTCCTTCATCTCTCTCTATTGCTGTATTCATTTTCAATTTAATGTTTTCCATTGTGGAATCTTCCCTGAAAATATTTAAACACATGCACAGCTGGTCCCCGCCATTTCCTCTGGTTTCCTCCACGTGGCCCAAAATAATAAGACCTCCCGAAAATAAGGCCAAGCGCTTATTTCGGGGTTCAAAAAAATATAAGACAGGGTCTTATTTTCGGGGAAACACAGGTACAATGAGATTGGTGGAGCTCCCTCAGTGCTATTGTGGCCCATATGCGGCCTGTGTAGCTGATTCAGACAGCGAGGAGGCTGGTGTGGTGCTGCGCCAGCAGCCTGTGCAGCTGGCACTCGAGGCGGATAATGAGGAGGCTGGAGAAGATGTGGTGCCAGAGGCGGGGATTCAGCCAGGGCCTTCAGAACCTCCAGAAGCTCCCATAAGTGAAGAGGATGAAGAGGAGGAGCCTCTTCTCGATGCACGGGCGCGCAGAGCGGCCAAAAGGCAGGAGTGGCTCCTCAGGAGGAGGTCTCCTCGAGAGTAAGGCTTGGGGCTAATTGGCCACTCCCTTAGCCTATTTAAGGAGGAACGCCGACTGAAGCAATTTGCAGGGAACAACTTCGTTCACATTCCTTCGTGTCTTGTCTTGCTTATCTTATCAGCTTCCTGCAAATTGCTTCCGGACATTCCACCAACCACAGTAAGCTTTCAGTTATTATTCTTTGAATTCTTGGCGGCTGTTAATGCAGTTCATTAACAGCCGTTGTTGTAAAGAACTGGTTTATTTCGTAAACTAAGGTTTGAACGGACTTTGTGTGTGCTGCGTTCTTTGGGGTCCGTAGCTGGGGCAGAACAAGTGCGTACACACACACACCCGACATCACAATACAACTCACAGGGAAGACAGAAAATCCCTAACCCAATAAATCTGTCAGCGTCTCAGCGCTGACATAGAAGAGGGAGATAAAGCCTGAACTTTTGCCTGCTAAATCCCTTTGAAGCTCGGTCTCCTTGGAAATGAAGAAGGGGGGGGGACATTCCTGTGAACTGACGAGAAAAGAAGTCAGGAGAGTGACTTGGAAGATAGCCAATGAGAAGCAGAGAATTGGGGATCGGAAAGGGAGGGATTGGGGGGGGCAAAGGTCAGTCCTGACCGCACGAGTCATGATCCGGTTGCGGTACTCGAATAAAGAGAAAATTTCCTTAAAGGTTGGCAGTTCGGAAATTCATTTATTTTGAGATAGCATCGAAGTCTGACAAAATTGTATTAAAAAAACACCCAATCCTATTGCACCAGTGTGAACATGTTACACGTTGAACCGGCCCTGCAGTCCATCGTACTACGTAGTTATGAGGTTATTTCGCATTGTCAGGAGTCTGACAGCCCACGGATAAATTAAGGGAAGGTCCCCTAAAAAAGAGTTTTAGGCAAGGAAGGAGGATTTGAACCCGTGTCTGGGTGTGTTGTTGTGGTGCCTTCCAAGGCTGCTCGCTCGCAGCCTGGCCGGAGAAACTAGAAAGCAAAAACGGCCTCCTGAACAGCCAACCGCAGCCGCTGTGCGCAAAGGAAACCATCTGATATTTATTAGACCCCGGTGGGCAATTAAGCCGGAAAAAGAGCAATTAAATTCTCTTTGGTTCCCCGCATAGCAGAGGGGAAAAAAAACAAAAAACCAGGAGGAAGGAGAAATGGGAAAAAAAAGGAGAAAGTGTGTGTGTGTGTGTGTGTGTGTGATCCTTTCTTGGGTCTTTTTGCACAATTTTCTTGCCTCGGAGGGCTTCCCTTCGCTCTTCCAAATCCACCCTGACCTCAAACCCAGAATTATTTCATTTTTATATAGAGACCGGCTAGTCCGCAACGTACGACCACGAATAGACTAACTAGACTAGACTAGACTGGACTAGACTAGAATGAATAGAACAGAACAGAATGAATAGAATAGAATAGAATAAATAGAATAGAATAGAATAGAATAGAATAGAATAGAATAGAATAGAATAGAACAGAACAGAACAGAATGAATAGAATAGAATAGAATAGAATAGAATAGAATAGAATAGAACAGAACAGAACAGAACAGAACAGAACAGAATGAATAGAATAGAATAGAATAGAATAGAATAGAATAAATAGAATAGAACAGAATGAATAGAACAGAACAGAATGAATAGAACAGAACAGAACAGAATGAATAGAATAGAATAGAATAGAATAGAACAGAACAGAACGAATGAATAGAATAGAATAGAACAGAAACAGAACAGAACAGAACAGAATGAATAGAATAGAATAGAAAAGAACAGAATGAATAGAACAGAACAGAATGAATAGAACAGAACAGAATGAATAGAATAGAACAGAACAGAACAGAACAGAACAAATGAATAGAATAGAACAGAACAGAACAGAACAGAACAGAACAGAATGAATAGAATAGAATAGAACAGAACAGAATGAATAGAATAGAATGAATAGAACAAAACAGAACAGAATGAATAAAAAGAATAGAATAGAATGAATAGAACAGAACAGAACAGAACAGAACAGAATGAATAGAAAAGAATAGAATAGAATGAACAGAGACAGAACAGAACAGAATAGAAAAGAATGGAATGGAATGGAATGAAAACGAAACGAAACGAAACGAAACGAAACGAAACAAAACAAAACAAAACAAAACAAAACAAAACAAAACAAAACAAAACAAAACAAAATGAAACTGTCACTAAAAGAGCTGTCGTAAGTCGAGGACTGCGTGTATAGACTTTGTGACGCGGTTTTATTCCTGCATTTTTC